TAAAGCTTCTCTAAAAAGTCAATGTAGGCAGTTTTGTGTCACCTGCAACTTTTCGAAGAATAGATAAAGTGGGAAGGACAGCTGCTAAATGGAATTCTTGCAAATGGGCATGAACAGCTGGCCACAAGCTGCGTCGTCTGGTCACCTTCTATTGCACTCTTTAAAGGCTTAATATCTACCAGAACCAGATCTTAAACACGAAAATACGGTGGTGGGCCGTTGGCTGTGTGTTGTGAGCCTCTTTTGTCAGCAAGAGATCAACGGATAGACGAGTGTACCGTTGAAAAACAGATTCATTCAGCACGAAGAAGAAAGTAAAGCCAACTTATTGAAAGTTTGAGTATAGAGTTGTCGATGCTGCACACGAGCCTGTTTTGTGCTGCCTGTCTGTCCATCTGCGTAAGGGTGCTCTGCAGTGGTCGTATTATGTGTAGTGTGCAAGCCGCTCAAAAAGGCACGAAGGAGCGCACTAATTATCTTCGGATCCCTCTGTATGATGGTACTCATATAGAATTATTGGAGCATTCAGTCCCGGAGCTGGAATCTTCAATCGACTTCGTGAGCCATGACAGGGTTGCAGCAACCAACGAGATGGGCAGACTGCTGTGCCTGTTGACAGCAAGGTAGTTGCTATACTGATGCACGAGCAATAAGGCTTTTAATCCAGTGAGTCCAAATTCTTTTTGCAACAGGGTCTCTTTGCAATATGCCGGGTTTAAGAGAATCTGGCGACTTCATGTGTTGACTGCGTGGGCAGTGTAATGCGTACTCTTCTACCAGGGGACACTATTTTTGCCACCAGAAGAAACTAAAATCTTCCCCATTGCAATGAAGATCTAACCAAAGCCCGGGAAGAACAGGATTAAGCGCTTTGCGGTTCAGCGGAAGAAAGTCGGAACGTGCAAGTGGAGAAGCTCTCGCTTTGCTATAAACAACAGTTAGTCATCTTCTTTGTGACAGGGCTTGATCTTTCCACCATTCTGGATTTCGGCATTAGCAGTGAATGCATGGGATCAAAAGTAAACGACTAACACAATCATGCAGTTGCGCTACACAATAGTGAACGCCTGGGACGCAGCCAGGGCACGTCGGCGACCACCTTGGTGAAGCCCTCAACATACTTGGCTGTGATGTCGTAGTGCATGAGGCCGTCGAACCAGTGAACAACTCTACGAATGTTCAAAGGCCTAAGACTTTTGTTGCAGGTTTATTAAAGACTTACAATCCACCCGCATAGTAAAATGGGGGAAACATAAATAGCAGCGGCATGGCTTCACGACCCCCACACCGCCTAGAGCTCCTTCTCCTGCACAGAGTAGCAGTGCTCGTTCTTAACGCGATGAGAATGGCAAACAATGCTGAGATATATTCAATAAACTGGAAGCTCATAGAATTTTGTAAGGCCCTTGCAGGTGCGTAATGGTTAAGGCTACACCTCGATTGCCCCAATTCTTGCTTGTTCTGGCTCAATTCGAAGTACGTGGTGAAGCTGATTTTGAACTTTTCGACCGAACATTACCATGCCGTCAATGTGAACACCTATTCAACCCCTTAGTGCTAAGCTTATAATGCTCGCATTGCACTTGCTGTTGCAATCCAGCTATGGCATTAACAAGTCCAATAGGGCAGACACATGTACTCAAATGTGCCAGTGCAAGCATGCAGCGCCGTCTCGCTGCCGTCATCTGGATCAACGGAAATCTGTAAGGAAGCGTTTGTGAGGTCAAAAGACTCTTGATCTGTGTACCTTGTCAAAGCACTTACCCATAATGAGGCATCTCGAACAGCTGCTTCACAGTGAGCTCGCCCAGGGACTTAAAGTTAGCGCACATGCGCCGCCTTCTCCCCCTTTTCGGTACCAACACCGCGACACGCCCATAGGTGCTGTTATATTCCTGCATTTTGCTTTTTTCAACAAATCATCCACCTTCCGCTCACTCTTCTCAACCGGAGGTGGAGACTCCCGATACTGTGGAACACACTTGACGCTATCCCAGGGACTCGTTCAATACGGTGCACTGGACAACCAGGTGTCCAGTCTACTGGCAGCTCATCATTGTTTTGCGCAACCGCAAATTTTCCATTTATATCTGCCAATTCGTGTTACTTGGCTAGAAATTTAAGTAGAATTTCTCGATACTCAAAGTGATGCCGAGCGTGTATGATGGGTTGCATGCCCACAGCCGTTTGCTCTTTTTGCATTGCTGAGCCGCTCACGTGGAGACTATGCTTCACCTTGTTGAAATACCGAATCTACCCACTTACCAGAGATTAAACCAATGATGTCTGGAAGATTTGCAGTCGCTTCCTAGCACGTTTCGGCATACGCATTTTTACAACTGAGCGCCTCCCATTGGCTTACCCATGGAACACGTAAGACTGCGTCCTGGTACACGGGTCGAGCATGTAAGTCATGGACCATGCTGAAAGTAAACAATTCCGATTTGATCTGGCAGTTACCTGCTGTAGCCCTTGCCAATCCTTGTGCCCTGCTGCCCGTCAACAACCTGGGTCTCATAAATTGCGCTAATGCCTGAAGAGGCAGATGGCCTCTCTGCGCCATTTCCCCAGATAACAGATCCAATTTATATGCAGCGCCAAGTGACGCTAGCAATGTTTGGATATTAAGGGTAAGTCGTATCAGTGCAGAATTCATCCGTCGTGAGTTCCGAGTTGCGGCTCTATCCACTGCATCCCCCATCACTCCATCGCAACCTGCGTGGACGGCATTCCTTTTACCCGACGCACCCTCTGGGCTCGCCAAGTAGCCTGCTTTCCCTTGGCTTAATCCCGTTGATCAAGCTTGTTCTTTTTTGCATGCACTTGCGCTTCCGGAGTATACAACCAATTCACAAAGATAGAAGCAGGTACCATTTTGAGAGCTCTTTGAGGCTTATCAGGAGCAATACTTTATTCTGGCTTTATTTGTTCATTCGACCTGGACTGCAGGCTGGATTCAGTAGACAGGACCCTAATATCCACGAGGCACTAGAACCCACTTTCGCTCTACCTTAACATGTATAGGGGCTATGGCTGCGCTCGTTGACTCCGTAAATTGCAAATACGCCATTATTTTTAAAAAGGCCCACTGGTCGGTGGTTTGATTCTGAAGTGGTTCCCCGTCCTGCGACCATCGTGCATTGCACTTCGGCCAAACATAAGAAAGACCACCGCTTTAGCAGCATTTCGCCTACGTTGTGGCTACCACAAACCTGAGTTTCATGTTTTTCGATACACCAATCATATGTAAGGCTTTCGCGCTTGAGCTTCATCAACGTTTTTTAGGTTATCGTTGAGCTAGTCTCGTCCGTCACCACATGAGTAAGGGCTTGTGGGAAGGCAGGAGCTGTTATGATCCCTGCAAGCACGCGAATCCCTCGGCAGGGATAGAGTCATTATTGAAGCTGTTACTTGTTCAAAAACCGCTCCACAAGCTAGCTTTTTCCCCTCATCGCTGCGGTACAACGCGAGCTACATCCCCAACCGCCTGGTGAAATCTTCGAGTACTTGCCCTCCGTAGGGGCCGTAGAGCTTGTCTCGTCGGCATAGCGTCTTCGACGCAACCTTAAACATACTATTTACTGAAATGCCATGAGCTCTCACCAGCTGAACAGCTGCCTAGCTTACATCAGCTTTTAGGCCAGCCACTGACGCTCTAACTAGCTTTGTGTCACCGTCAACTTCCCTTGCCAATGGTTTTCGTTACAGCATGTTGCCAACGATGCTCGCAAAAAGCTTTTTATCGCGGTACCAAGTACCTTAGGCAAAACTAAACAACAGTTGAAAGAATCCTGGTATCCAACTGCATACACAGCCAGTGAATGCTCGGGGAACAGCTGAATCGAAGAGTTTTGTACCGCTCCTATGAGGCAACCGTGAGCAGACACTTAGCTCCTAGCTCAATATAAACTTTATTGAAAGCTTTTAAAACGCTCCGTCCTTCCTTTCCCTTGAAAGCTCAGAATCCCCGACCTGAAGATTGGGGTCAGCTGGTGTGTGCAGGGCTGCACCCGTAAATACTCCGAGCATTAAGAGCACGTGCACAGCTAGCGCATGTGCGCATTGTGTTTCCTTGTATAGAGCAACAATAATTGGCAACTGATTAGACAAACTAGCTATTCAATTCTTAAGGGATTCTTGGAAAATATAACTCGTGAGGAAGAAACTATGTGTGCGTACCTAAGCTCGTTGCATCCTCTCGCTTGAAATCCTGGCCCCGACGGGACTTTTGAGGAATCTCTCGAGAGTTTTCTGTCAACCTCGTGGTGGTTCTGAAGCCAAGCTTCTTCCTACGGAGACCTTTGCTGGAACGCTACGGGTATTTGCAGCACCAGGGCTTCTAGTGTCGAGCTAGATCTTTTATGCAGAAAAAGGAGTCTTAAAAGTTGAAACAGAGTTGCTGATTTTTCTAATGAGTCAAGAATATGCTACTTGTGACAAGGCAGGTGCCCACTTGTAGCTTGCCCGTTACAGGCAGGGGAAACCGTTGCGTTTTGGGATAGTAGTGCCGCACCACACAGCGCTATACCGCTTATTCTTATCATCAGTAGGGGTTTTATGTAGAAAACGTATCTACACACTACGGCTCCACTTGCACGCTGCAGATACGGCTTAGCGCCGAAAAGTCTCGTAGATGCCTGTACTTTGTGGGGCTGGTATACTGAGAAAGAGCAGCAATAGAAGCACAAAGTTCACGGACAAAAGCCATCAAGCGATGTAAGGGTTGTTTGTGAAATGCTTTTGTGCTGCTGAAACAAAAAGAAGCAGAGTTTACTGTTGACTAAGTGCAACAAATACAAAGGCATGACGCCCTGGTGGGGCTTTCGCGGTCTGCATGCCGTTGCAATTGCCGAGGGCGGCTGAGGGGAGACCTGGAAAACAGACAAGTGCCATAGGGAAGTCCCCATTGATCCAATGGACGCTTAAAGGGTATTTGTTTTCATCTGGTTCCTTCTTGCCTCACCGTGAGAGTTGTCTGCTTCCCATTGCCAGCATCGAAGATGACGGTCGGCATCAAGCCCAGTTTTATTCCCAAGAAGAACCGCAGGATTATTTACGAATACCTATTCAAGGGTGACTTCACTTTGTCCCTTTTGTAGTTTATATCCGTTTTCTCTGTGTCATTCTGAACCCTGCACAATACCCAGGAACACTGGGGCTGCGAATCGGTGGGTGGGGTTCTCCTTGGCCCCAATTTTTGTTTTTGTAGATTCTTTTTTTCGTGGATTGAGTCGCATCCACAATCTTTCACCACTTGAATGTTCATATCTTCCGTTCGTAAGAGCGATGATGCTAATGGTTGCGCAACTTTAATTTTCCCGCCATGATTGCCTCTGGCGCCTGTTTGACTTTTTCCTAACTCTATGAGTCACACTTTGCTTTTGTGCTTCCAGAGTCAGCTAAAGCACAATTTTTGTGGAATCTGGCTTCATGCGTAGCACGAGTTTCTTGTTTTTGATTAATGGAATATGGATGCCCAATGCCTGCTCATCAAAGGGTTGGGGCTTAAGGGGCCCTAGCTAACCGAACCATTGGAATGGAAGCGTGTGAAAGTTCCACACCTTGTGTATGTCTGCTCTGTAATTGCTTCAGAAGGTGTCCTGGTGGTGCAAAAGAACCCCAAGTTGGAGAAACATCCGGAGATCCCGGTACCGAATTTACATGTTATGATGGTTATGAGGAGCCTCAAATCAAAGGACTTTTGCGAGGAAATGTTCAACTGGCAGCACAAGTACTACACCCTCAAGAATGAGGGAATGGAGTTCTTACGTGATTACCTCCGCCTACCCCCTACTGTCTTCCCTGCCACCCTGACAAAGAAAACACCTGCAAGACCACAACGCGCTGGTCCTGAAGGAGATGCTGGTAACGAACCGGAAAACTGGAGGGGAGTAAGCTCGCAGGACACGTATTAAAGCCTAGTGTAGCTTAAAAAGCTTTCCATACAGCGGCCATTGTTCGTGCTTTCACTAATTGCGCACGTCATATTTTTTCGAATGCTGGTAGGAGGGAATAAGTTATCTTTGTTAATCTTCGCAGTGGTCAGATATTGGAACTCATGTTTTCTCTGCTGTTTGCAGGGGATGGGCAGAGGCCGTCGCCCCATGGGAGATCGTCCTGATTCTCGCATCGGTGGAGACAGGGCAGAGAGGCCTGCCCGCTATGCATAAGTCCTCTTCCACCTCAAAATATTGTGGTGGAGATGGTCGATTTTGCTTTCTCCAATAGACCGAGGATCGCCGTGGTCGCCTTCACTAAGTCATTAATACCACGGAGAGTCTTGTGGTGTTAATTTAACAGTTAGGGAGCGATGGCATATTGTTTAGGGCTCATAAACCTTACACACACGTGCTCTAAAGGTTAGGATGGACACTCTTCTAGAATGTAGGCGATTGCCAGTACAATTGGCGCAAAATTCTTGGATATTGCTAGCTAGTGAAACCCGTTTGATTCTAGTAATTCAGTTTGACCTTGAACAATAGAGGCAACGTTGCACATGTTGAATGCTTACATGCAGAAAAGCGGTAGTGCACTTTGAGATGGTTTGACCTCGCGAGCCTGAATCACCAAGTTCCCTTAACATGATGCTGTCGTGTAGATTGATTTGAATTGCAACTATCGGAAAATCAAGAATTTTTAGAAAAGCGTATATGGTATTAATTATCCGGTGTTCATGACTAAGGCAGACGAAAGTAAGCAGAAAGGGCCTGTGTGTTCTTTCGCGAAAGGGGGTGTATTACAAGCCAATTAATAAAGCAAAGCCCTCCGGAGTTCCATATAGATAAATCCTGCTGTGAAAGGAGGTGCTGGCATGTTTGCTCCCGTGTACGCCCCCACTGGAATTTCTTTTTAATCGACCCGTTAAAATCCCCCGTTTGTAGCCGTGCTGGAGGGCTCTTCAAGCAGGATGGAAAGGGGGATGAAAAGGAAGTGCGCACGCGCACTTCGGTCTGTGACTAGGAGGTTACTGCTCCCCTTGCTTGATGCAAGGTGGCAAGTGGATCTAGCTGCCACTCGTGGTTGTAGGGTTTATGTGCGGACTCTGGTTTGCGCCTTAATGATCCCCAAAGGCAGCGGTCTCTTGAGCTTCGCATGTAGTGCATTCTGACTGGGTTAACTAAAAATATTCGAAGAGGCTCATCAGCCACTTAGGCTTCCTGAATGCCGAATCATGACGATGGTTGTCATGCCTGTACGCTTATTCTCTTCGTTGTGATTGGTGCTGTCTCGGATGTCGCTTTGCAGCGGATGCTAGCGTTTTGGACACCATGGCCTCCGCTACGAGTAGTGTATCTGCTTTGGCGGGAGAAAAAAAGTGGTGTTCCTGTTATGCTGCGAGCAGTGCGCTTTCAGGCAGATGAGTTAAGAAGCGCATATCGATTTACATGAGGCCTTCAATGGCGTCATCAATTCTGGAGGGCCGCCAGAAAATATGAATGCACCAACGGGTATAAATAATTCGATCAACGGATGAATGCAATTATAGTGCACAAAGTATGCGGAGTTTTCTGTGACTACCAGGTCTACGACTTCAATACAGAGTGGAGCTGCTTGAAAGCTCAAGGGAGCAAGGTCTTCCGCATCTGGAGCCACTGTCTCGCAAGCAGTACCCGCCTTGGTCTCATGAGCGAAACATCGGTTTTCTCTCATTGGTTCGTGCCCCAGTGTGTTTCGATGTGGGATGGCATAGATATACGGCAGTGTGAGTAGGTGTGCTGTAGTTCTCCACGGCGAAGATGGGATCACTTGGTGCGGTGCAAGCCTGTTATGGAAAGAAGCTCCTCCTGGAAACAAGAAGCGGGACTGGCCGTTATGAGACAATTTGTAGCACAGTCACATAACAGCCTAGGTCGAGGTCTCGCTTTGGAGGATTGGGGGAAAACAGCTGCACGCCGGAAAGCACCTTAAAAACCTTCGCCAATGTCTCCGGATGGATCTGAAGAAGGCTCAGTTTCTCTTCCTGCAGTACCGCTCTCGTTGGATGTGAAATGGGGATGGGATACTAGTTGACAGTCGATCAACGAGCTGGGGCACACTGTTGGATATTGTGTATTCCTCCAATAAGAGTGCATTGCTCATTTTCTGGTACACTTTTCTACCTACGCAATAGTTTGCACCGAATGGGGAAAATCCAGGGTACCGGAGCACAAATCACGAAAGTGAACTAGCTCTGTTATCCTCAGTATTTAAAGAAGCAAAACTTTAAGATATACGACCTGCGACCTGTGGACAAGCATCATTCCAGACAGCCCATTGCAATGAGAGGAGAGACAACTAGACGTGCAGGATCTTTGCTACGCAACCTTCTCGGAGCGTGCTCGGAAACAGCGAATGCCCTCTTTGATCTAATAATAACAGTTCCGCTGCTTTGTGAGACCCGTTTAACCAACAAATCCCAGCCAGCCGACTTTGCTGGGCAGCGGCAGGGGGAACTGATGATAAAAAGACAAGTAGCACACTACTTTAAGCACAACATTCCCAGTAATGAATTGCTGTGTTACAAGACCTTGCATGCGTTTGAAAGCTCAACTCTTCATGCTTCCGTCTTGCATGCTGGTGAATAAATCAGGTGCTGCCCACTTGCCCCATTCCAGTTAGTGGTGAACTTCCCCAGGGCCACACATATTGTTGGTATAGAAGATTTTCACTCGAACAATTGTCGGCATGAGTCACGCTGATTTCGGAGCCTTAGCTGCAGATTATCTATTCAAGCTGATTGCAAGTGCACCTGAAACCGCCATTGTTCCAGCTAAGCCTTGACTGTGGGATCCTGTTGATAAATACCGCTTCGAGGTCCGCAATAGCCCCATAAATAAGTGTCTATGGTACCCGCTGTACAAGAGTCCAAACGCCTCCAGTACAAAGAGAAAGAAAAGGTTTAATTCTTAGTGGTGCTAAGGAGTTACCGTCTGTGGTTGAAGACCACCTGAGCGTGTGAAGCGTCGCACAGACCAATAGCAAAGGGGCTGTTGCTACTCCCCAAAAGAAAAGATCTTCAAATTTACCCTCTGTACACGCCCAGTGCTTTTGTAGGGTTCTGTTATTAGCTTTGAATATTGCCTTCCAGATATTGTTGGTTGCTTCTTAAGAAATCAAGGCCTTGTGGTACCAAGCATACCACCACGACCAGTGTTTAGCTTGTACTCCTGAATTTTACATGAATTTGGTATTGTGCCAAGCGCTACCGTATTCGTTGTTAGGAAAGAGCAATTACGGTTCACTACTGCAGTAGCCTGCTTCGCTCGAACGCATCAATCCCATCCTCATTTACAAGCACTGCGCTACCGATGCTTGTCTGCTCAACCACCAATAGAGGCCTGTGAGTGAATCCCGGCAACCCCTGTTCGGCCGCTCGCCGCTCCACAGCCGCCACGGTGTGACCCCTGCCATAGAGTCTGTAAGCGTATGTGCAGAGGCCCTCAAGGCCCACAGGGCCCCTTGCGTGGGTCTTTCCAGTAGCAATTCCAACCTCGGCATTAAAGCCAAACCTGTAGCCGTCAGCGAAGCGGGTGCTGCAGTTGCAGAAAACGTCCGCACTGCAGACACCTCGCATAAATGTTTCGATGTTTGTCGGAGAAAATGAGAGAATGACATCCGTATGATGTGAGCCATTGTTATTGATGGCATGCAGCGCTTCTTGTATAGTCTCAACGATCCGCACGGACAGAATGGGGGCCAGCCATTCCGTTGCAAAGTCCTCCGGCCTCGCTGCCTCCGTCGCCTCCTTGGGTAGCCACGCAGCAGCTTCTTCGTCAGCGCGGTAACGCACACCTTCAGCAGCGAGAGCAGCACCTAGGGCCGGAAGCAATGCCTCTGCAGCGTCCTTGTGCACTAATAGGACCTCCAGTGCGTTGCAAGCTGCCACATATTGCAATTTGCTGTCCCTTATTATTGCGATCGCGTCCTTCAGCCGCTCCGGAGTTGAGGCGCAGTCTGCATCCGCGTAGGCATGACAGATTCCGTCTGCATGCCCCATGACTGGGATATTTGTATGGCTCTGGACAAAACGTACGAGTGCATTGCTGCCTCTAGGAATCACCAGGTCTATGCAATCATCTAGTTTGAGCAACTGCTGCACATCGTCGCGGGTCTCCACTAGCTGCACCAGGGAACAAAGGCCATTAATGTCTTCCTCTGGAACCATATTTGCCCCTAAAAGGCCTCGGCCAAACACTGAACGAATGCCTAAGGTAAAGGCGTCGTGTAGCGCTTTGTTGGTTCTAGCAGCCTCCTTCCCTCCCTTTAGTAGACAGACCTAATTGCAGCATCACATAGATCCGCGCCACAGAGGGAAAGGATGGACATAATCACCAGTAGAAATGAAGGAAGGCAAGAGCACTTGCCATTGCGTGGCCTGGTGAGCTGGGTAAAACATTATCACCAGCCACAACACCGCAATCAGTATCAGCAAGAGGTGGAAGTAACCAAGTTGATGCAGTTCGAAACCAAAGCTGCAATAAATGTGGGATAAACGCACGTTGCCAGACTTGAGACCCAAGGAAGCGATCTGGACAAATGCCTCTGGACGACCCTCGAAGATGATCAGCAAAGCCCCCAAAGGCACCGATACACGGTACAGATGGAGACCTGTCCATGATATGGCAACGTCAGCGCAACACAGCTGCTCCCGATTTCTTAGGGTCCCATCATGAACATGTTATTGCCAGTCCCCTTGCCACTTAAGCGACGCTGCAGCATCAGCAATAAGTTGTGCCTACCCTCTGTGAGCTCAGTGGCAAGGGTGCACTTGCCGATAGGGCTTGGTGTGGCTGCCAGAGCATCGATGGCAGCTGCCAGTGCTTGTAGCTTTCTGGCATCAAGAGGCAACCGTTTCTGCAATGCAGGGGATATTTCCCCGCTGGCTGCCGCCTCCTGAGAGACAGCAAAAGCATCGTCAATCTCGGTGGTGAACCACATTACCCTTTATTGATCTATCTGCGTAGCAGTTGTGTGTTTCATAAGATGTTTGTCAGGGGGCCCTACACATACCTTTACATCTGCACGGTTGGCCTGAAGGATCTGTTCCTCAGAAAGCAAAAGACCTTCTCTAAATGCTGCCAAAAGTCTGTCTGTAGTTGCTGAAGGTATTCGGCTGGAAAGAGCCTTGGCGGATGCTATCCGCTGCCTAAGTGCATCCAAACTGCCGGTGGTGTCTGTGGCCGGACTTTCCATGTTGGCCATACGCAGGAACTGAGCCACCAGCACTGAATGGAGGGTTATTAAATGCAATACAACCCAACAGGAAATGGCCGGATCTGCGGCTGTTTAGCCTGGATTTCAGCAGAAGCTGAGCCGCTGGTCGAGTATAGCATACATCGGTTTGCCCCGTCAGCATGGGAAGATGAGAGGATAACAGGAGAAAATCTTGGAGGCTAAGTAGTTCAGCGGATCCATTTAATACAATTTTCTCCAAGTAGCTATTTATCATGATTCTAACCTCCCGCAATCTTGTTTTACTGCAGTGCAATTGGCAGAGCGTGGCGCTCGTTCCGCTGCCGAGATGCTGTGCTATCCTGGATCGGAGTGTTGCCTCCAGCAATGAAGAGGATACATCTTCTACTGCAATATCCACAAATGCTACTAAGAGCTACTTACCGAACTTCACAGGTCGCATTAATATTCTGCTTAAACAGCTGTTGACCGTCAATAAGGTGTACAGAGCATTAGAGCAGCCAAGAATGTCCTCCAGTTGCATCAAAGAGTTCTCCAAGGACATACATCTTACCACTTCTGCCTCAGTTTGCGTTCGCGTGATACAACTTAGCAGGCATGGTTGTTTCAAGGTACTTACAGTAGAAGACCTTCGTAGGTGGTTACCGGTGGGATTACGAGTGACGGAGACACTACTGCGCAGTGTCTCCACATGTGTAGTCCCTGCTGAAGCTGTCTCAAACAGTTAGTAGTCTAAAGTTTTGCACTGCTGTAGAAACTCTGCTATTGGGATTCTCTTGCGAGTATCCTTTTGAGGTGTGCATTGAACTTCTATCAGCGAAACCCACAATTACCCACTGCGCGCACGGTAATATGGATCTCAGCGGTAATGTGGGCCTTCACACTTTCCATTGCAGCGTCATGGTCCCTCTAAGAACTCCGCAGAGGCATTTTAGTCCTGACTCGATTGACACTTAATAGAAAGTTACTTAGCGTTTCTCAAGAAGACTACCTCGCTTCATTCCCCGAGCCCCTCCGACTCTCGAAGTAAGGAGAGAGTGACAGCGAACCTGCGTGTTGCTGTACCGCTTAAGCACTTCGAGCATCATATCTAGTTGCACATCGCATCTAGCGCACATGCACAAAAGTCTGGGTCTCTTGGTTCGTGGTAAGGCTACTTACCGCTAAAGGAGACATACAAACATAGATGCTAGTTAGTCGATTGCTTACTAATTCAAAAATAGGCATGAATTATGTAGTAAAAGGTGTTAAAGCGTAGCTATGCCCGCTGCATCTTTTCCCCTCACATTCAAAGAACGCCCTATTTTTCCGTACGTGTCCGTCAAGACCAACTGCGTGCAGCAGAGTGGGCGGGTTCTCGCCCCGCTGCGTTTGGAGCTAGGTGTCTCCCTGCGAAGACCTTAAATGAAACGTCAAAGTTGGGAACACCGCATTATTTGATGTATCCAATGTTTTCCGCTCAATCATTGTCTGTGGACGTAGTGGTATGTCAGATTTCTGTATAGTAGTTTGCTAGTTTCGATTAAGTCATATAGTAGCTCAATGCCCCAGTCTGTTGTCAAAGAAAATCAGTGTCAAGCCCTTGGGTCATGGAACTTGACTGCGGCAAGTTGCCTGTTGTGGCGGCAGAGGCCACCCTAGAAGCTGATATGCACAAAGTACTATTACACCTGGTATAAATGCTTGCTGTGTCACCCGAAAGGTGTGGATTATTAGGTGGGACTACGCCAGACAGAAAAGCATCCCACTCAAAAGGATAGGCCAGTGTTCAAAGGATCATAATCCTGTGTGGGGAGGTACCTCGCTTCGTACCCTCTACATGATAACAATAAGTGCTTCTCTGGGATGTTTCTAGGAGAGACTTCAATTTTGCCTCTATTGACTCACAGGAAGTCTTCTACAGAGATCAGTTCAGCTCAAGCCTTCACACGAGCCCTGGCTCTTCGATTCTTGTCGAGATCGAATGAGCAACAAGCTTTTCAAGAACTGAGAGAGTTTGAGCAAGGAAAGCCATCAAGTAAATGGTAGCTCCAGAAATATGAAACCTAGCTATGCTAACACTACAATGCAGACCTACAGCTGGTCAATTAGTGGTTTCTTTGGTTTATGAGTAATGCTACACAAGGTGGTCACAGGACGGGCAGGGACCCCCGAGCGGGCCATTTGAGAATGATGAATTATATGTGATTTCCGGAGCAAATGGGTGCAACCCACGCGCCTTTGACTAAGACGAAAAAGCCAAGGTGAAATGCAGAACCCGTGGTTGATATGGCAGTACCATCCAGGCTTAGCCTACAGTCTGAGCCGAATGAGCCAAGAAAGCCAGGGTGGCTCCGTGTTCCCACGCCACCACAAAAGACTCCCCCAAACGTACCTACTTCTATCGTTGTGAATTGGCTGTTTACTCCGGAAGCGCAAGCGCATGCAAAAAGAGCTTGATCAACGGGATCAAGCCAAGCGGGAGCAGGCTACTTGGCCAGCCCAGAGGGTGCGTCAGGGAAACGGAATGTTCTTCACGCAGGCTGCGGTAGAGTGGTGGGGGATGCAGTGGATAGAGCCGCAACTCGGAACTCACGACGGATGAATTCTGCGCTGATACGACTTTACTTAATAGCCAAACATTGCTAGCATTACTTGGCACTGCATATGAAGTGGATCTGTTATCTGGGGAAATAGCGCAGAGAGGCCATCTGCCTCTTCAGTCGTTAGCGCAATTTATGAGACCCAGGTTGCTGACGGGCAGCAGGGCACAAGGATTGGCAAGGGCTACAGCAGGTAACTGCCAGATCAAATCGGAATTGTTTACTTTCAGCATGTTCCATGACTTGCATTCTCGACCCGTGTACCAGGGCGCAATCCTATGTATTCCATGGGTAAACGAAGGGAAGGCGCTTGCGTAGCCTCCACAGCGCGCAGTTCTAAAGATTAGTGTACCCAAACGTGCTGAAAAAAACGATTGCAAATCTTTTAAACAATACCAATGTAATCTCTGGTAAGTGGGTAAAGTCGGTACCTCAGCAAGGTGAGGCATAGTCTCCACGTGACCGGCTCAGCAATGCAAAAAGAGCAAACGGCTGTGGGCACGCAACCCATCATACACGCTCAGCAACTCGTTAATTATCAGGAAATTCTACAGAAGCTTTTGTAGATGAGCAACACGAATTGGCAGATATAAATGGAAAACTCGCGGATGTGCAAAACAATGATGAGCTGCCAGTAGACTGGACACCTGGTCGTCCAGTGCACCGTATTGAACGAATCCGTGGGTTAGCCTCAAGTGTGTTCCACAGTATCGGGAGTCTCCACCTCCGGTAGAGAAGAGTGAGCGGAACGAGGATGAGTTGTTGAAAAAAGCAAAATGCAGGAATATAACAGCACCTATGGGCGTGTCGCGGTGTTGGTACCGAAAAGGGGGAGAAGGCGGCGCATGTGCGCTAACTTTAAGTCCCTGGGCGAGCTCACTGTGAAGCAGCTGTTCGAGATGCCTCATTATGGGTAAGCGCTTTGACAAGGTACACAGATCAAGAGTCTTTTGACTTTACAGATGCTTTCCTACAGATTTCCGTTGATCCAGATGACGGCAGCGAGACGGCGCTGCATGCTTGCACTCGCACATTTGAGTATCTCCTGTCTGAAGCCCCAGCTGGACTGCGACGGCAAGTGCAATAAGAGCATTAGGAGCTTAGCACTGAGGGTTGAATGGGTATTTACAATGACGACATGGTAATGTTCGGTCGAAAAGTTCAAGAACAACTTCACCAAGTCCTTCTAGTTTAGCCAGAACAAGCAAGATTTGAAGCAATCGAGGTGTAGCCTTTGCCATTACGCACCCTCAAGGACGTTACGGAATTCCGTAGGCTTGCAACTTACTACCACAACCTTGGCATTGCTTGTTATTCTTATCGCTCTAAAACCGAGCAGCGGTACTCTGTGCAGAAAAAGGAATTCTTTGCGGTATGGGGGACGTGGAGTCATGCTGCTAGTAATTATATGGGGTTCATTTCGTTGTGCAAGCGGAAGGTCAGTCTTAATGTATTTGAAGTTGGTTGCTGGCCTAGACACCTCATGCAACACGACTTCATGGTGCAGTATATTGATGGCATCACCAAGGTGGGCCCCCATATGCTCTCGAGACTCCACAGTAATTTACGGTTGTTCAAAACAACTGCCCTTATCTGTGATGATTCAAAGTTTCTATCAAGTTTATGTGAAACATCTGCTTTTGACACCCATGTATCTACTACATTGGTAAACTCCAGCGCGGTGAAAGCGTGAGACACTACCATGATGATGGCCTGCTGACGCTCGAACCAGAGAAAGAACTTCGCCAATTGTACATTCAGACTTTCCTCTGCAATACCGTTTTGACAGGGCACATGGTTTTCTTGGGACACTGCAAGATTCACTTTACAGTGGAAAAGCTGTCACGATCTTTTTGATGGCCTGGTATGCACCCTGGGGCAGGAGCTTATGCACTTTTATTCCTAGATTGCCAGCAGCTAAAGTTGCGTAACTCTCCGTAACGGGGCCGTCTACAAAGCCATCCGGTCCCTGAAAGGGCTTGGACTGCTCTAATTATTTACTTTTTCCTGTTGGACTACCAGAGCTCAGAATCAGAATAGCATCAACATCGTTGCGGACAAACTACGCACTATGCTCATTTCATCCCTTGATCCAGCTATGCCATGGCTTAGGCCCTGGCTCAATTGTTTTCGACGTATGACTGAAAGCTCCACGGGATCTTGAAGAGTATCATCACGAATAAGAAGTTAAACTTTGCTAGTGCGTTCGGGCGTGCCTTTTCTGATCTTCCCCAAGCATCGCCATAATATAGTTACTCCGAACCACTATGCGGCAAATCGGCAGCCAGAGCCCACCAACCGCACTTTTTGCAATATTTTCGACTTGACGCACTTACAGGTCCAAATACGTAGCTTACATTATGAACCATAGAGCACAAGGAAAAAACTCGCAGATAGTACTTGTCCAAACGTTGTTCTCCCGCATTCCTGGCCTGCAGTGAGGAGCCACTCACTACTTTCGGCCTGGGCCTAGTGGTCTATCTTCACTAGCCATACTTTACAGCTAGAATACTCAGAGAAGAGCTGGCTAGCACATGCGAATGCGTGGGCAAAGCTTAAAAAGGATGATCACAGTATTATTTCAAAAGGGGGGCAGTCGTCTGTGTATTTCGAGCGTGGAAACTTGGGTTTCGGAGGATTCACAGGGAATCGTAGATGCGTTGAATCGTAGGACTATTGCACGCCGAGGACACACAGTGCGTGATATTCTTGCTAGAAGGTTTGGGAATCCTCAGTTTCAGTGGTGACTGAAGGAGTACCTTCGGGTGTCGTTGCCTGCGGTAGACATTGCAGCTCTGGTTGTTTTGCGACGATAAATGGCATGGACGGTATTTTTTTGCTTTTCTGGGTAGCTTTCTTTTTTCAGGGCATGATTCGCCTAAATGGCTACCTTCCTCATGGGGTATTGCTTGGTCGATTGCTGGTTTCTACTCTTAGGGTGTCTTCTAAACTGGGATCAATGCGCATTCACACTCATGTAGTGTGTGTGTACATTCTTGCTTGAGAGTCCCTTGGGCTTTTGAAATCTACCAAGCTGCTTCAAACAGCTGAATTTGCCCGAAGAAACTTCTCTGAGTGGCGGAGACACTGCTGAACTAGTCTGCACCTGAATTTCTCGACGCGCTTTATTTGTCTTCGGTTTTCCGTAGCATGAAGCCTCCACATACGAGTATGTCAACGATAGCGCGCCGTCGCGCTGCCGCGTTAAGGTAAATTTCGTATTTGTTTTAGGGTGAGTTGCTAATTGACTTGTGTGTTCCTGTATCTCGTAAACTACAGAATTGCCTTAGCTCGATATAAGAAGACGCAACTCTGTGGGCGAGTGCGCTGGATACTATATGCGACTAGATGTAAGTGTACGAAGCGCTCAGAGGGTGCAACTACACGTGCCCTAGCTAGCCCTCTGCTCTCAGGTTGGAACTATGAGGGGAGCGGGCAGGGTAGGGATAGAGGCGTTTATGGAAACATTCACTAATTTTGTTGGCAAATTTCCATGAATTCGGGACCAACTGTCTCCCTACGGCGACGCAGACGGAGCTTTACACAAGCAGCATTACTCCTTACTCTTCTAGCTAGTGTTACTCTGCTATCAATAACATATACTGATAGTTAAACCAAGGAGTCAGTTTTTAGCTCCTTACTTGTTTGTAACTAGTGGAGTAGAAAGTGATCAAGCGCGGCTCAGCCCGCTAAACTCTCTGTCACTGTATACGACGATATCCTATGGCTGAATGTAGGGTAGAGTGAGTTTAAGAAGGATATTTCAAGACATAATATAGTCGTTTCAGGTGTTTGAGAGTGAATGCTGTCCTGTAGATATCTCGATCAGAGAGCCCGAGAAGATAACTTTCACAAAAGCTACTGCTCCACGCTTCCACTATCCTCGTGTGCAAGCAAAACCGTGTTTACCTTGCGAAAGCAGTCTGATGATGATTTGTGTGAGCCTACCGCTGCTGTCAAAAGGTTTTTGTGCTGGTGCACAGCTACCCACCTAATATATAGTTGAAGTCAAGGGTATACCTAAACATTTTTTCATCTGCGTTGTAAGCATGGACAAAATAGAAGAGCTTTATGATATCATGCCGAGCTTTATGGAAATTAGTGATAAGGTCAGGAAACACTTGAATGTAAGGTCCATCTGCTGCCGCAGTGGGTCTGGTTTGGGGCTGTCACAGGGCTGCTTCAACATGAGCTTCAGGTGGTCCAATATGGATAATCTGAATATCCTGTGGTTTATACGGATGATGGCAAACAACCTGAAAGGCGTGACCGTGACCCCTTTCATGCGTTGGGGTTCGTGCCGGAGGTCCGTGTGCTCGACCACAGCTTGCATGCATGCAGGTCTCCTTGAATGACTGAATTTCCATTCAAAACCTGGGCACTTTGTGGATGCATATCAATGTTCATTATGATCTAAGCTGCTTTGCCACGGAGAGTCAGACACCACTGGTGGACATCCCAGGGTCTGCTCCACGGGCTGCGCTGTATCCGGCTGGGCGGTGCTCCACTGCCACAACTTCCACAAAAATTCACTCACGCTTTCCCCTCTAGGGTTTGACTAGGAGGGTATTGTGCTTGGATTCACCGAGTGAGTGCTTCTACTTTGAGGTGTTTGTTCCTGAGCCACTTTATAATCACTCAAGACTTAGGACGCGCGAGAGAAAATGATGAAAAAGTTCGGACCAGAAGATATTTCCAGCCAGACTATCATGAAGTCATCCATGCAAAGGGCTGTTCGAACACAGGTTAGCTGAATGACATATTGTTGTCACATTATGGGGGACCAATACGTAGAAAAATGTTTTATGTTCGTGTCCAACGCCAGTCAGCTAGGTGACATGTGTGCATGTGATTTTAGCGATCTTGAATAAATAGTATGAGGTATATTCTAAGCAAAATTTGACCGTAGCAGATTCTCTTTCATGGCTATCGAAGAGTAGAGGTATTGAAGCAAAAAGAATCTGTCTTTCTCCTTGCTTCAGATTCTACAAGAATATCCGCGGTTAGAACCTGTTATGGAGGAAATCTGGCCAAAAAAGGCGTCACCCGTTCTTCTGAAGTGGTAATTTACCCTGTCTACCTGATTATTGACTGCCAGAGTGCACCACTGATGCTGGCTAAATCCACCAATCGACAAATACCCGCTGCAAAGACATGCTGGTGTTTTTTCGTGCTCAGCCAAAATCACATCAATATCGTGGCATTGAACGGCAAACCGCTTTTCTTTCAGCACAGAGATCGCCAGTGGGTGCCTACACTGCGACTACTTCACGAATGTGAGTCGATTAATGTGGCGCCATGCGGATAGTGTATTCAATATCTCATTTCATCCATGTTGTATCGTGTTCTAGGCCTCTGTTACATTCTGCAGACCCATCCATGATGCCGAAGATGCAGGTCGATAGAGGAGCCGTGAAGTTTGTTCTTCGGGGTTCAAATGTAATGTGTCAGGGCCTGACCTCTCCTGGAGGCAGAATGCAGGTGGTGCCTGCAAATGCTGTCGTGGTGAGCACAATAGACTAGTTTACATTTGCCTTTTCACCTTTCTCCCTGAGCATGGAATAATCTCCTGTGCTTTCAGCCCACTCTACATATTTGTACGGCTTTTGAGATTGAGCCACGCAAATGAGGTGATCAATCGTATGTATGTTCAGTGCTTTTTCGGGTGGCTCAGCAAATTGCTGTAGAGGGGAAGCAGCACAGCTGCGCAATCGGAGTTACGACCATCTCTACGGAGGAAATGTACGTCTGGTACTCAGATTGTTTGTCGGTGCTTCTGCACATCAGCACCCAGTTACGCGCCCCGTGGACGCAAATATTCTGGCATTACGTTACTGGATATGATGAACAATGGTTCATTCTCGCATGATGAAATATTACTTTAGGTTTACCGTAACCAGTGCAGCGGAGCGACGGAGAGGGGAGGACTTTATTAATACGTAGATCTGCTTTTGGCAGTTACAACCTATTTGCATAATATTGGTGGTTCTGTGGCTACTTTTTTGCTCCTGCAGTCGCCGCGAGAACAAGGGTCCTTGCATTGAAACCTTGACTTCGCTGGGGGATGGTTTGTGGACATACGAGCTCACCGTGTAGCCATGAGCACTACTCCTGCAAGGCCTCCTGGAACGGAAAGAATAAATCTATGGCACCCTGACCGGGATGCGGCTTTTGCTGGATTTAGAGAAACCTTGTTGTGGGTTTGTATCTCAATGACGGGCGATGCATGTGGCTTGTTATTACACTGGTATCATTGCATCGAATGACTGCGTATCCAACTAAATCGCTAGTCATCTGCAAAGTACCATGACGCTGCAGTTATGGCTTGGAATATAACTCGGACGAGAGCTTGTCAACTGGAAATCCACGCCAAGGAGCATTATGGTTAACTAGAATGCCACAAGACGATGAAATAATTCGAAAACATTGATTTTATGTCATTGTAGTGAACTGCAACTTCACCGTGCGGTCGCTGTTTAAATGCTGCCAAAACAGGGAGCAACGCAGCTATCCAACAATGCAGCGATATGCATTTAAGCTCATCCATCCATGTTTGCCTTCCTCATTGCCATTTCTCTAGAAAATCACGTTTTCTTCCCGCTTTAATTAGCCTTTTACTGCAGGGAAGGGATGAAGCTAAAGAATTACTCTTCTGGTGTTTTCATGCCTGCTGATTTCCTCGGTAAATATCTGGGTACCGAGTTTTGTGGCTTTCAGCTGATTCGTCAGATTTGGTGAACCATGCTGGAAGACATATACACACAGCACGAGTTCCGCTATGACACAATCCTGTACAATACTCCTGTACTGCACCGCACACCACCTTGAAAGATGAAGTTTTCAAATTTTTACAGGAAAATTAGGGATGTATTCTCTGAAGTGTAATGCCAAGCAACGTACAGCCTCAATTCTTACGGACTCCTTGTGCATTCTCAAGGGCTGACCTTCCTGCATTGCTCGCCTCAGCAGCTCTACCTTCCTTGCTCCTAGTTCCATCACTTAAAACTAGTTTTTGAGATACACTTTTCGAGCGACTAACAGTTGTGCATAGTGACTTTTCCCCCTCATGTTTTCCAAGTGGTTCTACTCGCTCCTTTGTGTTTGACCACATCTTTGCAGTGAAGAACTTTTCCTGAGAAGAGGAGAGCTTTTTGTAAGGAGCATGATTGGGCTCTAATGATACTGAAAATGCAGCCAGTAATTCTGTCTCACAGAAGGCATCAAACTTTAGCTAGTTAACTATAATTCAAGTTGAAGCCTCGCTTTATTTTGTTTAACCGATGTGAGAGACCTTCTGTTTAGCAAATTCCTTGGTTTGGTGTGCTTCAGAAGCCTCTGTACTGCGAATAATGGATTGTGGACCGGAGGCTGTGGCCGAGTTTGTGAGCGCACGCTATTCCGTGTCTTCCCCTGACCTCCTCTAAGGCAAGTTCCGTCACTTCTTTACTAGCTGACTCATTTGTCATCTTTGGAGAGTGGTTTGATGGTGTCAAGTGTGTTGAAGGGATCGAGGTGTCTCTTCAATTTGCTGACAGTACTTGCAGGTGCGGCTTGGGTCCGGTGCAACGCGAGACGAAGCAGGGCTCAAAGGACATCGCTCTTAGTTCGAAAAATAGGAAAGCCCTCAATTAGATAATTTTTTGCGCTATTTGTTGCTAGCAGTTTCCGCTGCTGCGTAACCCGCCCATCGCAGTGGGGCACTCCGGTGCCAGCCTTCGCTCCAGCGGTACCCCTGCGTTAAAAATCAGGAGCAACAAACCAAACAGATCTTTGAAAAGAGGGTACAAGTGCATATGTAATGGCCGTACTTTGGCCTTCTGGGGGTTTTGTTCCTCTGACTGCAGCGGGCAGGGGGGAACGACTTAAGCGGGCATAACATAACAGCAACACCGTCGTCTGTGGCTGCCGCATCACGAGAGCCCCGAGGCTCCGGTTCTGTCCTCTGCTGATTTGCCTGCCTTCTTTGCGCCACACGGCTTCCTCTGAGCAGAGAAATGCCTGAAAAACCAAAGCCACAGCAAGAGTTGGCTGCTTCAGTGTACGGGTAACCACTTGCTGTGCAGCGCTGAGTAGTGGGCTAGGAGGGCAGGAGCGCCAGCTCAAGCAGTCGCCTTTCAGCTGCAGTACAAACACCCCACGTCCATTCTCATTCATACATTTAGCTTATGGTAGTCCAGGTTTTGTGAGCTCTTCTCCCCAGATCCTGCAGCCTGCTGCCCCTCTCTCGGTCCAGAGATTAGCGGGGGGTTGACGCCAAGGGCAGCAGCTCAGGTGGCCTACCCTGCAGTTCGCGGAGGCCCCTTCCCCACACTTTTCCCCAACAGTGGGTTCAAACTGTTTTTGTGGATTTGTGTCTACTCAAGCTAAGTGGAAGGGTCTAGAAGAGGCCCCCAGTGCACCAGCATCCACGTGCGCCTTGGTCTGGCGGGGCAGCAGCGCGCCGGCACCCTGTCTCAGGCAGCCATCTTATGGCCACTCTGGGGTTCACAAACTCCCCTAAAGCCATAGAAGTGCCCCTTTTCCTCCTATGGGGATTCATTCAAGGCTATTCCTCTACCTCCGCAGGCACACTGGCCTAAGTGAGCGTCGAGTCGCTTCGGCTCCACTGGAGGCCTCCTACGCGAAAGCGGCCTTGCACTGGCTTTGAGCGTTTATTATAGGGGTCCTCTGGATACTTGCACTAGGAAGAGGTTCTCCGGATCACACGGAGGCCTCCTGGGACGGCTAGCAGCAGTTACAGCCAACGCCGTGGTACGTGGCATGCCAGTCGTTTCCATTCCGCACAGTCTTCACTCCCAAGTCTGTTGGGAATAGGGCCTGATCTCTTTGGGAGGATCTGCACTAGCGCATAAGCCGCAGTTTACACGGCACCCGTAGAGCAGCAGCAGCACACCCTACCAGACCGAGACAAGCACTCCCCTTTGCTCCGCCTTCACTTTTCCGCCTCCTGCCTCTCTCAGTTGCAGAGCACATAAAGCAGCGGGCCGCCGACCGAGCGGATCACAGTGCCTTCTCGACTGCACCTTCGCGAAGGAGCATGATGGAGATGCTGCCCTGTCACAGCGACGCAACTGTGTCTGCAACAGCAGCACTAGAGGGGGGTCCTACTACTGCGGTACCTGCTGCCGAGACAGCCGTAGACTCTGCGCCTTCCGGCACAACTGAGTTAGACCAGCCAGAGGTCAGTCTCTTGGGGCGCTCACCGAACTCGGAACGGCGGGCATCCACGTGGGGCAACTCTGGCAGCGGGAGCGAGCAGCAGGCACCAACAACAGCGGACTCTGAGAGCCCAGAGGCATACAACTATGAAAGTGTTACGGCGAACGAGACGCATCGAGAGGAGCGACTGCTGCTGGTGGAGCGGCAGCACGTCAAAGCCGAAGGAAGCTTCGGTGAGAGGGCCGTCGCGTACGCTGTTTGCTGCAAAGAGCAGCCAAAGAACGGCACTGCGGGGAGCTCCGCTTGGTTGCAGGACCCCTGCAGCAGCAAAGAGCAGCAGCAGGAGTCTCCTCAGGACGAGCACGCGGAAGAAGCGTCCGAGGAGGGCCCTCAGGGGCCCTCTGCCGTTGCTCCTGCTGGGCTGGAAGGCCGTTCAGGGGATGCAGCACTAGCGAAAATATCTGGAACAACTCGCGGGAGCAGCGGCAACGGCAGCGGCAGTGGCAGCGGGGTTCCTCCAGCCACGGCAGTGGCGCGTGTGCGCGGCTCGGCTGGGTCGACTGCCACGGCATCAGAAGCACTAGCCACAACGAGCAGCCGGAAATGCATTGACGAGGGTTCGGTTCGTCGTCACGTTGTGCCTGTTGGGCCGCGGCACCAAGTTCCCTGTTTGCCTCCCTTCTTCCTTGAGAGCGAGACTTTTGGCTGCGGGTGCAGAGAATCCTCCCCCGGACTGGATCCGAGTCTGACGGCCAAGCTGGTGTACTCGCCTTCCTCGTTGGAAAGGGTGCGTCAGCGTCGTTTGGCTGAGGGGCTAGCTGATCGAGCTATTTGCTCGGAGGGGGATATGGAGGCCTTTATGCAGCAGTGCGCGAAGAACTGGAAGGGCAACAAGCCAGGATGGCAACCGTTCAGCCCAGAATTCGCCTTCAAGCTGCTGCACTACGCGGGTTACGACCCCGCTAGGGCTCTGCAGCTCATGGAAGATCCCCAATTTCCGTTTCAACTCGTATGTGATGGCCCAGTGAGGAGGTACGACAATAAGTGGAGGCCAAAAGACAGACGCGGCGTCATCTCTCCCACCCCGTACCCCCCTCCTGTGTTCCTCAGAGGCTACCTTTCGAGGCGGCATTACAGAGAAAGCTCAGGCTACTCACTGCGTTGACTGCACCGCCGTTTTTGGCAGATGACGGCTGTTTGAGAGTGGCGACAAGTGCGCGTTTTAAGGGACCTGACGCATGTTGTACTCGAATCACGGAACGGCTGTGCGGATGTCGGCAGCCACGGACGCACTCTTCCATGGTCCGCCCAATCAGGGGGTCTGACTGGGGCCGCACTTCTAGCCGAAGGGACTCAAGGGGGACAGTAAAGCCTTCAATGTGCAGGAGAATCGCTGTTGCTGCCTCTCGCTGGTGTTATGGCAGCTCCAGTGTCCCTCCGCGATCTGTCTTAGTATGCAATGCACGTAAGAGGAGGGCTGAGTTCAAGCAAGAGCGGGAGGTCGGCTGTTTCTGTTTTGCTACTGACAAAAGGGGCTTTTCACATAGGCTCCACATACGTCAGCCATCATAAAATTCGTTCAGATTTTAATTATCATGAGAAGAAAGCGTACGATGAGAGGGAGTAGGCACTCACGCATTAGGCACTACAACTAGGTAGGCACTGCAAGATACTACTATGGAATTCACGGCAACAAACTGCAGCACAATGCACCGTGCAAGCCACGGTACACCATAATGTACGAACTAATGACTAATGCCTTGCATACAAGTATTGGTGAACGTAGCTGTATTGCTCTGCGACATCGTTATCGAATTTTAGGTTCTATGTCGAAAGATACCGTCCTGTCGCGTCGGCCGTTTCATGGGGCCACTAAGGCCTGGGTAGACCTGGGTGCAGTGAAAAGTTATGCAGCACAAGCAAAGCAGAGCCAGTCTGGTAGTTTCAGAGCGCATCTGCTAAGGAGAAGCAGTGGCCGTTGGCGTTAGAGTACCTGGCCAGGTACTCTAACGCAGCTACGGTTATTCCGCGCAGCACAGCTACTTCATTTCAATCGCATGACTGCGTAGATACCACACGGTGGCTATCGGAATATTCTGGAATGAAATATCTAGGAGAAACTGCCTCTGCTTGCCTTTTGCTTGGCTGGCATTCAGCTTACGGTTACATCAGCGAGCGTAAGCACAGCAGCAGCCCATATTTGGCTGTGTTTATGCCATAGGTCGCTGTATGGCAGCTACATTTATCTTACAAAACCTCTTGGATGAGTTAGAGGGAGGCAGGCTTGGCGAATACCAGCCACTGAGGTACGAGACTACGCCGACACACGCGAGGTGCTGTCGCGGCTCCACCAGCACAGCAACCAGCAGGAGGGGACAAAGAAGGAGCAAACCACTTAGTACGGGTAAGATGGAGTCAAAGTAAATAAAAGCAGTGGTTTTCTGCCTGGAGTTTCCCTGAAATGCTTACGCGCACTGCTACGTGCGTGCAACCGGACAGATGTGGCGGTGTTGATGATCGGTGGCGACAGGGATCACGACCGTTTTAAGGGCAGTTAATGCTTGGCGTCCTTAATAGAACAATTATTTTGTGTCTTTGACGCTGAGAGATATTCTAGGAATTACTTAGTCGGGAGTCTCAGGTGCACAAGAAGACCATCCACCCATTTAGCTGGCAAGCGGACCCTGGAGCTGAGAGAGGGCGTTGCTGGGCATCTGCGTTTCTCCTAATCTATAAACCCTCAGCCGTCAGTCCTATTTTTACACAAAGCACAGCAGTGGCTGTAGGCTGTAGGGCTCAGGGTTTGGGACTACGGCGTAGAACTTCTGCCTTGCGACTGTGTCGAGGCTATCGACCCGCGATGCGAAGTTCGATGTGACCTCACAACTAGAGGCTCTCCCAATTCCTTTTTTACTCAGCCTCCTGCGTTTCAAAACATAGCCTAGCTCAGACACATGTGCGCCCTCTGGGCTGTGAACTTTTCGTACTCTACCCTGAAACCCAGTCCATAGGACCGATGCAGGAAACCACCGCCTACTTCTGCCGGAGCTCGACAGAGCACTCAAGCAACAGAGCTCGAGGGAGGCAGTAGAGGCTACTTCAAATGTGCACAACCAGAGAATCCTCTGCTTTTCACGCTGTGAAAGCACGTTTACGGTGTGCATGCACCAGACGGAACACGCGTGCATCGATGGCCGCTCAGCAAGCGGCTTTGTGTTTCATCCAGCTACAGTAAATTATCTTCCGAGTATCGCAGAATCCCTACTGTGCTTAGTTGTGGGTGAACGGGGAAGTGTGTGGCAACCTGTTCTTGGAGACTGCGCTTCCACCCCTAGTAGGAACACACTGGGGAGTATAGTCCTAGAAGAGCAAGCCAGCTGCCAGATCTTTCAATCCGTCATTCTACATTCGAGGCAATTTACTGGACATCACGCTGAACCCAATTGAGTTGGTGCTGCCAGAGCTAGACCCCGCCGTTCTGCAAGCGTGGCTGAGGAGATAATGTTGAAGAAGATATCGTCATTAACAGGGGCAGGCTACTATGGCTACGGCCGCTCAAGCAGCCCAATCAGCTCACATGACAGGTCCATGGATATGGAGCGACTTCGGCGCCGCAGCCGCAGTAATCCTAGTGAAAGCTCCGCCAAAGAAGGTGGGAGGTATACAGAATGCATCTCCTAGCTGGCATTTTCTTCTTTAACGCGACTGCTAGCCGCTCATATCCACGCATTTATTCACCCGCTGGTGCGTCTATGTGTATTTGGCCTTTGATTGGTCTTCAGGCTCGCACAGAGAAGCAGAAGGACTCCGGTAGGAGGCACAACCATGACCGTTCCACCACCCACCTCCATGCCTAAAGTGTGCACTTTGAAGAAACGTGGCAGGCTCGCTCCTGTGCAAGGTCGTGGTGGTGAAACACAACTAAAATACTGTACTGATGGTGCACTGAGAAGTTTCTCTTGAGGTTCCCACTACAGTTCCACCAAGCACCATTGCGTCGCTTTCAAACTATCAGTTTATTTTGCATCACAAAAACACACCACGATAGAGCCGTTCCTCAAAATAAGAATGGGAGCCAGGGCAACCCACAAAGCAGCGCAGCCTTTTGTGGCGTGACCTGTATTATCTGTTTTTTGATCATTCCATTTTTTCATGGTTCCCTTCTATGTTTATACAGTAAGAGTTAGAGGGAATGCACAAAGCTCAGAAGCAGTGAAAAGACTGCTGATACACCCGCAACGGTCCTGGCTAGCGCCGTGTCTGCTGCTCAGAAACACAATGGAGATGCTGGCTGCGGAAAACAAGCACCTTAAGAAGCTCATAGAGGATCGCGATGCACGGGCGAGCTCACTGCACACAGCAGACGAAAGGTAGGGAGCCTCGGCTTTGTCTGGGGGTATTTATTTCGTTTCCTGTTAGGGGTCCCGTTGGGGGTGTGAGGCAACAGAGTGCTGAGCCTTTACTTGAGGCTTACGCGTGTTGTTGCACTGCTCGATGTATTTTCAGGGAAGGAGGAATGGAGGTGCTGCGCTCAGAAAACAATGAGTTGAAGGTGATCGTCGATACATCTGCGCGCTGTACAGAGGGGCAATGCTAACTGGTATTGTGGTCGCCCTATTGTGTGTGTACTTGCGTGTGTATTGCTTTAGTCCGGCTTCCAGCTGATCTAAGGCCGCTTAAGGGAATGTACAGCCCTCTACACTATGGTAGCGGATAGAGTTTCACGGACTGTGCGTTGATGTTCAGCAAGAAGTCACCAGACTGCAGAGAGAATTGCAGTCCAAAGAAGAAATTCTTGAATCAATGCAGCGGGAGGGGTCAGTCATTCGCAGGCACTTTCCCAATTTTTGTCTCTCATTGCTGGACTGTTTGCATTAGAAAGCTGATTTGCGCCACACGATGCGAAAGGGCCACGGAAGTAGGGCTGAGGCGAAAAAGACGGAACGAAGCACAAGCAAGTCGGAGACGGCGGAGTCATGCCGTTTTCTTTGCATTTCTGTGGGGCTTGATGCGCACACATTTATTGAAACTCGTACATGTTACACGGTGGTGTTGTGGCGTCTGTTTGACCTTCAGCGCTTTGCTGAGCAGCGAGGTGGTAGAAGGACTGAAGAAAAAGGTTGCATCACTGGAGGCACAACTCGCTTTTGAGTGCCGCAACCACTCTAAAGAATTGAATGAAAAGTGCGTCGTTGCCATTTAACTGTGTAGAGGGGAGCGAACGGGGGCAAGTGGAGGTAGCCAATGGACTGGCATACGCAGGGGGTTGCTCGGCTCTAGCCACTTTGTGAAGGAGCGGGGAACTGGGAGAAGAATATTGCGTGCTCGCTCTTAAGTGGGGCTTTGTATCCTTAATGCACAGGGGATGTGGTCCTATGAATCATTCTGGGTGGGCAGGGAAGCAAGGGTTGCTGAGCTTGAGATGCAGCTCCTCGATGCGCAGCAGCAAGCTTCCAAGCAACCGGCAGAGGAGTGAGCTCTCAACATTGCCCGACGGAGGAGCATACGGGGAGTGGGCATTCCAAGGCAATAGTCAAGACACACAGGGGGGGTCATAGGACGAACGGAAGAGTGTGGGGGCAGGCGAAATGTGGGCGAGGCACCCTCAGCGTATTTGAAGAGCCACCACAAAGTGCGCAGGACCTAAATTTGCAACAAGTTTCTGCTGCAGGTCCCAGTGTCTTTGTGCAGAGCTGCAGAGGGGAGTGCGAAGCAAATAGAGGATCTGAAGAAACGGCTAGCTGCGCAGGACGCAGAGTTGACTCGGTGAGCCAATGCGCCACACCTGCAGCTGCTGCGTTCTTAAGGTGCTACCTCTTTGCTCTTGGAGATATGTCGCGGGCAAGGACCAGCAGAAAAGAGGGGCAGATGACGATTGCGTCCCCGCATAGCGGCATTGCGGCTAACAGAAAAAGTACCGCCTACTAGTTTCCTCACGTAGCCTGCAGCTAGCTGCTAACGCACTGTGCATCAGCTCGCTATACTTGTCGCCTGTAAGTTTTGGCTATAAAGGGCTTTGCTGAGAAGGTCGTGTAGCAGATAAATTTCCTTGTGGCGCTCATCTTAGGCGGGAATTGGAATTGCACCGGCTCACCGCCGCTCTCGAAGGCAAAAGTGGAGGCCAAGGGCACCAAATAGCGGACGGTGGGAAGGTCCCTGAAGCGTCGCTTAGTGAGGCGCAAGAGACTCAGGACCTGCGGCACCGTGTGTGAGTCAGACTTCCCAGTTTTTGCTTTCTATGCCCTTGTATAACGAACTGTATCGACGCCGCTGTGCAATGACAAAGGAAGCAGCTTAGGCTTCTGTACGTATCGCCGAAGCCAAAAAGGGGTTCTCTTGCCCTGGGCGTGCGCTTTCTTCGTAGGGATATACTAGAGATGCAACTGGCTGAAGCAGAGTCAAAGCGCGTTGAAGCTGAAGAGTGTGCCAGTAGCCCACTGTGTCTCTTTCTGTGGCCTTGCTCTGCTGATCGCTCGCTCTGTCTGTCTCTCTCTTATCCTCTCTTTGGGCCTCTCTCTGACTTGCCAACCGCATGTCTCGTGGTAGCCTTTTGCTTCTGGCTAATTACTTGCTGAGAAAGGGGGTTTCTGCTCAAAGGAAAGACACTTTTTCACTGTATTTCCAAACGTTAGGCTGGACGGCTCTTGCCAACGAACGTGCAAGCTTAGAGTAATATACTTTTGAAATGTGGCACTTTCTTCAGAGCATTGTCGGTCCATCGCGCCTTGGCGGAAGGCGACGGTGATGCGCTTCCTATGCTCGAGAAGCTTCGGCGCGAGATGCAGGAAAAGAACGCAGCACTTGAGAGCATGAGTCAGCAGCTTCTGGAGATTTCGGCAGAAAGAGACGAAATAGAGCAGGTATCTGATACAACAAACACATGGATAGACATCAGCGTACGGTCCACGACTAGGACGTTTCAGTAGAACAGTAGTGCTGCCTGTTGATGAAAGCCACTGAACCCCTAGGACAGGAGGCAGGGAGCATGATACTTCTAAGGAGCGAGATACCTATGTGTAGATTTCGGACCGTGCGTTGCTTTTAATTGTGCTACCCTGGTTTAGACGCGCTCGCTGCACGAGGCAAGCGACAGCAGGAAGAATTGTCACTTTATGCCGCTGCGCCTATTTTTCGTGTCCTCTTCTTTTGATTCCCCTCTGTCGATCCCTGTTTACTAGCCTGGCCGCTTGTCAGTGTGCCTGCTTATGCCACTGTCCCTTTGTTGATTACCTCTTGTGTGGCGTTCGTGCCATGGCCATGGATTGCACTGTACAAGTCCTCCTCCCTTTCCATTCCGGCTTCTCAGGAATTTCAAAAGCTGCGAGAGGCCCCTTCAGCTCCTGAGACTCCCCGGTCTAAAGGCAGCCGGCGGGGGGGCCTCTTTGGACGCAGCAAAACGGTGGCTTTGGAAAGGGATGCCCTGGCACTGCAAGTGCAGCAGCTCGAGGAACAGCTGCAAACGCTCAACGAAAAACGTGTGGAGTTGGAGCGAACAAAAGTGAAGATGGAGGGGCAGCTAGCTGAGGCAGCACAAGAGGTTAGAGCTGCGAAGGGCGAACAGGCCAGTCTGAAGGACAAGGTGAGACAAGCGAAGGGAGCTTTGCACAATGAATCGGCATCTCAAAGGCGTAAACGCAGCTCTATGCGCTGCAGAGCGCAGGCTGGACCATTTTTTTGCAGTGTATCCGATCGTGTAGAGCTTTGTTTGTGCTCCATCTTGTTGCTACGCGAACGCTTGCTGCACTGAGCACAGCACTCCCTGAGTCGAACATGTATCGTATCTTGCTTTCCCTCCATATGCTTTTGTGTCTGAAAGCCTTTTGTACGGTGCGTGCACAGCTTCAGGAGAGGGAAGCAGCTCTTCAGGCCCTCCGGGCTGCTAAGGTACAAGCCGTTCAAATCTAGTTCATAAGGGTGTTGCGTGCCTTTGCGCACTCCTAGACCCTTGATCCCTTCAAAGTCCTGCAGCCAGGAGATTGTTAGAGCTGTTGTGCCTCAATCTCAGGCAGACATGGATATGCCTCTTGAAAAATTTCAAGCTGTTTCGCTTCCAGTGCCACGGGGTAAGCGTGCTCTGCCTCAGTCCCTCTGGCTGTTATCATTTCTGTTGTTGGTCTCCCTGCTGTGATATCCTCTGTTGTCCTCTTTCTTGATTCCTGCCTTCCTTTTCGCCTGTGTTGCTGGGGCTATTGCGCGATACACGTGCCAAAATCCATTTTGCGTGTCCTGCGCTTGAGATCGTGCAACTTGTTTGATGTCACTGCTTGCCAAACGCATTTTGAAGGGCCCCCTCCTCCCCATGGTTCCGTAGAGTCTGTGTGCTACCATCCCACACGACTCCGTCTGCCTTGCCACTGCCGAGAGGAGCCCGCTTGTTTCTCTGGAAGCCTGCACTACCTCTTGTTATCTGCTTCTTCGTAGGCCCCCATGATGCGGACTTCGACGCAAAGGCCGAGTTGGTTTTAAAGGAGGGCGTCATTAGGACCCTTAGCAGTAGACTGGCGTACCTCCAATTTGCGCTAAAGGAAGTTACAGCGGAGAAGCAGCAGCTTTTAGCGCAGCCCGCCACTATTGCGTTGCAGCGGGTACGTTGGCGCTGCTGCAGGAGGCAGCTCGAGCGCTTTTCTCCACATTTCACGAGCGCGCGTTTAATTATAGACAGGGGGGGTGAGGGCAAACGGGTGACACACACACAGAGAAGCTCTTCTTATGTCGCAATGCCTTGCCGCCTTGATTAAGAGTCGTGTGGTGCGTTGCAATTCGTTGGTTCGTTGCAGCACCTGGAGGAGGTGAAGAAAGACCTGGTGGAGGCGAAGGCCAAATATCGAGAAGCTGCAGCTCAGTGCACACAGCTTAAGGTACACCGTCGCGGCAGCCCAAAAGCAGCAAAGGGGGGCATTGCTTGCTCTGCGATTCAAGTTGAAGCGGCCAAGGGGCCCTGCGTGTGTCAGTTGCTGGAGGCTCTATGTCGGGCAGAGGGGAGGGGGATCAGGCGAGACTGATCCTCCCCGCAGGTGAAGAAGCGTCGAGGCGTCAATGAGGGGGGAGGGACCCTTCATGGCATGCACGCTGTATGTACATCTACGGCCGTCTTCAGGCGAAAGTAAAGAGCCAAACAGAGGAGATAGCGGAGGCTGAATCAGACCGACGGGCACTCAAGGCCGCTCTCGAGGAATCCCAGTTGAGGCTCAGCACGACGGCAGACAAGTACAAAGAGCAGAATGACAGGTACTGCACAAACGAATTCCACGGAAAGAGGTGCTATCGCAGAATGCGGAGACACGCCTCGAGACGACGGGCACGTTAGTGTTTTCCCGGAGAAGAGGGGAGGCTCGAAGTTTGGTGATGCATTCTCTTTTGCAAAGAGAATCGCAACCTGCTACGCAGGATTCTGAGTGTTCAATCATAGTTGACTATTCCTCGCCGCTTAGCGTGGCTGCGTTCGTGGGCGGCTGGCTAGCGCTATATTCTTTCCATTAACGGGGATACTGGAGGCCTGGGAGGGAGACAAGCGACGCACTGCGAGAGGTTCACGCCGGCTGATGTTTTGAAACTTTGTGTTCTCCTGAAGCGGTGTCAGCGGCACAAAGAAGCGTTGGAAGGACTGCATGCTGGCTCCCGCCGGATGCAGCATCTAGTCTTGTGTCGTCCCTCTTCCTGTCGGCTCCGCGTGTCGACCCTAGGGAATCCAACGAAGAAGCCCTAGCGTGCTTAGCGGGGGATCACTGTCAACAGCGGCCTCGAAGGCCTGCGAATTCGAACTGGTCCATCAACGACGCTGTCTGCCGTTTGCCGCTGCGCGAGCTGTACGTTGCTTCTTGGTGTGTTGATGACGCAGGTATCGAGACATCGTGTCTGACTCTCTAGCAAAGGTGGAAGAGCTGCAAGACGAGGTCTCAAGGGAACGCAACGGGTCAGCTAATGCACATGCGTATGCTCTTTCCTCGCTTGTAGACTTCGTGTTCTCCATCTGTACGCCGCTTCTACCGCCTGCGCCCTATCGGTTCTCCCCTGCACCTCTGCTGCAAGTGTGCACTAGCTTTTCTGGCGGAAAGACGTCCAGCGGGCTCATTTTGCTTGGTGTCCATCCGCCCTTGCCCTCGCAAAGCCGTCTGTGCCTCTGAGTGCCTGCCAACTGCACAGCAGTCTTGTGTTGTGCCCCAGAAAAATCCTCGTCGGCAAGGTATATAGGCAGGAAATGCTGGAGCTAAGGAAGGCGGCTGTGCAAAGAGGGGCGATCCGGGGCGATCCCCTTCGTCCGCTGTCCGTGCAGAGGCCTCAGGCGGAGGGGGCGCTCAGACAATCGCATGTGGAGCAGAGTCTCCCAGAAAAGCTCCCTACCCTTCCGCCTCCAGTCTCAGCGGCGCCTTTGTCTCCGGCACTCCCCGCCTTAGTCACGGCGGGATGCAGAAGCGCTGTGCCTACCGGAACGGAGTGGCCTCGGGCTGGGGGGCACCCTTGCCTGTTTAGCGGCGGTATGGCAGTCGCCGTCAACAAGTCTCAGAACAATGGCGAGTTCGCAACCATCCCTGCTTGCCTCTCACTGGGACTGACGCCAAGGGCACAAACAGATGGACGACCCTCACCCCGCTTTGTGCCTTTCGCAGGCCCCCCAGCGTACTCCCTACAGATGCCTTCCGGAGCAGCGATTACACGCGACCAGCTTTTGGCAGCAGGGGTCCTACATGCGTGTGTCAGTGAGCAGCAGACAGCACAGCAGCATCGGCGAGAAAAATTGCCAGAGGAGAGCTCGCCCTGCAGCGTGATCTCTCTTGCGTCGGCGGGCGTGTTGGATACTGAGGCCCCCTTCAACGCGCATGCAATGGCCAGCATTCAGCAGCAGCAGCAGCGGCCCCATCAGGCTGCAAGTGGTTACACAGGAGCACAACAGCAACAGCTCTCCCCGGAGGCTCTTGCAGAACGGAAGCCTTGGCGAGCACGTGTCTCGCAGCAGCCCCTGCAGCAGCTGGCGGGCGAATGCCCCGCTTCATTGCCAAATAAGCATTCCCCTGCAAACCTCGGATTAGGGGCAGTAGCACTGGGCAAGATGAGCGATTCTGTCCCCCGCGATGGTTCTCATGGGACCGGTTCTGATGGGGTAGGGGCTCCTGCCCCTGCTGCCGCGATGAGCAAAGACACCCTGAGGAGTCCCCTGGTGGGTGCTACCCGCGTGGAAGAAGCCACCGTTCTTCCTAACCTGCAGACGTTTGAGAGCCAGAAAGAAGTGGCTTTTTTTTCGGGTGCAGACTTGGGCAGTTGCGGCTATCGGCAGCTGCTCGAGGGCACCCTGGGGGATGAAAGGGACTCTGTCGACTTGTCATAAAGCCAGCTCCAAACATGCGGCGTGGGGGCAGGCTACGTTTTACTCGGCAACGGGGAGAGGGAGCGCAGCTTTCGTGCCGCTCCGTAGGCACCAGCAGGGCAGAGGCCCGCCAGAGTAGGCTGTTTGTACGGAGACGTTTTTTTTTGAACTCTGTTTGGTGGACGCTGGGGTTGGTGGAGGGAGCTGCGTGGTATACAAGCAGCAGGGGCTGTTTAGCTGGCGTGGGAGAGTACGGTGAGACAGCCCTATTAACTAGCTGCGTAGGGCACTAGGAAACCTTGAGTAAAGGACTTATAAGCCTTTTGGGGGCCCTGGCCTCAACTAGCAGGCGCCACGGGAGGTGGAGTGGAGGGACAGGACCCTCCACATGGCTGCATTCGGTTTGCCTTTTTCCCCGAGCAGTTCTCGAGGGGCTCTCCTACAGACTCACAGAAGTCCGCTGCAGGTAAACCTGCAACAGCGAGAGGTCTCCTCTAGCAGCGCCAGGCATCATCTCCTGGGCCGCTGCTGTGAGAGAACAAGGACCGAGGGGTAGGCCACTGGCTAATGCGCAGCAGCAGCAGCAACACGTAGCTGGCAGCACCTCCTTGCTGTTGAGCTCCCTCCGCGAGTCTGCTTGCAGCTCCCCCGGGGAAAACCGGACACGCGGGTGAGGATGGGAAGGGGCCTTTTAGCGGACCTTTAACGACACCCCTTGGTGGCAAGAAGTGACAAACAGCAAGTCACAGCCACAGTTTACCAAACTGGGCAAACAAAGCTCCCCTTTTTTTAACACTGTAGAGTTTCGCAGACAGAGCCTTGTATGAAGCTTTCGACGAGTTAGTGTTTGCAACTGCTCGGGCACGCCCTCCCTATCCATTCCTCCGGAAGGCGGCAAAAGCGGCAGCAATAGATGCTGCCAACAAGCCCCTACAGAGACCCCACCCTCCCTCTACCCCCACCCTCGCTCTTCACTGTAACTCGACAAATTTGAGAGCCTCCAGGGCAGTGGCAAGTCGCCTGAGCTCCTCTGGCCCTCCCGTCCGCAGTTGGTCCTTTCCCGAGGGATCAGATGACGAGTCCCCTGTCTGTGTAGCGGCGTGATACGCTGCAGGTTGCCGGAGAGCCGCGATCGCTGCAGAGGCGAACGCCTCTACCGCCTTCATTGTGCCCTTTGGAGGGGGAACTTGCCTTCCGCAGCGACTCAGGATCTCCGCTGCTGCTGCCAGCAGCGATAGAGAGCCACAAACCTGCGAGGCATGCCGCAGCACAATCCCATTAACAAGCGAAAGCAACTGATGGAGAGCCCGCCGGAAATCCGACGACTCTGTAACAAGCGAAGCCCTCTGCCTCGGCGTTGCGTAGTCTCCAACTGCGCCTCCAGTCCAGCGGCAGTGCGCATGCAGCAGAGCCGCAAAATCGCTGGCCGCCAGTAGCAATAGCTGCACCTGTCCTGCCGTCCTCGGAGCTTCGGGCGGGAGATCCGCAATGACTCGCGCATGCCGCAGTAAAGCTGCTGTCACAGCAAAAAGGAATGCCGGTGCTTCCCGCAGAATAACCAGAACAGCCTCCGAATGACTGCTGCTGCTGCTCCTGGTGCTGCTCGCGCTGCCGTTGCCAGCGAGGGGACACACCTCCTGTTGCTGCTGCACGACTGCCTGTGTTTCTGCTGCCCCCTGTGCCTGTTTCACCGGCAACGGCGTCTTTCCTTCGAGCTGTTCGGCGGACTCCATCTCCACTCGCGCTGCAGCAGCCAGAGGCCTAAGCAAGTGGAAAAGCTGCAGTAACCCGCACTCTGCAACCAGCGCAGGCGCATGCAACACGCCAGACCTGCAGGCAGACGCAACAGCAGAACCTTAAGCGTAGCGGCACACACAGTGGCATCCAGCAGCAACTGCAGCTGCAACTGCAGCAACTGCAGCAGCACTATCTGTTGCAGCAAGCCTAGAAGCATCGCACAAACGCGCTGCTAGGGCGTGTCCGTACAGTTGGGAATATGTGTGTGTGTCTGCGCAAGAATACGGTTGGCGTTTGGCGTACAGAATGCGTTGCCGAGCGTGAATCCCACAGGACGAGAAGCAGTTGAGCAGCAGACCTAAGGATACGCCGGCAGTAGATACCCAGCTCATGTGCGGCCTCTCGGCAGGCAGGAGGGAAACTGCCGGGGGAGGGGCCTCCACGCCATTCAGGGTAAAGGATTTCAAGACTTCGAATACGCTCTGTGTCTCCTGCCTCTGCTTTTCCGTCTCCTCCTCGCTCTCGAGAGGCCCCTCGGAAGCAACAAGCCGCGCACCGGCTCTCAGCAGGGGCCTCCTGCCATCGACAGCGTTCGCTCTTAGGCCCCGCTGCGGGTGCCCTCCTTGCTGCTGGAGAAGGAAGTCGTTGGCTGCTCGAATTGCCGCCTCGCAGTACACTGCCAATTTATCGGCGAGGCCTCCGGAACGCTTGAGCATCTGCGCAGCCGTGCGAGATGCCTCCTGCAGAGTGAGGGGTTGTTTGGCCCGTGTACGTGACAGGCTCGCAGCAAAGGAGCCCGCAGCAGCAGCAGCACCAAGAGCTGCTTTTTCCGTCCGCGTCGCCGCCGTCGTCTCAGCAGTCGAAAGGGTACCCTGTGGGCCTGGGGGGCCCCCACTGAGAGGGGCCCCCAGGCCCCTCTCCGCACGGCTAAGGGCCCACAGAAAAGATCCCACTTCCCTCAAGCCGGCAAGACGGATGGTGCACAGCTGGGCAGGGGCGGTAGGACGCCTTGGGGGACGAAGGCCTGTACCCCTGCCAGCAACCAGCGCCTTAAGGGGGGTTGTCGCGCTCTGTGAAGAGGCCCCTGCAGGAGAAAAAGATGCGGGGGAAGCAGCATCTGCTGCGCGAATCCCGGCAGCCTCCGCGTCGCAGTACGCGTTCACCGCATGGGGAAAGGTTACGCCTTCCTCCATAGCCGCCACAACCTCGAGAAGCAACGCAGCTGCTTCGGCCTCAGCTTCGCTGCTCAATTGCTGCTGCTGCTGCTGCTGAGCAAGCGCAGCAGCAGCAGCATCGCCCCCTTCCGCCCGCGTGGTAGCGGCCCGCGGTGTACCCACCTCCCCTGCTCCTCCTGTGGTGGAGGCGGGGCCTTTAGGCGCTTCGACAGCCTTTGTGCGGCGGAGTCGGAGAACGTTGTACCCCAAAAGAAACAAAAGAGGGGCTGGCCACGCGCGAAAGGCGTAACTCTTCTTCCTCCGCAGTTCTGACACATAAAACTGAAGCAGCAACACTCGGCGGAAGGCGCACACACATACACACATACATACATACACACATACACATACATACACACGTACATATACATACATACACACGTAGATATACATACATACACACGTACATATATATACATACACACGCACATATACATACATATACATACATACACATACATATACATATACACATACATACAGGGGGCACCCACAGAAAGCGCATGCCGGCTGGTCTACATGCAACGGGATAAAGCGGTTTGAGAAGAGGTACGCTTGCCGGTGCGTCAGTGAGTGTGCACGCACGGAGGCCGCAGATGGGCGATCAACGGCATAAATACGAACAGCGGCATAAATAAAAACAGCAGGAACGCGGTTGGCAGCCGTACCTCGACAGCAGCAGGATGGACAAAGCGAGCTACAGGGGAGGCCACTCCCCACGCCGGGGAGAAGGTGCTCAACCCTCGAAGGCTGCGTGACAAAGTCTCTAATTGCTGGTGCTCTGCCCATGTTCCTTTTGAGGGCTGTTGCTGAGTCTGCGGCTGCTTTCCTTGAGACGCCTCGTGGCTTCCACCAGCGGCAACTCCCTCTGCAGCGACTGCTGCGTCGCGGATTAGACGCACCTGCTCTTCCGTGTGCATCGGCGAGGCCCTTGCCGATAATCTGGACGTCCAGAAGGGGATCAGCGAAAACGTGAGCAGCGCAATATCCTCGGGCTGCTGCTTGTCGAATCCACGCACAGCAGCCCACAACGTAGCCGTGGAGGCGAGTCCATAGAGCGCTGCCTGCAGACGTGAGGCCCCCTCTCCTTCAGAAGGTCCCGCCGCAAGGAGGGCACCTTGAGATTGCGCTGACGCAGGAGTGCTACGGGAGGTTCTGACATCTTTCACGTGATGGAATCTCCCGCGGTTTACCCACGTCTTGTGCAGCAGGGCAAGCGTCTTTCCAACGAGCTCTGCCGTGTAATTCTCTCTGTGGGAGGCTTCGGCGTCGGCGGCTTTGCCAGCAGCTCCAGGAGTGCCTTCCCCATCGCGGGTGCTGCCGTCCGTCTCATGAAGAGACCGCAGAAAGTGCTGCAGCGTAAGAACCTCGAGGCGGCGTCTCAAGATCGTCAGGACCCTAGTTACGAGAGGCCACTCCTCGATCCAGCTGCAGGCAAACAGCAGCCGCTGCAGCAGCTGCAGTGGGAGCTGCAGCGCACTCTTCGTCGCAGCCTCTGCGCGAGCAAGGAGAAAGCGACTCTTCTGTCGCTTCTGGTATTCCAGCATCTCGAAGGCCGTCAGCGCGTGCAGCTGTCTCTCTGAGGGCAGGCACGCTGCAACGCCGGAAGACAGAGAACTGCCAGAAGCTCCGAGCGTCACCAGCGCGCAGAAGAAGCGAATCCTCCTCTCCGCCTCCTTCAGGTCCAGTGGAGGCTCACGGGTGTGCACCAAAGGCCTCAGGGAGAGGGCCGACGGGGAGCACGCCGCAGCCGCTGGTGCCTCAGCAGCCTTCGACGCAAAAGGCTGCGATGCGGGAGATGCGTCTGCGGAGTTGGGGACGTCCTGCGTCGCAAGGAAGCGGTCGAACGCCACGAGAGTGGCAGCAAGCTGCCGCATGCCCTTCAAGGGCCTTAGAGAGTGGAGACGCGCAAGCGACGTTGCGAGCTGCTGCACCTCTCCGTACAGCAGCCGGCCTACTGCAGCCCAGGCACTCGAGGGGGCTTCGGAGGTAGGGGAGCAGCCGTCAGTCTGTCTTGGAGGGCTGTGCGACAGGAACAGCTGAAGGAGTCTGGCTGCCTGCGCAGCGGCCGTCTCCGCCAGCTGCTGGACGGCAGGGAGCCCAACGCCTCCACTAAGACGCATCAGCTCGTAAAAGACGGGGAGCCAGGAGGCCCTCGCACCGACTAGCTGCCGCATCTCCTCTGCAACGGCTTCCTTCGGCAAGGGGCCCCCTGGATCCGACTGCGTCTCCTGCGGACAGTGCTGGTGGCTGGTGGGGGGAAAGGATTCCAAGTCTGAGCCACTTCGTGTCGGTTGCAAGGACTCTCCGTCGTTGTGGCTTCTTAGTCCTCGAGATGCCGCTGCCGCAGAGCTCTCAATCATGGCTGCTATCGCGTGTAACAGCTCGTCGGGCAGAGACTGAGCCTCGCTGCTCTGAAGAGCCGCAGCTAGAGCAGCTGCAGCTGCTGCAGCTGCTCTAGCTGTGGCGGAGGCCCCTTGCAAAGAACACTCCTGACGATGCGGGGACTTCTTCCCAAGTCTGCCAGAATCTGCCAGCAGCAACAGCGGTGTATCCGCCGTCTCGCGAACGCAAGAAGAACCCCTTCTAGTCCAGTCGCTTAGGGCAGTGCACACCGTGGAGATACGCTGCACAATCTCGCGCGCAGGCAGTGTCGGGGTTTCGGCTGCAGCTCGGAGCAACACCCCCTGCAGCAGCCTCGACACAGCCTGCGCGAGTGCCTGAACCTCCCCAGGAGAGGAACCATCCTCTGAGCTCGAGGACGCTGCAACTGGCAGTCCGATCGTACACCCCAGCGCAAACAGAGGCGCTAGGAGGCGCGTGATGGCAGACCGCGGCAATCTGCGAAAAGACACACGAAAGCCGGTGAAAACAGACAGGCTGCAGGGGAACGTGGCAGAGAAAGAGATGAGAGAGGAGTGTCGCAGAGAAAGCGAGGAGAGAGGAACGTGGCAGAGATAATGATGAGAGAGGAACGTGGCAGTGAAAGAGATGAGAGAGGAGTCCCGCAGAGAAAGAGACGAGAGGAGAACGTGGCAGAGAAAGCGAGGAGAGAGGAGTGTGGCAGTGAAAGGGAGGAGAGAGGAACGTGGCAGAGAAAGACATGAGAGAGAAACGTGACAGAGAAAGAGATGAGAGAGGAGTATCGCAGAGAAAAAGACGAGAGAGGAACGTGGCAGAGAAAGAGATGAGAGAGAAGTGTCGCAGAGTAAGAGAGGAGAGAGGAGTGTCGCAGAGAAAACGATGAGAGAGGAACGTGGCAGAGAAAGAGATGGGAGAGGAACGTGGCAGCGCTTGTGAGAGGCCCCTCCCCAAGTGGAGCCAAAGGGGGGGAGGGCGGGGTGCACGCAGGCAGGCAGGAGGACGTTGGAGACTGGATGAAGGAGACTGCTGCGCAATAAATGAAGGCAGCGAAAGGCGCTCCGGGAAAAGGTAGAGGGGCCCCTAAGGAGGTGGGCTTTCAGACACACAGGTGTCTTTTTCAAGCGCACCTGGGAAGCATCTGTTGCAGGGAAACAAACAGACGCGTCAAAGCCTCAACTGGGAGCGCCTCTGGAGGATCCGCCGCGAGCGACGTTCCGCACAGCAGGAGCCACTTGCCCTGCGAGTCGAGTCTCCTCTGCGGAGGCTGGGGGGTGGGGGGGGCCTCTGGAGAACTCAACAGAGGCCTTGCAGGATCTTTGAAAAGCCCACTACTGTGGGGGACGGAGTCTATGCGCGCGAGCGCGACGCCGCACTGTGGGGAGACGGCGCAACCTGCCAAGAACAAAACTCCATCTACAGCGGCCGAAAGGCTTGGAAGCAAGTGTCGCTGCGCGTGCTGCTGTGGGGGTAGCTGCTGGTTGACGGAAGCCAGTGGCTCCTCCATGAGGTACGTGAAAAACGAGTTGACTTGAGCCCTTGATGGAGCGTTTTCGAGATGCGAGGCGCGCAGGGACCTGTGGGGAGGGAGCAGCACCGCGCAGAGAGAGAGAGACGCAAGAGCGCGACTCTTGAATGCGAGGCGGCCAGCACAGAGTGTCACTTGCAAACACTTCAAAGGACTGGGAACAGGGATGTGCACACAGTGCATACACAAAAGGGCATGCCACCGCCTCCTGCGGTGCAGCCGCAGGTCCACGCGCCTCAAGGGAGCAAAAATAAGACAAGAGGAGTCTCTAGAACTACTCTCTAAATGTGCATGTATATGTATGTGCATGTGCATGCATGTGTATGTATTTCTGTGTGTGTATGTGGATGTATGTGTATGCGTATGTATGTATGTATTTGTGTATGTGGATGTGTGCGTATGCGTATGTGTGTGTATGTGGATGTATGTGTATGTGCAGGCAGGCAGGCAGGCAGGGGATTCCGATAAAGAGGCAGCGCCTCGAGTAGCGTCCCCCCTTCCCCCGCTCCGCGGATGCCATGAAGAGCCACGTGAGCCTCAGAATTTCTGTTTCTTACCCGACGAACCCGTCAAAGTGAGTCTCAAGCGGACGATGTTCAGCCGCGTTCGATGCGCGCGAAGCTCCTAAGGACGAGGCCACTGAGGTTTTTGAGGCAAGCGGAGGCTCCGAGAGGCCGTCGCGAGGCAGCGAAGGTTGTGGCAGCAGACACTTGCTTACGGCGGAGTGATATGCCCCCCCTCCCCCCCCCGGAAGGAGGCCCCCCTGGAAGACATGCCTCGGGAGCCAGGCGTGTAGAGTCGTGAGCCGTCGTTCGTCTTGACAGGCGAAGACGCGAGAGGCTTGCAATGTAAAGCCAACGGCCACGCGCGGGAGCTGCAGCAGCAAGCAGAAGAGCAGCAGAAGCCGGAGGGGGGGACGAAGGGCAGCGCGGAGCCTCAGGGGGGCCCCTCGCAAGGCCTGAGGTCCGGCAGCGAGGCCCTGCGGCAGAGAGGGGGGGGCCCCCGAAAGCTGCGGGCGGCCGGGGGCCCCCAGGGCCCTCCGCATCGTCGCGACAGAGGGGGAGCAGGGAGGGAGGCCATCCGAGTAGGGGAACTGCGCTGGAGGCAGCGGGGGAGGCGAATAGGACTGAGGCGTGAGCTGCTCCAAGACGAAGGAGCGGTGAGGCACCCTGGGCACTGCGGAGGAGATCTTCTTCGACCTCCGAGGCTCTAGCGACGACAGACAGGGGGCACTGGGGGATTCTGATCGCCACTTCTATGGCGAGAGGGCCCCCAGGGCCCACTCGCGGACCTAGGGATCGTGGTGTGGGCCTCCCCCCAACGAGGGCGAAAGGGCTCTACAGGGGAGAAGGGGGGCAGGCGGGAGCAACAAAGACCAACAAGGCCCTCAGAGGCGCCTTTTTATTGGTGTCAAGCCCGCTATTCGCTGGCAGGCAGGGACGAGCCCGTGCACATAGCTCTCGAGGCGAAGGGAGGGGGTTGTTGAGCTGGGGACTGCTCCGAGTTCTAGCCTGACCGCCGCTCCCTATACGAGAAGTGAAGAAGCGTAAAAAGCAGAAGCAACAGGGAATGTGTTGGCTTCTTTTGCTTTTAAAGTACTCTGGTTCTGGAGCGAGCGGCGATACCACTGCAAACTTCGCTGCTGCTCGCTACCAACACGGATGCCGTGTTGGTAGGGAGGCGCCCTGCAGCCGACTGCGTCCCTCGGCAATTCGGCCTGTGTCTCGTTTCCCCGTTGCTCTAGGAATCCATGAAAAAGGAATTTCAGTTTAAAGCACGCCGTGCGGCCATTGGAAGGCGTCTGCGCACCACAGAGGCTTGGCTTTAGCTCTCCGCTTCCCCCGGATGCAGTCTGTCCCACGCCTTATGTACCGACTTCAACGAGAACACACCAGCGGCTTTAAGGGAAGGCCGCCCATGGCTGCAGCACCGCGCAGCCCTGTCACTTAGTCGCCTGGAAAGGGCCCTTCGCGGGCTAGTGCTTGGGGTGTATATACACCACGGAGACCCTCCCATTCCCTCATGACGCCGTCCGTTTAAAGAGCACTATGGCAGCAATGCTGCTGTTGCTGCAGTCTCTTCTTCTCCTGCCAGAGGGCCTCGCCACCTTTTCCGAGATTAATCTCCACCGGATGCCCCAGTTCGCGACCTCGTACCCCAAATCGCGAGGATGCTTTCGCTCTTGGCTGCATCCGTCATCCAGCGGCGCCGTTCCCCCCTGCCTGCCTGTGCCTGTCTGGCCTGCCTTCTGCCTCTCCACACGAGGGTGTGCTTTTCGCCGGGAGGGCTGCACTGCGTTCCCCCGCGGAGGGACGCAGTTGTTTGCCTGTAGGCCTCGTCCTAAGAAGGAGAAGGCCCAGCGCAACTACCGAATAGCGAGGGAGCAGAAACGACGGCGAGAAGAGCGCTGCCTGCAACGCCGGCAGCAGCTGGAGATCCTTAGGGCTCGCCAGCAACTGCTGTCCAACACCACCCTTACCGACGCACCTTCACGAGATAGAGAAGCCTCCGCACAGACCAGCAGCACAAGTAGGAAAAGGAGCTTGTTCGACACGAACTCGCCTGCTGCGTCATCGGCAGAACAGGGGTCTACAGCAGGAGGAGCGCCCATCTCTGCTCTCCGTTCCCCCTTAGCAGCGCGTCTTAACTACAGATTGGTGGGAGGCACGTGGAGACGGGCAGAGGGCCAAACAAAGTTTGTGCGTCTTTCCGGGGCGGAATTGGCGGCTGCCGTGTTCAGCGACCTCCCTAAAGAGGAAGTAGCCGCCGCAGTTGAAAAGGCGAAGCGGCAAGACGAAGGCCATATGGACCTAGAGGCGTACGATGACTCGGAAACACAACACACAACCCTAGAGGGACTTAGCTAACGCGTGCGCATACACAGGACCGTGTTCCTCGCTCTGGAACCCCAACCTTAGGGAGGCAGTATTTAAGCTCCCAGGGCACCGATTCTGGCCTCTGTGTCTGTCCGTTTTGGTGCATATATGTACACCGCAACGCTCGGCTTGACGGCGTCGATTCTCCTTGACCTTCCGTCTCCCCGCCACGAAGCGCGAGTGCCGGCCTTCCTGTTTCTCAGCGTCTAATGAGACCCCTGTAGCCTCTGAGCTCATTGCCGGGCTACGGAGGGAGAGATGACGCGCAGGAGAAGGCGCATTTGTACTGTGTGGCAAAGTCGCAGCCATCGCTCGGCCGCATTACGGCCTGTTTGCGGCAGAGGCTGACGGTTCTGTGGCTGATGCTGCAGTGTGCGCAGTCAATAGCAGACAGTCGCGCTAGGAAGTCACCTGTAGGGGATGGAAGCTAGAACTATTTGCGTTTGGAGCCTCAGATGTAAGCGTAGGGCTGTTTTTGGTTGGCTGTTGCCTGTACAACTGAAACTCAGTAAATAGCAAGCACAGTATTGCCAGTCAGTACACTCCGCACCTTTGCATCCCATTAGAGCAGTTGTATTTGGCGTTTTGATATCCGTCGTGAGAAACAAAAGGTGAAGACACCACGACACATGATAGCGAGAGATATTCTCTAATGAAGGCACGAGCCACGTGCTATCTTCACTCCATGTAGGAATGTAATAGCTCCATTCGAAAAGACTTGTTAAAATCCCCTAGAGGGTTTGGAAGAGCTTGTACAGACCTCAATGAGACCGAATGCTACCGCCAGATACAGCCACTCAGATTGCCAAATTAAACGCCTATACCGTCTTTTCTGGTTGCACATGCGATTCACGGAGCTGTTCAACTTCGCGCAGTTCACAGATATGGATGCCCTGGAGTGATCTGTGCACTTTAATGCGCTTTCTTCATTAAATATGCATGCATTTCGTCGGTTTCACGCACCGGAATCTTGGAAAGGTGTGCCTGTAATTTAACTAAATCCTTTATCGAGGCCTTCGCAGGTAGCAGGCAGGTATTTACAGAGAACTATTCAATGTGGAAAAGCAGAGAACGATGGAACGAAAGATCCCTTGGATCCCTTGTGGGAATAATGGCAGAGTGGGGAGAGAAGCTGCCCCGTGAATCCGAGATGCAGCAGTCACTTATTTCTGTGTAGATGATCGCGTTTTAGGCTAAGTATACTTTTGGAATACGCACTGGTAATAATTGGAGTATTCGTGACGCATGGATCAGTGACAAGCTGCCAGTCATCACTGGCTTTCCCATGCAACTGTTAAATTAAGACTTTCACAGGGAAACTTGAGGCTCAATACAAAACCTTTTGCAACTAGATTCAGCTGTAGAGCTAAGCAAGAAGAGCAAGAAGGACTACGTTAGCAGGCTCGTGGAGGATGGTTGACACTAAAGTTGCATATCCCTTCGAGGCTGTGGCTCATCAAACCATTTATTCAAAACGGCTATAGGCCTTAGCCAAATGCTACTTAACTCGAAGAAAATCAACTCGTTATCATCCAAATTCCTCCCCTTCCCCTTCTTACGTGCACAGTCAGCGCAAATGTTGCATGCTCTGCTCTAACGATGGGCGCATACAGTGCACTCTTCACCCTGAAAGCTCCTCCTTCGTTCAAAGAGTGTACCACGCTAGCTATCTAAACGTGTCTGCGTGGTGATTCAATAAAAAACAAGTAGAATGTGTTCACCCTACCTTCCGCTTGCACGCGGCAGCCAGTTGCTCCAAGAAGTGACCTCCATTGTGCATTATTGTGATTTGCCTCCCGAATTTTGTATTAAATGAGAGAATAGATGGCCTTGTATTAGAGAAAAACGTCAGGAAAAATGATCAAACAGCATGAAATGCCGCCGTCGAGCGGATCAGGAGTTTTCCCTCCAAGGCGACCAGAGCAAGAACTTTGTAGCATTGAGCCGAAGAGCAGTCAAACTGTGAGGCAGCCAAGTGAAAACGAGCTTTCCGGGTTTGTTTCAAAGCTTTCAACTGCTTCAGCAGGTATACATGACTGCAGCCTCGACGGCCCAGTCACACTTCCTCGGTCTATGGGGAGCAACTTGGCGAATTTAAGCCTAATAGCCAAAACCCTGCACGATGGAGACTGTTTCCTCTTGACTCCTCTGCAGATGATACTTTCCTCTTGAAAACTAAATACACAAAAGATAAGAGACCAATATCCTTTGTTTCCTCATCGTTCCCTGCACATTAGAAAGCCCTGGAATGGAGTCGCGATTCCATTAGATGGAAGCTTAACTATTCAAGATTGCGAAGCGTATAACGAGTGTAAAGCACCATCTGGTAGCAATCGATTTCAAATGGTCAATACCTGAACTCAGAAAGCAGTGAAAAATGAATCTGTTATGCAGATCTGTTTTACCTTAATGACGACAGCGACATCGACACGTTCACGCCTCAGGAGGTGCTTCAGGCCACTCGTCTAATTCGTATGCTGAAACAGTCAATCAAAGACAGCCAACACCAACACAAAGCTAGGCAGCAGAGGCAAGCCAAAATCGTGCATTCCCCATAGACCCCGCAACAATGCTTCCTTTAGCCATTTCTTACCATGCTTTAAAAATTCACACAAGCTGAAGAAGATTTTTCAAAATGGTAATAGCTGCAGAATAAAAATGACGAGGCTCTGGGGGAGAGACTATTTGCAGGGTAATAAGCAGGGAAGGTGCGGGTTTCCTAGTTTCACAGCAGAACTCCGTGTCGTGCAAGACTATGTCTATCGAATGTGTGAACGAGCAGGATGAGTGATTTACGCCTTAGCAGCAGAAACGCGTTCTTGAATACTGCCGGTGGGCGGCCTTTTCCTAGGGTGATAAGTGTCTCGGAAATCTGCCGAAGCATGTTTGCGTTCCTACTGGCCACGTTTCCGTACACCTGAGGACTCAGGCTCTGTGTAAGCTTTTTATATTATATCCATCTTCAGGAGCTCCTGAGGAGCATACTTCTGATTATTTCGGGAATCCTAGATCCCCGAAGAGAAGCGATGGCTTGGGCTTGGAGCAGAGCCAGCTACAAGAAGAGCAGTGGACGCAGGGAGAGTTCGAAGCACTAAAATCTGCAATGAAGCACCCACGAAAAGCAGAAGAATTGTGGCCACAAGACCCTAGACCTAGCTGCGAAGTATCAAATGAGCCAAGTCAACAAAGCTACTCTCTTCCAAGTCAGACAGCAGCTATCAGCTCTCAATCTTTTTCGAACAGATGTTCGACGGAATCTGCAGGAAAAAAAGCAAGTATACACCGTACTTTGGACTTAGAGCAGCCACAGTCTGCTCCTCGCTATCCCCAGGCCGTAGCTAGCATTCCTCAGCCACAGCTAGACAGACCTGAGGCCCAGGAGTTTTTAGCTAGCCGGGGATCATTTGAACGAGTGGAAAATCTACCGCTAGGTGCATTCCTGCCAACCGCGCCAGGGAGCTTTCCAAGTGGGTCGAATCCCAATGAAGACGAACAGCAAGAAATACAAGAAGTCAGTATTGATAACACAAGAGCGCTATCTTACTTGTTGGGTCACTGGCTGTGACTGAGGCGCCTTGGGGCTGGAGATGGAAGAAAAGGGGCGCTTGGGCGCGGCGGTTGTGTACGCATGTTATTTTACCGCCAATGATGGAGATTCCGCAGGGTGACTTCACAAAAGCCTGACCCTTATAGAAATGCTACTCTGCTGTTTTTCAGTGTCCATACTGTCACCGGACATTCGCCAGAAGATCTTTCCAGAAGCATGTGAAGGTCTGTGTTAATGTAAGTCTACCTTCTTGGCTTTATGCCCTCTTGATTAGTGAGCCGTCTGCTTATTTGTATGCCCTAGCCGCGCGAGCTGAAGGATTATGGGACAAAGTTAGCACAGGGCCTTCAGTCTAGCAACGACACAAGATTCTCTCTCCTTAGCATGCAAATTTCAGTGTCACACATATTTTAGTTGCGTTTCACCTTCCTGTTGGCTGCTGTTCGCTTTTTGCGCTTGTTATATCTCTGAGCTGCTCATGAGTCGTCTTTTGCGTTGTTCCTCAAATGAAAAGGTATTTTTTACACGTAGGAAGCAGTACGACATGACCAGAAAACGCCTGGCCAGCGTTGTAGAGGAGACGGGCCTCCCTGTAAATTCCACCTTACGGAAGCTCAGGGTCGAACGCGCAGCATCAAAACAGTATGCATTCAAACCGATGCCTATTGCGGAGTGTTTAGTGGCTCCCAGTTGTGTCGTGATACTATTCTTCCCTCCTTCTTTTCTCTTCTTTCTTCAACGCCCTCGCTCCCTCTGTGTATCTTTGCAAAAGGCACCCCTGCTTGAGCGGTGCAGGTTCCTCTGACGACCTTCGCTCGGTTCGTCCTTCCCTTTAAAGTGTACCCTTCTATTATTCCTTATGAAATGCAGACTGGAAAAGCCGACAGAAAGAAAGTGGAAGCGTGAAGTCAGAATGCACTGCTACTGGAAAGGACACGGCCCTGCATTGCATCCATGTTGCTAAGCCCAGAGTAGCCAACATGGACAATACGCAATCCCGATACACTTTAGGAAAGCACGATCTCAGACAGAGATCTGCCAAGGCTCATTGGTTTTGCTGTTGTCGCTCCTACTATTGGCACAATTGCTTCCATAGTTGTTGTCGATGCTGCTGCTTGCTCTTTACACGCAGAGCGCGCAGTTTCGAGCGGCGATGAGGATGGCCAGAGTCTGCGACCCTAGAGAAATAGCAGAGGCCCAGGCAAGGCAAAATACCCATAACAGCAGTTCCCTAGGACAGTCAATGCCCAGCGCACAATCCTTAGCTGCAAGCCATTGTGTTGTCTTTGCCCAGTTGCAGATTATCTCACCCGTTTTGTGTCTTACGCCAGTCGAAAAATATGCACTTGTGATCATCACCTATGACGCTTGCTTGCCTTTAATTCCAGGCGATTTTCGCCCGGTGCAGCGACACTGTGGCGCACTTGCAGTGTCCACACTGCGGTCGGACATTTGGGCGAGAAGAATCTCTTGAGAAGCATGCTAGTGTATGCCAGAGAATGTTTCGCAACGGCGGGGGTGTCTTGAGGAAGGGAGGAGGCCTCTGTGCCTCTCAGGGGGCTGCTTGTAGACTTAGACGAAACGGGGGAGGGACGGGAGCGGGAATGCATGCTGTAGACCGTTTACGGTCCAACCGAGACATAAACCGGACGACCTGGGGAAGCAACCAGAGAGACGGAATGCAATGGGCGGCATCAGCAAAATCACGCGTTGCAGCTATGAAAAGTATCAGGACAGGAACTATTACAGGACGGACCCAAAACTCCTAGAGAGGAGGCTGGTTGCCTTCCTTATTTCTCAATGTTGCAGTTTCTCATTCTGCCTCAGCCTTTTATGGCACACTTTGAATACCCTTGCCCCCTGAATCTGCGACGGACACCGTACAAGGCAATCCCGCATTCAAGGGCTCGAGCACTGAAATGTATTTACCATTTATCCTTCAGTGAGACTCTACAATTGTTTAAACCAATTTTTTGCGTCTAGGTAAATCCCAAGGGGTCGCATCGATATTCGTATTTTCAGTGAAGTTCCTGTCGTTGGATGCAGGCTGTTCAAACTTCCATCAGCTACTGCAATTCGTATACCAGTCATTGCAAATGAACATTTTGCCTAAAATCTGATGTAAAACGTCCAACCTAAGATAAACGTCGTACAAAGTACTCGCAAGGAATGCAGGAAGGAGTGCAGAGCCCCATTGTTCGTGCGCCCTGCGCATTCTATTTTCATGTCGAATCGTGAAACAGAACATAAAACAATAATATCTGTGGTACCATGTTTCTGCCTCCTTCATTCAAGTTCCCATGTGCCTCAACTCGCCTGCGGCGTATACAAGGCCAGGGTAACTGCCAGGGTGAGCCACAAGACGCTTACTTCACACTTCGACAACGCAAGTAGCAACAAATGGGAAGCGGGCCGCCAAGTGCAGTCTTAACTAGAGATACCTTTAAGAAGCTTCACATATCCCCTGTGACCTTCCAGAAGGGACGTGGAAATAGAAAATCACAAACAAAATAAACGAGTAGGGCGAAATATGTGTGAAGCGATGAGAAACCTTAATAAATTTTGTGGCTGGGCGAGCTACAATGAAGCACTTTCGACTACATTAGTTATAATTACTGACGATTTTTAAAGGGATTGACTAGTTGATCTGTAGGCTTGCATGGCTCACGTATTGCAAAGCACTATTTAGCTCAATTATAGAAGACATAAAGTTATGTGTATGTACGCTAGATGCTGCGCAACTTGCTATGAAGGATCAGAGTGCTTGGAAGTGGCAGCTACGGAATCCCCAGCTGTCCTCTTAGTGCATGTCGAGAAATGTGAGGGGCATGCACGGAAAGGCGCGAGCTTTTTCAGGAAACACTCGGAAGCTACCTATTAAGATTGAATCGAGTCTGAAGTGAAGCGCCTCTACGGAAACCTCAGATGGAATGATACCTCAGCGGCCGCACAAAGTACAAACGAGAGTGTCCGGCACCTTCGGGGCGTTCACAGGTAGTCTGCTGATGCCCTTAAAACAAATGGCACGCTCTGAGATGGGCGTATATACGTCTTGCTTGATCGATAGCATCCAGGCACAGCAAAGCCCAAAACGGGATCTACATATGCAAGGCACATGGAGAAGCGCCATCAGCAAACGTATCTAGCCAAGGAAACTGAGTAGTCACCCTAAATGTTTGCAGATAGTCCCTATACTGCCATGCTTTTAAACGTATTTACCACCTTTTTAATCCGAAACTCGTAAATGGGGCCTTGATCTTCCAAGGAATGAGAAAACTCGCGAACGCCATTCTTTTAGCGACTTTACCTGCAGGGTAGGGCAGAAAAAGCTAGCATTGCCGCTTATGGTAGGACTTACCCGATCTCTAGACAGGAATTGTGCCGAGTTCGCATATCCTTCCATGTAATTAGCGTCGCTGTGCATGCAGCGTGTCGGAAAGCGCACAGTGCGAAAAACTGCCGGCGGGCCAATTTAAACGAAGAATTTTACCCTGTTAAATAACAAATTTTCTCTAAAAGGTTTCCATTTGCGAATAGAAAGAGGGGCGTGTATCAAGTGTGCGCATTTGGCACGTGGCAATAGCGTGGGGCTACCAGGCTGACTGTCGGCATGGCTAGGGAAATGTTCTGGCGGTACAAAGGACTCCGTGCAGTTTCGTTTAAGATTCAGGAGACATGGCCTCTCGGATATCTTCTTGCCGCATTCCTTACCGCTGCTTTCGCGACCTTCATTTTCCCGCCTCTACTGGTCCTTCTCTGGTGCGTCACAGATCACGGGATGCACACTGCCAGATGCAGCTGCCCCATATTCCACAGTCGTGAAAAGTTTACAGAACAATGCCTTTACGCTCCTGCTGCGAATTTCCTGCTCCTAGACTCGGGATTTACCGTTCATCACGTCCATCCGCGCTGTCGCCGCATCCAGGTGTAAGGTCTTTTTCGCTCAATACGCCGAATATCCGTTCTCTAATGCCCCAGAATCCAGTGTATTTTGCGAAACTTCATGAACAGAATGCGAGGGGCGTGCTTTCTCGTGATCATGCTGCGGAACTCTCGCAAAATTAGACTTGTGCCGAAACCCGTACCAGTTTGTACGGCCGCTACTTGGCCATTGAACGTTTCCACTGCATCCAGCAGGAGCCAGTACCTTTGAAACTGCATTACTAGGCGGATTAGTGATGTGCGATCTCGTTTTGTGTTTTTCCTTCACTTGCTGCGTCCTCCACCTCGCCCGACGGCCTCCTGTGCCGCTGTGCTCTTCCTTTCGCCTCAGCCTTTTTTTCCAGCATGACTCATCAAAAGCTGTCGTATCCTTACGCTCACCGCAGCGTCGTGGTAGAGAACCTCTTTGGCACGCCTGTAGCAGATCCGTACCGGCAAGTCTTGGGATTTCAAAGGGCTGTGGACTAGCACCTCCCCCGCCACTCCTACCCGCTGCGCAGCATACAAACGCACAAACAAACACACAAACATACACACAGACACAAATGCTCAAAGGCAAACAAACAAACACACACAAACAAACACACATACACACAGACACAAATACTCCGACAAAAACAAACACACACAAACAAACACGCATACACAGACACAAATACTCACACCCAAACATACACACACAGCAATACACAAAGTTTCGAGCTTCCTAGACCCTGTCAAATTCATTTCTCTATTGCAGCACTCCGACTGGCGGGTATATTGGAGTTTAAGGTCCAGGTGTCTAAAGGGCCGAAGCGCAAGGCTCGGGGGGAGGAGAAGTCTGCTCTTTGTGCGTCGCGCATGCAGGGGTGATTTTTAGGAGGAGTGCAGCATGGAAGTCGAATTGTTTATTGCGTTTATGGTATGGCACGTTCAGCTGGACGGAGGATCCGGAGAGCGAAGAGACGAAGGCCTTTGTGGCTAACCAGAACGCAGTGTCGGAGCAGTTTCTTGATACGCCGCTAAAAAAACAAGTTCTTACCGCGCTCACCGAATTTCAAGACTACCCAAAGTGAGGTTACAAGCTCGCAATTTGCTCGGGGCATGCAGATCTTAGGTGCCCTAGGCGTGGGGTGTACAGGCAGTTGGAAGACGAATGCGGCTCTTTAAGGGTCCTTGTCGACCGAACAACTGGAGGCTTCGAGAGGGGGGCTGCAAACAATGCCGGACTGAAGAGTATGAGAATGTATTATTTGGGAACCTGCTCAGTTCTTGGCTGTTTTACACATACATGCATTCACATCTATACATGCATTTACATACACACATACACACACATACATACATACATGTACAGACATACACACACATACATACTCATACATACACACATACATACTCATACATATGTACGTATACAGACATACATACTCACACTCACATACATGCATATACACGCGTACATACACATACATACTCACACATACATATACACACATACATGCACACACTCACATACACGTACGTACTCACACATATATAGATTCATACATATACAGACATATGCGCGTCTTGAGTGATTCGACATTCTTCGCATATCTTTAGCAGAGCAGAAAGTAACGCAGGGTCGGCAATTCGTCAAAAATGGCTTCCGGTTTCCTGCCTCGTGCGTTGTGTGCTGCCTCTTTATGAGCACCGAATCTTGCAGTTGCAGTGTTGCGAAAAGTTTTGCAGTAATGCTAAAAGTTTTGGTTGGCGTTCCTCTTCCTTGGTACGAATTCCGCCTGCCTCGCCTTGATGATTGCGTTGTGTCTTGACAGGTTCGGGACGCCCTTCAGAAAAGGATCTTTTTGGTATACATGGCGCAACTCCGGGCTGCAGAATCAGTTTGTTCTGCACAGACACGCAACGAAAACGGGAGAAAACAGTCAAATTTTGCTTGATCCGAATACGTGGACGGAAGATGGAACTGCGACAGTTGGTAGGCGTGCCTTGAGGTGGCTCGCGGCTGCTGCCCATTTCCCTTGCCAGCGTTTTGCAGGAAGCGAGTCATTTCTCATGATGAAGTGCATGCATTTGTCACTTTGATACGTACAGTTCGGAAGCGAGAGGCAGGGCAGGGCAGGGGGGTTCATCTCTATCTCTCCCTTTAGCTCTTTAGATACTTTTGTACATGTACTTCTTTTAGGCGTTTCGGTCCGCTTAAGAGGACGGCGAACTGTATGCCTCCTCTGCTTCGCAGTGCCTATGTGATGATTTGGCATTGCTGTATATTGTGCACAACTGGCTGCGGCATCTGTGTGTGTGTGTGTGCGTGTGTGCGGAAAAGATGACTCTGCTTTCTCTCAATCTGGGAGCTTGATGGCGTATGCCCGCGGTGACAAGGGCAGCGACTGGCGAACTATCTACTTTGTAGACACGGAAACTGGCGAGCAGCTTGCAGACCAGTTGATGCACGCGAAGTAAGGTGCATCCCCGGTTGAGCGGGAGGACAAAAGTGCAAGATGAGGCTGCCTTTTTAACGTGCAGAGAAAAAGCAGTGCAGCAAAGAGCAATACGCAGACAGAGGTGGAGAGAGCCTCGAGGATGCCTGCTAGAGAGGTTGGTTGCCCTCCTTGGACGTTTCCTCTGCGCTGCAGGTTTACGAGCCTGGGATGGCTCGGCAACAAGTGGTTTTTTTACAACAAGTACGACATACCTGAGGGATCTGCTGTGGACGGCTCGGAAAACACGAAAAACGAATATCAAAAGGCAAGGGCACCCGTGAAGAACCCGTGCATGCGGATTCGCAATTTCTAGCATGCGCTGCCTTCCGGAAGCACACGTTTTCATTTTGTTCATGAAGTAGCGTCTGCTGTCGGGTTTGTGTGTGTGTGTGTGTGTGTGTGTGGCGGAAGCCATATGCCACCACTCGTTCCCATCGCCGTTGAATCCTCCTTGACCTTCCGCATGGCCGCTTTCTGCTCAGGTATACTGCCACAAGCTGGGTACTCCTCAGAGCGAGGACGTGCTGGTGCTTGACTTCCCATCGGAGCCGAAGTGGTTGGCAGAACTCCGAGTGACTGACGATGAAAAGTTTCTTGTCGCAAGCATTAACAGAAGCTGCGAGCCCGTAGGGAAATCGAAGCAAGGCCGCCCTCTTCTTTCGCTCACACACTACACCGTCAATTCACTCTGGCTTGTGGCGCCTCCCTCCGTCCTCCCCGTGCACGTCTCTCTCTCTCTCTCGCGCGTGCGCGCGTTTTTTTGCGGACCCGCGTCTCTTTCCCTTTTTCGACGTGCTGACACTTCACGTGGCTCAGAACAGAGCTCGTGTTCCTCCTGCTGCAGGTCAATCAAGTTTGGATAGCGCAGTTGCCAGGAGTAGACTCGCCCGTCAAAGCCTTCACGGAATTGAAGTGGATCAAAGTGGTGAAGGACTTCTCCGCGGAGTTCAAATACGTGGCTAACGACGGACATGTCTTCTTTTTTGTCACCAACAAGGACGCCCCCAAGAAAAGAATTGTTCGGCTTGATATCCAGAAGCAGGGTGCGCGCAGTTGAGTGGTCTGCGTAGGGCTTCGCCTGCCCAGTAGGCGCTGTTCATACCAACCTGGAGGAGTGTGCCTTGTTTCCTTCAGGATTTCCTGTGGATGAAATCGTGCCGGAAGCGTCTTCCGTTCTGGACGAGGTCTACGCCGTGTCCCAAGATCTGCTGATGCTCATATACACTGAAGACGTGAAATCGCGGGTGTACGTACACCGCATGGACGGATCCCGCGTGCAATCCTTAGACATTCCTGTGGGGTCCGTATATGACGTCTCGGGAGAAAGAAAATACAACCATTTCCTTTTTAGTCTCGCAAGCTTCGACACCCCGCGCATCGTTTACGAGCTCGAGATTGAAAACGGCTCTTTCGGACTCTCCGTGCTAAAGACTACAGAGGTATGTGCGCACCGCGAGGGGCCACGAGGGTGTCTTGAATCATCGTAGGTCCATTAAATACGCCAAACAAGGGTGGGAAAGGGGACGCCGACTTATGTGCTCACAGTAGTGCCACTAAAAGAAGGCGCGTCTCTAGAGAAGTTCCGAAAAAGCATTACACAGTATTGCCATCTGGGCAGGGTGTTCATGTGTTCTCGGCGAAGTGTGGATTTCTTTGTCGTTCTCGTTATGTATATGGTCTATGGGAAGTTGTACTGCTACGGCTGCCCTTGAGAACGTGTTCCTTTGGACTCGCTCACCCTTCTAATTCCCTTCGCTCTGTGGCGTTCCCAGTGCGCCTCCGCATTGGTGCTGCCCCGAAGTTCTCGGCTCTTGTCTTGCTTCGTGTTTTCCCTCCGTGCCTTGAGCATTTTCTTTAGCCTCACCACTTTTGTTTGCCTGGCTGGCGAGCTCGTGGTGTGCCCCCTCGCCTTTCAAGATCCTGTTTTCTGCCCTTGCCGCGGCGTGTGCTGCAGATAGCGGGCTTACCGCTTGATCAGCTGGAGGTTACGCAGGAGTTTTACAGCAGCAAAGACGGAACAGAGGTGCCAATGTTCCTTGTGAGGAAGAAGGGGTGGCAAGGCAAAGGCCCCCAGCCCACGTTGCTGTATGGCTATGGAGGGTAGGTTGAATGGCAGGAAAAGCTTTCAGACGGCGCTGCATGCGTGTGTGCGCGGCTTGTATCGGGCTGGTGCATGCACCTGCCGTTTCTGGTTCGCTGTTTGGCCCCAGGTTCAACATCTCCTTGTTGCCTTACTTCCAGCTGGGGTTTGCACTGTTCGCCTTGTATCTCGGACTGAGCATTGCGATACCAAACATCCGGGGGGGCGGTGAATACGGACTTGATTGGTATCGAGCAGCAGTGAAAGATAGAAAACAAGTAAGCGCTTCCAGCAGCATGAGCCTGTGCAAAAGCAGACCAGCGCATCTGGGTGTCTGGACGGGTATGAAGAGTTCGAAAGCAGCGGAGAGGTGCTGACATGCGTTTGCCTTGCGTAGGTTAGCTACGACGACTTTCAGAGCGCTGCGGAGTACTTGTTCGCAAAGGGATACTCTAGTCCAGACAGGTGTGTTTGTGCCCCCTGCGGCTTCCCAGAGTGATGGCGTAGTCAACAAGAGTCGTTGCCAGTAACGGCTCCGTGCCTGTGCCGCTGCCTCACCATGCCTTCTTGACGGCGGTCCATTGTAGCGTGTTTTCGCTTCGGAAGTCCGCGATGCGCTCCATTTTCCCCTTCTTTCCCCCCCTCCTTTCTCGAGCTTCTGCGCAGGCTGGCTATCATGGGAGCCTCTAACGGAGGTCTTCTCGTGGCCGCATGCGCCAATCAGCGCCCAGATCTGTTCAGGGCAGTCATCGCGAAAGTTGGCGTCATGGACCTTTTGCGTTTCAACAAGTTCACGATTGGGCACGCCTGGTGAGGTTTTTTCGCGGTATGCAATGTGCCTTCCCCTCACGGGAATTGGAGTGGCTGGCAAGTGGCGCATGCAGGATTTCGGGGGCCCCATAGCAAGACAGCCACACAGGGGCACTGCACTGTTTGGGTGTGCTTCTGATTGGTCTTTGCATTCAGGGTCAGCGACTATGGCGACCCCGATGTTGAAGAAGATTTTGAATACATATCCAAGTACTTCGACGGGGGGAATCAGGAGGAGGGGAGAGGGGTCTAGGGCAGGAGTTTCGTGCCTCTTTCTTTGTAGAAGCCCGTCGTGTGACGAGGTGTACCTCCAGCTGCGAGTGCATGCCATGCCACGGGCTGAGACCGCCATGAATGCTCGCCATGCGGGGGGAAGGGCGGGGGTGTCTGGCACTGTAGCTCCGAACTTTTCGTACATAACGACCCCAGTTAAGCCAGAGGGAAGACTTCTGGACGAGGTATGCGAATCGACGCAGACCAGTTAGAACTCGCTGTTCTTTTCCCGGCACTTGGCGCTGCACTGCAGAATATCTCCCCTGCACAACATCAAACCTGAAACCGTCCAGAGCGAAGACCAGCCAGCTGTTTTGGTGATGACTGCGGACCACGACGACCGAGTCTCGCCTTTCCACTCCTTGAAATACATTGCCGAGTTGCAGGTAGGTACAGTTCACACGCACATGATACGGCGCTATGCTCTGTGGACGCCGAGCTAGCCAGAAATCGGCCTGCCTCTATTCGTGCACTGAAGAGGAAGCTTCGGCTGTCTGCATGTCTAGTCTGTAAATACGCCGCACGCTTTTCCGCGTCGTGGGAGGGCGATCCGCGTAGGCCCTTTGCCTTGCGTGCAAATCGCACTGCCCCTCCGTCTGGCCCAGTGTGCAATTCACTGGCAAGCGCGGTCTGCGTGTTTTTATGCCCTTGCACAGCACGCTGCTGGCTACTCCTCCCCGGTCAATACTCCGCTCATTGCACACATTGACACAAAAGCCGGTCATGGGGGCGGCAAACCCCTCTCCAAGGTGGGTGTGCTCCTGCTTCTGCCACTGTTGAGCCTTCTCCGGGTATGTACATCCCCTGCTGCCACACAAGGCCTCCAGTAACAGCGGCTCTTGCTTTTATCTGCGACTCGCCCCTCTCAGGTATTGGAAGATAATGCCATCGTTGGTGGATTCCTCGGGACCGTGTTGGGTCTTAAGTGGACCGAACCCTCCATTGAAGAGAACAACTGAAAGCAGTTTTGAGCCTCCCGAAAACGCCTGCGTACTGACGCGCGCCGTCATGTATGCCTTACGTCTGCCAAATCAACGCGCGATGTGGCCAGAGCCTAGCTATGCAGTCCCCAACGTGACGATGGGAGTAATGGCTACCACCAGCTGAGCAAAGCACGGCTGCAACAGGGGTCTGCAGCGAGCTTTGATGGTCGCTCAGAGAGGCTCTCAGGTTCCAATATGTGTGGCGGGCCAAGCTACTAACGCTGGCCGGCTCATAAATGCTTGAACTTCTTTTACCTAAAATGCGAATACTGTGGTTTAGTAGTGGGCGCACTCTACTGATTGCGAGCCGGCGGTACTCCCCTATTGTAAAAGTGAATCTTCTGGGCATGTGCGTTAAAGCTGCGTTGTGTGTTGGGCACGAATCCTGAGCGAACACAACGGGTACCACTACTTCCACCCAACTATTCTTCCCAGCAGAGCAGGAAGGCTCCGGGTTGCGGGCCTGCAATGCAAGAGAGCTCCTAGTGGGAATCTCTCAATTTATGCCTGTACAGAGGCACATAGGATACATAGAGGTGCAGGGCTGCAGCTCCATGTATCCGTACGCAGTGGAAACTATATTGTGAGAAGGCGCCTCACCGTGATCCACCTTCACAATAGCTGTGACTCTAGCTGTTTAGAGAGTTGTTACAGCACTTGACGGCAAATTAGCACTTGAAGGATTTGCTTGGGGGTTTAGTGAGATGCTCCTCATGATTTCAGTGCCAACACGCAAGATGTCAATTCCCGCCTGAATGTATTCATGCGAACACCCAAACTGTGGTGTGCAGCGCACCCCTATACCGCAAATTTGGCTAGTAGGCTGGGCGATGCCATCCCCATCTGCACGAATCTGACATACAATAGGGATCACTTAGGCATTCAGCAAAACATCCCGATGATGATTGGGTGTCATGCCACTCTACCGGCTACGCAGATCTGTTGGCGATTTGTTTGGAGACTTCCGTGCAAAAAACAGGATGGAACGCGCAGAGACACTTTCATCTATATCTTAAACAGTACAAAACACAAACTCGTAAGCGGAAACACACACGCACGTACACACACACACTTGCCAAGCGAACTGCCATTCCTGCTGTTACTCGAGCGCTGAAGCAGTGCCCATCCGGGTGCTACGGACGGCACCGATACTCGCGGTGGGCAACTCTCAAATGTGCAAAAGTCTCCATTTAGTACCGAGCTTTGATAAGAAGTACGAGAGCTACTGAAAATAGGCGTCTCAAATTTGTGCATTTGGCTTGAGACAGGAAAACAAGATATCCTGCGCACAGCACCTGTAGGCACCCGATGCCGCACGTTAACGTAGATGGTGCCAGGTAGCAGTAGAAAGCATCGGCACACTCGCAGTTCCTTTTGTTAGCCATGTTATGAGTGCAATTTTCACTTCATTTTTGAGTTTCTACTCTTAAAGCACACCTCACTTCTGTAGTTTCTCATTTTTCCGCAGTCTCTACTGATCGCAGCACTTTCCAGCAGCATGGTGTGTAAACTCGGAATCAACGGCTTTGGCCGAATCGGTCGTCTTGTCTGCCGCTCTGCTTTGGAGAGAAAAGATGTGGTATGTCGTGTTATCTCTCAACGGCACTTATCCATGTAATTTCGTTGATATATTCTGATCTTGTTCGCCATATCTTCAGTGCGTAGAGTGGACAGCAAGGACATTTTCAATGTTTAGAAATGTTAATTCCCTGCTCTTTCTGCGTGAACCATTAATTCGCCATCGAAGATGACGCTTAGTAGTGCCACTCGACCTATCTATATGCCGATTCCCCCTGACGCTCTCGGGGCACCACACACCTCACACTCGAGCTACTCACCGTTAGGACATCCTTATCTCTGGTGCGCACGCCACATGTATTACTCTGTTTGCGCCTGCATGTTTGTATTTCAGTCTATCGTGGCTGTTAATGATCCCTTCATGGACTTGTCCTACATGGTGTATCTGCTGAAGTACGACTCGGTCCATGGCAAGTGTCCTCTGGAGGTGAGGGAAGAAGGGGGCCACTTGGTTGTAGGATCACACAAGATCCGCGTATACCACGAGAAAGATCCTGCTGCCATAAAGTGGAGTGAAGCTGGGGCGGATATCATATGTGAATCGACCGGCTGCTTCACCACTAAAGAAAAAGCTCTTGGCCATATACACGGGGGAGGAGCAAAGTATGTAGTGATATCCGCTCCTCCCAAAGATGACGTTCCCATGTACGTGATGGGAGTGAACCACACAAAGTTCAATCCGGAGCACAAAGTGGTATCCAATGCGTCTTGCACCACTAACTGCCTAGCTCCCCTTGCGAAGATCATTCATGATAAATTCGGAATTGTCGAGGGGTTGATGACCACCGTGCACTCCATGACAGCCAACCAGCTCACTGTAGATGGCCCTTCAAAAGGGGGCAAAGACTGGAGAGCAGGCAGATGCGCCGGTTCAAACATTATTCCTGCTTCCACAGGAGCCGCAAAAGCAGTCGGAAAAGTCATTCCTGAGCTACAAGGAAAGTTGACGGGCATGGCAATTCGTGTGCCCACTCCAGATGTATCTGTCGTGGATCTAACATGCAAACTGCACAAGGCCGCAAAGTACGAGGACATTATAGCTGCAATCAAGCACGCCAGCGAGAATGAAATGAAAGGGATTATGGGGATAACGGAGGAAGAAGTCGTCTCTGCGGACTTCATTCACGATTCGCGCTCCAGCATCTTCGACGTCAAGGCGGGAATTATGCTAAATGAAACTTTTGTGAAGCTAGTTTCCTGGTATGACAACGAATGGGGTTACTCGTGTAGGCTAGTCGATCTCGCAGTTTACATGGCAAGCAAGACGAAGTAAGCAACGTCTCCTCGGAAGGTTATGATTGTGATGCGGTAAGTAGGACACGGGTAGAAACAGCATGGCATCTGAAAGTATAGAAATGAAACGATAAAGCAAATGCAACGCAGCTTTCAACAGACTGCATATCTTGCTTACACGGTTATTTTCAAGTTCACTGCTGGCATGTTTTATTTTCAGTTTGACTGGTTTGAAGGTGGTATTTGCCATTTTTGTTTTTCCCAAGGCAAACCCACACCAAGAAAAGTGGGTGCATGCTAAGCACATACTGGTTCATTCCGCGTTCCTATCTTCGGCTTCGCAATACCAGCGAAGCAGCCGGCAGAACTTGCTTTGTTATGGCAAACAGGTAGTAATTAAGTGTTTTCCGCCTGAAGCGTGGCGCTTGTTGTAAAACACCCACCATTAGACTACCTTGAAGAGCAGTCAGGCTTACTGGATGCCTATCTCCGACTGTGAAAAGCCTCAATGTTCAGAACAGTTGGTAAACACCCTTTCGGAGCATACAATAAAGCACCCGCACAGCTGCCCATTTGGGGAAGGCATCCACTCAGTCGCCGTGTGAAGTGATCGCTGGTGGCACCCATTTGAAATCAAACAAGTCAAAAACTTGAGTGCAACTAAAAGATAGTTCTCCACTTATAATGGAGTCTATTATCCTCATTGATCCCTCGTGAAGAGACCCAAGATCCTCATGTCCTGTACCCGTAGGAAATGCTGCTGGTTAGGTTTCACTCCCCGGAACAGCAAACCCGCCTTCGCAGAGTATATAAACCTAAGTGACGAAACGATACGCGCTCCTGTGCACCTTTACTTGGTATGTATGACCGCAATGTACAAGGTGGAGGGGAAGTTCATGCGACGCTCCCCTGCAGCACGAATTTCTTGCAAGCTGCCTAAACTCGAAGGGTTCGTAGGTAAACAATGGATTGCTGCGCATCGGGTTGGGCATGTAATTTGAAAACACAAGGAGAAACATTGTTGGCGGTTTCATGCTTTGTTTCTGACAATCGTGGCTAGTCTGTACGTGACCCCTAACACTGAAGGCTTTTGTTGGGCTGCGCTTATCAACACCTGAATGCCTCTACATATTCCCTTGTCATCCGTTGTGCTCTAGCCTCATTCTTCTGTGCCACGTTGGCACCGCTTCCTGTCTCGCATCTAATTTTCTCGCCTTCCCTAGCTTGCCTTCTCTGGGTATTGCCTTTCTAGGAAATGGCTTTATTTATTTGCATATTCGTTCAATTCTTAACGCCTGGGCTACAAGGTGGATCTCCATTTCCGGTAGAAGGCATCATATTTGTAAGCTTTTCATCTTTTCTCGTTGATTCTCCTGTTGTGAGGTACTTCTCTATGAATTCGAGGATTTGGCTCGCCATATAGGAATCATACACAGGGCCCTACAGCAGTGAGGAACAGTAACATACGCAAAGGATAATCCGACGCAATGGATCACTTACTCTTGTAGTGACCACAGAAAAAGAACTCTACGGCTGATGGGCGGTTGCCTGAACAGGATGTTTCAGGCTCTGGGAGGCTGGGGGAATGTGCTGAGTCACATCAGGAAGAAACGAATGCGTAGAAAGCGGCAATAAGGCTTAAAGAAAGGCAGAAAGCTGTACCTCCATTTCAAAATGTCCGACGTTTGGGATTATGCGCATTTCCTTAGGTCCTTCTGTCCTGCGGACACCGCTGGAGCACATTGTATCTTTGTAGGAAACCGTAGACGAAGAGAGATAGGAAGGCATGCACAAAGTAGCCTTTCTCCGAAGCGGTGAAGACGAATATTTACCATCAAATCGTCAGCTACAGTAACTGAAAGCTTTTCCCATCTCAAGCTAATTGTATGAACATGCAGATGCGAAGGATAGGGGACGTGGGTGTTTGAGGAATAAGCAAGCGCATTCTAACAGGATCTGGGTCATTACACTAGTGTAATTCTTATAATAAAGTGAGCCAGGGTAAAGCAAAAGAAATTAGTACGGAGTAAGGATCCAGACGCAGTCGGAGGCAAACGCACCTGTTGAAATAATCAAGAAAGGTGGAGGTGGATGTGAAACCGTCTCTATCTCCATGGATGAGTAGCTTTGGCTTTTTGGACTGGAGGATGTTCTTATAGTGACCGCTGCATAATCAGCAGCACAATGGAAAATGGGGATGTCAGACAATCAACGGGGCGACGGCAAAAGAGTATTGTACAGCCTTCGCCGATTCCAAACTCAATTATCCATGCGCATTTTGCAGGCCTTGAGCGATATCAGCAAACGAATAAGCTATTTTGTACCCAAATATGATTGAGGCGAAGAAGCCAAAGACATATCCAATCCCCACAAATCCTTTGATCTCGTGTAAGCAGTCTATAGCGCTCCCTACAGCAAACAGAAGCACACACAAGTACACTGGAAAGCAAGCAGAGCAATGGAAAGCAGAAGCATGCACTCAGCAAAAACATGCAAGCCATTCGGACAGGACCGACCCAGCGAAACGCAAAAAGAAAAGCCAAAGTCACCATACAGGCTAGAGTCTGTCGTGGACAAGCCTTCTTGAAGTGCTCAGCGTTGCAAGCAAGTAGCTCTAGACTGCCCATCCAAAGCGAATCGCTATACTTCGTTCCCTCTCACAGCACACCTCCGATGGGGGCTCCCGCAGACGACCCGACGATAACAATGCTTGACGCTTTTAGCTCCTTAACGCACCATGAGCATACGGCAACAACATCTTGAGTCTCCTTGTGACCAGCCAAAGTCTTCCTGCACGCTCTACGCATCAAAGCCCTAAAGCTGAAGTCGGAGAGATTGCAGAGTTTTCCGGCTAATTGGATTTGAAAGCACGGCGACAGGCCAGAATTAAGGCCAATAGGATGGCGCTGTATTTTGATGCGCAATACCAAGAAGCATGAGCCAGACATGCAATTTTCAAGAAGCTCACACCTAATCTCCTGCACACTGTGGAGGGCCCCTACGAGGGCGTTGAGTTCGAATGGTAGAGCGCTCGCTTAGCATGCGAGAGGTAGAGGGAGTCTATGCACACTACTAAACGCACTATGCCAACAAAAGAAGGAAAAAACATGCACATAAAAATAAGCCCTTTCACATACAGCCTAAACGCTCATGCTCTGGATGAACACTAAGCTTTCTAACGCCTAACAGTCGGACCAGCCAGAAGAAGCATTGACTCCTCGGAGGTCAAAGGTGACTGCCGGTACACCTCTTTGTGCCAAAAGTCTGGCGATTCCGCTTAGGAGGCAGCTGCAAACACAGCACCGACTTCAAGAGAGGCTCATCAGAACTCTGGTATCCCTGGAGATCAGTCGCAATTTAAAAGAGCAGGTGCCGCTAAAGCCTCGAAACGAAGGAGAATTCTTGCTACAACAGCCATTCTAATCCAACAGTTTGAAGAAACGCTTTTCAGATACGACGAGTGGCTTTAATTTACGTCTACATGCAATAGAGAACCCTCCCAGAACTTTTATGTGTATTTTTCCGTAGGTACACCCGACTTACGTACCCCCTGCCACCCATGATGGAGTACTGGTGTACAAATACCACCATGGGATTTCCCCCTGCTGTGTAGTATGAATCGTTGGAATGTACGTCGATCCCCTCAGAATCTTTCCCCGAAGAAGACGCCGATACAGACTTCACACTAGAAGAAAAAGGGCTTTCGGAGTGGGGGAATCGGGGAGCTGAATTTCTTAGGATGCCAGGCCACCAGAGATCACCGTACAACTTCCCGCCGTCAGGACGCGTAATGCATATGTCTACTCGCTCAGGGCGAGACGAAGGAAGGCGAACAGCTTTCGCTGAAGCACACATCTCATCAGAAAGAGGAAATGATGTGATGGGACGAGTATAGGCGAGCATTGTAAGGCGCCTGTTTCAACACAACGGGTGTCAAAATCTCCTTCACTGAACAATGAGTACTTTTCCGGCTGTTTATACTGAGTCGAATTACAGGGTATGCTGCAACGACAATACAACTTCATCGTCCTGTGCAGATTTCAGGTGGTGTACTCAACAAGTCCTTTCAATGAATTCGGTGTGGTGGACGTGTGCCCACTTCAGCGTGCCGAAAAAATTTCTGTGATATTGCGTGACTGTTCTACTTGTGCGATTAAGGCAGCCTTACCCATTTTCGGTTGCTTTTGCAGAAATATCAACGGGGTATTGCTTCAACGTTTCGGCGTGTTGCATTTTTCAATGCAGGGGCCTAGATTGAATTAGGCGAGATCTGAAAGAATCCCATCTGACTTTCGATGTCGTAGCTAAGCCCGATAAAAGAGGCGCCTGGAAAACTTAAGATGACGAAAGATGAAATTAATGGTGGATTTTCTTCTTTACGGCCAGGCACTCAGTGCAGTGCATGCAGATTGCTCGCAGGGGCCCCCCTGTCGTCTGTTGAACAACTCGAACCCTAGTTTCTGTAAGATTTGAAGTAGCCACAAGTTTCTTATGCGCTCATTACCCTTCAACAAAGCTTTGCCTTAGTAATGCAACATTTCTCCAGTGGCGCCGGAACAGACATGTTAGCCACTCTGGCGAGAACATGCACAGAAAACCTCCCGACTCCACTGGATAATTGTGGCATTTGATGTTCTCTAGTTCGCATAAACATAAGGAAAAGACTAAAGCTAGAGATTGCTAACGAAGACGCACCCACATGGGCGGGAAAAGTGTGTGGTAACCGACGGTAGCCTCATCGGTGTACTCCGCCGACATAGAGCACCGTGGAGGCGGCTTAATATCTCTACCTACCAAATTGGTATACATTTATACGTATATGGCATTTCACACTCCGCCAAGTGCCGCCCTTCACGGAGCCAGGGCAACTCAGGCATCGATGGTTCTTGGCCATGTCCACACAGCTTCCATGATTCGCTAGGTAGCTCGCTACACTCTGTACTCCACTACCCCTATCTCTCGCTATTACTGACCAGTCATCCATCACCTCCATTAATAGCAGGGATACTACTAATGTACGACGACTCTTGTGGGCTTTTTTGGCTACAGCCATGGCGACCATCCGTGGCTTATCTCAGGCCCGTTCTCCTGTGTTAATTCTGACAAAAAGACTCGAACAGAGCTTGTAGAGGGAGATCTTGACCTCGGTGTAAGTGACCTCAAACAAAGGCTCATCTCATTTCAAAAAGTCCGCCCAACAAGCATATGGCAACTAAGCAATGTGAATAGGCTTATCATAGCAAGCCATACATGCTTCCTTCAAGGCTTCAGAGAGGGTGGGGTGAGCGTGGCACACACGCCCCAAGTCTTCGCTTGCTGCGCCGTATTCCATGGCCAACACAGCTTCAGCAATCAACTCTCCTGGAGCAAAGAAATTACAGGCAAGCACTTTCGGCCGTTCTTGTACGGCCGCAGGTTTGAGAGAGGAGCTACTTTTTGCTGCTAGAAAGGCTTAATGCGCTTCGAATAGGCAGCGCCGCATACGTCAAGCGTTGACCTGTTACAGAGTATCGCCCTCGTACCTGCTCCTTGGCCTAGGATCCAGACTCCCAGCAGCTTGTCAGTTTCTTTGCACGCCAATACTTTCACGATACCTGCAGAAAGGCGGAGGTAGAACGACGCAGGATGGCGCCGTAGCGCAAAGTAACGCCCTCTGGTGTCCATACAGCAGCATCTCACGCGGAGAGCAACTGGCGGAATCAAACATGTGGATTTTTCAGCAAGTAACGAGTGCACAGGAAAAGGCCTTCAGAGACTCCTGCATCATAAGCGGCCAAGCGAGAAAAACAAAAAATAAATCATTACCATCGGAATCGCCTGTCGCACGAGCCCTGCTATTTGCGACGAACGGGAAAGATCCTCTTTTGTAAGCCACGCCCTCGGCCTTGAGCTGCAGAGACACCGCCCGTACAGCCACCACAAAATGTGCTCCTACTTAAGGCAGAAGGATCCCCTGCCTTTACCTTGACTTATTCCGCAGCGTACTGGCAAGAACGTACAGACAGACACAGTGCCGGCTCTAGAGGAAACAACGCATGCATGGGGGCAGCACACGTGTGTCAGCACGATGCACCCACCTGCTCCTCTGTTTTGCCCACGCCTGCAAGTTCAGGATGGGTGTAGATGACTGCGGGGATCGTGTCGTGGTGGACAGTGCCATCGCCTTTCCCCGCCAGCCTCTCGACACAGGCAATGCCCTCTTCCTCTGCCTTGTGGGCAAGCATGGGCTTTGCAGTCGGGAAAGGTAGCACACACACACCATTAGGAGCAAATACAAACGCGGGTGTGCTGCTGAAATAGACACTTGCAGGAGTTGAAGTGAAAAACGCTATCCAGGAGATGCCTAAAAAGCATGCATCAATACAGGGATGCGCTTTTACTGGGTGAGACGGGGCAGTTAGAAGAGAGAGTGCCAGAACACACATACATACCCCCTCGATAAGGTCGCCAATTGCCATAATGTGAGGAAAATTCGGAACCTGCATCTGCTTGTTTACCACCACTCGGCCCCTCTGTAGAGGCACACCAGACCAGCAGCCACACGTCCATAGCCACATGCAATACGCCAACATGCGCAAGCGGACGGCTAGCACGTCTTGCATGCGCCTCTCAAAGGGGTCCTATGAAGAACCTCGGCAGCTGGCGAGCAACTGGCGAGAGAGAAGGAGGCTCAAGACAAAAAAGACGGCTATATCCGACGATAGTGCACTAAGCGGGAAAGCCACAAAGCAAAGGCATGCTCAGGGAAGGTAAGAGAGGAAGGTCACAGAATGCTACCCCCTCTCGATTACGAACATTGTCAAGACGAATTCCTAGCTCCTGGAGCCCTAGACCCTCTGTGCATGGTTGCCTTCCGACTGAAACAAGCACCACGTCGCATTCCAACTGCGGCAGCAACAGGCAGGCAGCTCCCAATCACAGCGCAACGCAAGACTGTGACATACAGCGAGACAGACAGAGACATATATATACATGCATATACATACATATACATATATATATACATATAGTTCGTTTGACTGTCGCAGTTTTGAGGGTTCGACGCCCCTAAGCACATTTTTAATTAAAAATTTCCTTCATGCCGAGTTCCCCTTGGATTTCCCACGCATGCTCCCGAAGCCACGCACCTGGGAAGCAGCTCCACTCTTGACGTTCTCTGAGAGGCAGCAGAAGAAAGCAGCACAGAACGCCATGCATGTGCGCCCACGCGTAAGACATTAGCATGGCGACTTTAAAGAGAGAGAGAGAGAGAGAGACAGAGAGACGTCACCCCTCGTGCTGCTGCTGGCGCTGGTGGGGTAGTGTGTGGGTAAGCAGTTTTTCCCACACACCATCCCACCTTGCGAACGCAATGCAGGCATGCACGCTGCAGACCGCGGAGATAGATAAAAATCCTCCCTTGCATGCATGCGTCTCTCTTCTTAAACGCGTGACAGTGTTACGCAGAGAAAACAGCGGAAAGCCTAGGGGCCTGGGGGAGGAGGTTCAAGACACCTCAGGGAAAGACCGCATGAGCACAATGCATGCTTTCTTTGAGCGAATCCTCGTAAAATCTTGGCTATGCATGCTCAAAAAGCGTACCGACTGACACCTTGACACCGTCACTGGTCTTTTCAGATCCAACAACTTTGGTGCCAAACATGAATCTAATTCCCTGCTTCTCTAGAAGCTTTTGGAAGGCCCTTCCCACCTCCGCATCCTGCAGACAGAAAAACGCAAAACGAGGGAGAAAAAAAGTCAACCAATAAGAGTGCCTCTTCACGCGCATACCAGAAAAGGAAATAAACACCAAGCACCCCACTAACGTCAAGGGCTGAAGCAAGCGAGGGAAGGCCTCGCAAGGCGATCGCAGTGAAAACAACACGGAAATGCCGCTGTAACATGCCCCACAACGCGAACATTTGTACATATGTATGCATGTAACACATAGATATATATATATATATATGTATATGTGTATGTATGTGTATGTACGTGTATGTGTACACGTAAGATACACATGCACATATGCACACATACATGCATTCATACAAACATACATACACACATTCACACACACATACATACACACTCACACATGCATACTTAAATGCATTCAAACATACATACATACATACACTCACACATGCATACATACACATTCACACATACATACACAAATGCATTCAAACATACATACATACATACACTCACACATGCATACATACACATTCACACATACATACACAAATGCATTCAAACATACATACATACATACACATTCACACATACATACGTACACATTCACACATACATCCGCACGCATACATTTACACACAAATACACACAGAATTCCTCCGCGAAAGGCGCATCACAGAAAGAGCGAAGGCGTTGCAAAATGCCTGTGGAGCCTGCCTCACAAGGGAAGGGATGATCTTCTCCGAGAATTCCACGACGGTCACCTCGGCTCCTAAGTTTCGCCATGCACTGCCTAGTTCCAGTCCAATGACGCCTCCTCCCACTACCACCAAGTGCTTCGGAACTTGTTGCAAAGCCAGTGCTCCTGTCGAACTGACAATAGTCTCCTCGTCAACCTATGAATGAGCAGGCAGCACACACCTGCATGCGTTCAACCCACTGCCGCAAAAATCGCGGAAAACACACTTCCATCTATGCAGTATACATGACTATGCAGTATATATCCAAGTCAAATTTTATACATATGGATAAAGTCTATACAGGTATATATATATATATATGTACATTGATATGTCCATATACATTGATATGTACATATACACTGATATATATATATACACTGATATATATATACACTGATATATATATACACTGATATATATCTATATACATTGATATATTTCTATATCGAGATACACATACTACATTTAAATTTTAACATGCGGCCACTCCTCGCTGATAAGGTTAACGCTCATAGCCTTCTCCAAAAAGTGTCAAAGTGATTTTTTAGGGCAATCGTTTTTGCCGCGACAAGCAACACACGCACCTCCAAGGCACCTCCTACGAGTGGAGAGGCCTCTGATCCCGTTGCCAGGATGATGTGCTTCGTCTTGAGGAGACTAGGCATCCCTCCTTCTCCCTCGATAGGCTGCACCTTGACTGTGTGAGCATCTGCCAGTGTGCCTGTTCCCTGAGACGGAGAGGCGACATTGTCAGCACAAAATGCTGCTGGAAGTCCTCTCTCTTTCTGCTCAGAAACGCTGCCGCTCATATTCTTTTCCCGCGTCTAGCGGGCAGCATGCCGTTTTGCTGATGCTCCAGATCCTGGTGTCTGCCTCCCCCAAACAAACTGCTGCCCCTCGGGAGAAGGCACAAACAACAGCATCATCTTCATCAGCATCAACGCAAGGCAAGGCAAGGCGCAACACATACATACCTTCACATATTGTACTCCGTTTTTCTTAAAAAGCATTTCGATACCATGCGTCAGGCCTCCCACGATTTCGTTCTTGTAACTCTGCATTGCAGCCAGGTCTAAAGACACCGAGCCAACCTTGATGCCGAATCGCTCGAAATTGCAAGACGCCTCCTACACTCACGCGGCAGCAGAGACAAGGACGAACGTTCGCACCTCCACAAGTCGGAAAGTCTGGCGGGAGGGGGGGAAGGGGGGGAGACAACAAGAACGGGGAGAAAAGCGTTTCTCAAAAAAAGACGTCTCGAAGGACGCATGGTAATGCTCAAAAGCACTCAAGACGTCTCGAAGAACGCATGGTAACGCTCGAAAGAAATCGAGACGAACACTATCCAACACAGATTGCAGGAGCTAGAAGACGCCAGATACGGTTCCCAATCGCAGTGATCAGCGAAAGGTGGCAGGCAGATCATAATTTCTGCTCTTCCTCTCTGCTACTCGCTTGACTTCTTGGACGGCAGCATGTGCCTCTAGGAATGCACAAGGCCAGCAAAGCCCCCAAGAAGCAGAAAAAGCTCTTGAACCATACCCAATAGATAGAGGAACATATATCTATATGTATATGTATACACATGTATATATATGCATATGTGTATCTACAGATATGTATATAGATGTATATCTATATGTATATACATATATGTATATATATATATATATATATATATATATATACACGAAGATGATAGCGCACAAACGTCGGAGACGGCTCTAGCGGTAGAAAAGGCGCAGGAATGAATGCTGTCATGCCTTCCCCTTTCTCCCTCTCCCCCGTCGCCTTCGTAAGAACGTTCTCCCCCTCTTCGTCTACATGGAGAGCCAGTCCAGAAGGCTTACTTTGTACTTGTGACTCATGTTCAGCAGCGCCTTCGAGGGGATGCAGCCCACATTCAGACATGTACCTCCAAGAGTGCCTCTCTTTTCAACGCATGCTGTTTTCAGACCAAGTTGTGCAGCTTTAATCGCGGAAACATAGCCACCGGGTCCCCCACCAACAACTACCACATCTAACTCTGCATCGGTGGAGAAGAATCGGCCTTGAGGCGCCTTCCACAAGGCTCTTGCATGCATCGCTTTCTGCATCAGCTGCCGCGTGGCTAACCGGTAAGCCTGCTGCATCTTCTTGAGCTGCGAGCATAAAGGCTGCACATGGACAGACAGATCGCAATCAAAGCGCCGACAGACAGATACACATTCCGATGCACAGACAGACGGACAGACAAGCAAACACACAGCCATACACATACACACGCCAGAATTACAGGGCCCTACACCGAGGGTGTGATATACACGAGCGCAGAAAGGGGTGAGCACATCAAGCAAGTCACGTCATACGCACTTTTGGCAACCCTCTCTCCCCCTCCTCCCTTTCCCCCCTTCCGCTTCTGTCGGCACACTGCGCATCCATGAACGGAAACGAAAAGCTCGTACAGGCCTTGCCCTCTCCCCTCCTCCTGCCCCTTCTTCCCTCCCTCACGCATGAACGCATGAACGCACACATCTATGCACAACTCTGCCTACACTGCAGGTAGGTGCCCATGCATGTGGAATGTGCAAGCTAGAGGGGCAAGCAGCGAATGCCGCTGCACGCAGCCCTTCCGTTTCATGCAGGAGCATTTGCTGTGGCGTGTTTCGGCGGACGATCCGATTACAACAGCCGCTCTAGCAAAGCCATTTTCTTTGAAGATTTCTGCCTTCCACCCGCCCCCCTGGCCATGAAAAGCCCGCAGGCAACGCTGGACAGAAACAAAAGACACACCTGCCGTCAGAAAAAGGTGCAACTGCCCCTTAGTTTCCGCTGGAGAGGCCAACTGCAGAGCCGGCGGGGGGAGAAGACAGGAGGGCCCCTCGATGAGAAGAAACGGCGCAGCTTGCAGGCGCACAGAAGAGCCCAGGAAGAGGCTTTTAAGTGCTTTGCTACTTTTTAATAATGCGGCAGAAAAGGAACTATGGAAAGGCTGCGTTTAATTCCCTATCCTGTGGCCAGAGTGACAGTGGAAAGCCCCAAGCGCTCGCTCCCTCTCTCTCTCGGCCTGTCTGCATATTCATATCCCTTGATCTGTCTGTCCTTCGCGAATTCTGCGAGTTTGCCGCTTTGTTTCCACATTAATGCGCACTGCTATTCATTTTAACGCCGCGATTCGCGCGTGTACGTACACTCCATCGCGGAGCTTCGGCACGGGCTTCCTCCTGCTAGGCCGAAGCATCCGCGCGAGCACAAGCGAGGGAAAAAAGCTGCAACTGTAAAATTTCTGTTTCAGCAATTCAAGAGCACACGCAATTCAATTAAGCTGCTGGGAGCACAACATGGCAACCTCCGGAGCAGCGCTTCACGGCCTTCGCAGGTGCCTTCTCTCCCCCGCCACAGCCGTGCAGAAAGCGCCTAGCAAAGCTTTCCCGCTGGTACAGAGGCGTTTCTTGGGAAATGATGTACGCGGACCTGACTTTGATCCCTTAATTCTCCAGTCCTGGAAGGTAAGGCGCTCATGAACGGCTTGCCGGATGCGTCCAACGCGCGCGGCTAGAGATCGCATGCTCGGTAGGGGCACTTGTGCACGGGGCAGCCTTTTCGGGTGGCCATATATGTGTTTCCAGCACACACACACATAGCGAGATGATGCACTGCATGCACGTACGGGATACAGCGGGAGAGGCCTGTGGGCTCTGGACGGCAAGCAGGGAGGTGTTTGAAGACGCACTTCCTTGCGCAGAGCTCCCCAGGGGTTCTCTGCTTTCATCGACTGTGTGTGGGAGAGCGGGTGTGCGTGTACATGGAAATGTATATATGTGTGTGTATTTATGTATCTATATCTACAGGTCCATGTGGGCCTGTGTGCATATATGTATATACGTGTGTGAATGTGTGTGAATGCTTGCGCTTGAGTGTATGTGTATGTATGTATGTATGTGTGTATATGTGTATGTATGTATATGTATGTATGTGTGTATGTACGAATTTATGTGTATGTATGTATGCTGAAATCTGTGCAGCTGGAGCCACATGTGAACGTCGTCTGCAAAGGGTTTTGTCGGCCCCTGTATTCCTACGGCGAACTGAAGCAGTTTAGTGAGAGCTTGCGTCTGCTGCTGTTTGTGGGAGGTTCTGCTCTGGTAGCTGCGGACATGCTGTTTGTACACCCGACGCAATCGGCTTACTGGCGCCTCTTTTCTCCTTTGCGGTGGCCGGCCCTCATGTTTTCGCCATTCCAAGGCCCTAAGAACACAAAAGGAGTCTTTGATTTTGAAGAAGAGGGCTGCATCAAAGGAGCGGACGGCACTGTAAAGACAGCAGCGTATGCTACATTCGGCAAAGTGCTCTAACTGAAGTGCGCGTCGCCCGCGCAGCTGCTGATAGATGGCGAGAGGTTTGCAAGCCGCCTCTGTCGTCTTGCTTCCTCAGGCTCCAATGAATAGTTGGGATGTTGTGCTCGGAGAGGCCTGCCTTCGCCTACTTTTGCAGCTTCCGTCATTTCAACTTGGGGTGTCCGTACAGTCCGCAGGGGCTGTATTCGGCGACTCACAGCCGCACCCCGGCGGGACTTGCAGGAGGCAGAGCTTTTAGCTGCATGCCAGAGACGCAGTGGCAGTCTGCCACGTTTTTTGGTGTGGATTAGGTCGTGTAGCATAGCTACGCTTTAATAGAGTATTTATAGGGCTGGAAATTCTTAGGAAACGTAGGAGTGGGGGTTTCATTGACGGAGCCAGCGGGAAAATGCCTCGAGGCATTTTCGCCGTTCTGCCTCGAGGCAGGCTCCTGGCTATGCACGGAAAACAACTCTGTACAGGAAAATATATATATTATATATAGCGGCTTCAGAGGCGTCTAGAGGAGGCCTACAAAAAGCCACCCAACGACGCACAGGCAGACGCTGGTTCCCATGTCATGAGTCCCTAAGAACGTTCGGTCCCCAGCGTTGCACACTCTGTCTGTTCACAGAATAATTCCAAACGCGAAAGCATGCGCTCACCACGCCACACTTCGTTAGAAAGATCCTGCATACACCCCGAGGGAAGGGCCGGGTGCTTGGCATCTGTTAGGCGCTCTGCCGTCCTCTATGTGCACGTGTTTTCGTGCCGCTGAAAACTGCAGCAGTCTCTCTCTTTCTCTCTAGCTCGCTCTCTCCGCAGCAGCACCGAAACCCCAACTTTCAAACAAAGCGTTGGGAATGTATTCCAAGGGAGTGTCTGCTGAGTGTACTGGCGTTCGTTTTAGAGGCAAAGGCATGTGAGGCCATTGAGGCATTCGGCGAGCGAAGGCGGACTGCTAGTGTAGGTGTGCGCGTCGTCGCGTGCATGTTTTCCCTAGATCGAACATCAAGTGTCTAGGCGTTTTATTGGGAAGAATGTATGCGCCTAAGCTGTGACTCCTGCTTGCTCTTCGGGCGGGCACCTAGTTTACTGAAGAGACCTTCCCCCAAAGGTCTCTCTCTCTCTGTGCCGTACGATAAACTGAGGCATAACAAGGAGCTCGCCCCCTTTTGCCAGCCGTCCAAGTCAAAATGCACAGCAGCTGCCTGCCTGTCTGCCTACTGTGCACTATACGGGCTAATTGCAAGGAACTACGCGCATAAAGGTTGGACCTTGAATGCTGTTTGCGCCAGGTGAATCAGCAGCAACTCGGAGAGCCACGAGGGTTCCCCAATATACACATAAAGAAACTAAGCCAGGACCTAACTAAGGCGTTGTTGGCACGCGCTGTAATCCTGAAGCTTGAAGATGCACACCCCTGCGCATCCTGAAAACAGTCGACTGATGGCGAGCACTATGCCGTTCAAGTACAGTTTGTCGTACAGATAAAAATTGCTTAGGCTTGCCTACCCCTCTCCGCCTGCCCCGTACGTACCCATCACCCCTGGCTAGCGTCTCACCCAGAAAGCCTCCCCGAGGGGCCTGTACACATGCGCCTTCATGGCTGAACTGCAGACAGACTGGAAGCTGCAAGTTTTACGCTCTTGCCCGCAAGCGTGTCAATACACATCTGGGAACCTGCACCCACACAGACACCAGATATCCCGCAGCGGCGCGCATGCAGAAGAAGCCGCCATTCTCAGCGTCTACTGAACGAACGGCTTGCAGCCGCAGTGTCTCCCTCGCCCCTGGCGAAGGCAAGAGACAGCACGCCAACGCTTGGCACGATCCAGTGCCCCCTTTCGAAGCGCCTCCCTCTGCATGCAGCGGGCGCTCAAACCCTCTGGAGGCACCCCCATGGTGGATGTAAAAGGCAATCTGAGTGTGTGTGCGCCAAAGAAGCTTTTGTCGATGCACGCCGACTTCCCCCCCCAGCAGCTCGCACCACCCCCTCACGACAAGCGCAAAAGTGCACGAAAAAACGCAACATAAAGTTGCTGCCAACCTGCGGTCAAAAGATGTGTCTCTGCAGGGGCTGTTTCGCCCTGCGTTGGCTGCGGATGCAAGGAGGAGGGTAGAAGCTGCGTCCCTCAAAGTGCGCAAGCGCTGTTGCGCTCGATTTAATTCCTCTTGGAGGTGCTGTGCCTCCTCAGTCTTGGCTGCCAGGTTCTGCTGCAGCGTCTGCAGCACCGAAGGCAGCAGCTACATGCGCCACATCGAGGAGCAGGCCTCTAGATGCAGCAGGCAGAGACGCTTGCGGAAATAAGTCGCTCAGCGAGAGAGACACAAGTGCAGACAGCGATTTAGCCAGTGGTACCCACTGCGGAGATGAACAGCGGCTCAAACACTAAGAGGCCTCGTCCCCCCGTCCCTTCCCTCTTCTCCCCCCTGCGTGATGCCACACACTTGCAGCTTCTCATGCTGTGCCTTGACAGCCCTCGCCAGTAACAGCTTGTCGTTCTGCAAAAGTTCTACTCTCCTTGCCAGCTCGTGATCTGCAGGCGGATCGAACAACGCAATCAGAGCAGCAGCCCAGCCGTCTTTCGTGAGGCTGCCGCCACTACGTCAAACACAATTGCGACATGGACTGTCTGTCTGTCTGTTTGCCTATCCATCTGCCTGTCTATCTGCCTATCTATCTGTCTGTCTGTTTGTTTGCCTATCTATCTGCCTGTCTATCTGCCTATCTATCTGTCTGTCTGTTTGCCTATCTATCTGCCTGTCTGTCTGTCTCCTTGCACGCGTCTGCTGCAGCGCTACCAGCAACACCTGCAATCGACGAGGTCGCGCAGAGACAACACTATGGCGAACACAGGTAGGCCCTCACTAATTCACCCTCTCTCTCTCTCTCTGTCTCTCTCTCTCTTTGTCTCTCTCTCTCTGTCTCTCTCTCTCTGTCATTCCCTTACTCTCCGCTTCCTTGGCGAGATCAGCCTGGGAGAGTTCCTCTTCCTGCTGCTGCACGCTAGCCAGCTGCAGCGCATGCTGTCGCAGCAGTGCAGCTGCCTTAGCCTTCGCCTCCTCGCCACTGCCAGCAGCAACTATTGCCCAGAGAAGGCGTTCCGCTACCTCCTCACACCACGCTTCTGGCAAGCTCTCCCGTTTTGCCCTCGAGGGAAGCTGATCGGCAACGCCTCCCGCAGAGACGGAGGGACGGGCAAAGCCGCAAGAAGAGGCTGTAACGGGCAAGGCGAGTGCAGGAGGAGGAGGAGACGCGTGAAGCGCCAGCTGCTGCGAATACGAACCCTCCAGGAGCGGCGAAGGAGCCTCACTTGAGCCTCTCCCATCAGCAGCGTCCACCCCACAAAAGCCCCGTGTGCGGCTGCTCGAGTCTGCTGCACCTGCTGCTGCAGCAGCAGCTGCTGCTGCTGCTGTTGCTGCAGCAGGGGGGCCTCCCGCAGCTGCAGCCGCCTCCTCGAGAACATCGAGGCAGTCCGAATCGGCTGAGGCACAAGCGCGCAGACAGGTGAAACGTGCATGTGCAGGCAGCGCTGCGTACACACGCGCATCGTTCAGAGAGAAAAGACGGAGACAGCACTCACAGACGGCTACCGACACGAAGCCGCTGCCAAGAGCCGCAGCCTCTGCCCTTCCCAGCCGCAGGAGACCTCTTTCACGCCACGCGTCCATGCAGCTGCCCTCTACAGTGCAAAAGCAGCAGCCCAGAAGGTAGCAAGCCATCAAATATATATATATATATATACATATGTACACGCATGTGTATACACATATACACATATATGTACACTTAAATATATGCATATATGTACACTTGAATATATACATATATGTACACTCATATACACACCTATGTACACTTGCATATATATATACATATATATATATATACATATATACACATATACGTACACTTAGATATATACATATGTACACTCATATACATGCATATGTACACTCATATACACGCATATGTACACTCATATGCACACCTATGTACACTCATATGCACACCTATGTACACTCATATACACACCTATGTACACTTATATATATATTTATATATATACATATATGCACACATATGTACACTCATATACACGCATATGTACACTCATATACACACCTATGTACACTTATATATATATAGATATACACATATACACACCTATGTACACTCATATACACACACATATATATATATATATATACATATATATATATATACCGTCTGGGCCTCTCTTCCGCTTGCTCATCGACCGTCCTGATCTCGGGTAGTGCAATCCTGTGTTGGTATCGCTGAGAACCCTAACGAGTGCATGCGCCCTCTGGAAGTCATTTTCTGCAGTTTCAAGCAACGAAATAATGAGCTGAGCGCAGACACGCGGCAAGAACCCCAGAAACACAAGAGGAAGGGGCGTAGGCGTGCAAGGACGGGGAGGCAGCGAGGCGAAAAAAGGCTGCACTGAACAGCCATGCAGCAAAGTCAAGCGGAAGCAGGAGAAGAGACACGTCGTGCGCGAAGCGGTGTCGCTGGCCTCACGAGAGGCAGAGCAGGAGTGCCTAGCAACACAGCAGAAGTCGGGAAGCAAGCGGGGGAAAGGGGCAGCGCAGGAGGAGACAGACTGCGCCGAGCAGTCTGCCTTCTCCTGCGGTGTATGGACACCTCACGCCCTGGTGCAATGAGGGGAAGGCCTTGCAGAGCTCAGCGAGGTTGGCTGCGAAGGTTGGCGGCCTCCTGGGGCCTTCGAAGCAGACGATGTTGCTGCTGCTGCTGCTGCTGCTGCTGCTGCTGCTGCTGCTGCTGCTGCTGCTGTTGCTGCTGTTGTGGCAAGGGCAACTGCACGCCAAGCAGCAGTCCCCCTCCCCACTGGAGCCGTTCTGTCGCGTTGCTGCGGTGGGCGTTGCAGCACTTGCAGCACCTGCAGCAGCTGCTCCAGTAGCGGCAGCACTTGGTGTTGCACTTGCAGCACTTGCAGCAGCTGCTCCAGTAGCAGCAGCTCTTGGCGTTGCACTCGCGGCACTTGCAGCTGCTGCTCCTCCTCTGGATGGCGTAGTTGTGTCAGAGGGGTCGGTGGAGGCGGGAAGCTCAGTCGCCGGCAAGGCACTGTGTCCAGTGCGTTCCGCAGAAGCGGAGGCGTCTCCCAGACTAACGCTCGGCCCTACAGCCGTCTTGTTGGTAGCGAGAATTAGAGAGCCTTCGCTGGCTTGAGCTTTGCACAAGCTGCAGCAGGGAAACCCTGTGCGAGTTCGCTTCGCGTCCACGTGCAGCTGCTGCGTCAAGTCGAATGACAGCTTGTGCATCTGATTTCCCAATGCGTGCTCTGCAGAAAGGGAGTCGAAGGCCTCTCCCCTGTTCGCAGCAGCCTCCATGCTGCTGCTGTGCTTCGCCCCCGCCGAGGCTGAGAAGGAGGGGCCCCCCCCCAGAGGGTTCTTGGCGAGGAGGGGCCCCCCGGGTAGGCCAGCTGCGCTGCGGATCGCGGGGGAACACGCAGCCATTGGGAAAGACGCTCTGCCGATCGGCTGTAGCCGCGGAGATGGAGGCTGCTGCTGGGAGGGGGGCTGACAAGGCAGCTCTGAGCCCGTCTTGTGCTCTCTCTGCGCCTGGCCTCGCCGGTGCTGCACGAAGCCTTCGCCTTTTTGCACTTGCTGGGAGTGCGCGTCCTCTTCGCCAGGTAGTCCTTCTGGAAACGTGTTCTCCCCCCTCTCTGCATCAGCCGCTGCAGGACCATCCGCGTGCATGTTCGAGGGCCCCCAGAGCGCAGCGGGGGGTGCCACAGCCATCCGCAGCTGAAAAGCCACCCGCGCCTTCGGAAGGCTTCCCCGCGCAGAGGCAGCGCTGAGAGAGAGAAGAAAGTCCGCTCGCCACTCGCGGGGTGTCGCGTTGTGCCTGCCGGGGGAGCCGGCAAGCGGGGAAAGCGCAGATGTCGAAGGAGCGCCAAGACACAGAAAGCTTCAGACAGAAACGGAAGGCCCCTAAAACAAGAATAAAGGCCCCATGTAAGACACTGAGACGCTTTCCACGCCCAACCGATCGCCGCACGGCTGCGCCGCTTCCCTGCATGCAGTGGTGCACAGGGGCATGGAGAGGAATGAACGAACAAACGCTAGAAAGGACCAAGTAAATGCGACAGTGCAGCTAGAACCGAATTACTCGCTCTCCTACGCAAATTCATTCATCGCCTCTTATTTTATTGCATCGAGCACGCTGTGTGCTCTGGGCCAGCAGACTCGCTGCTCTTGCGGCTGCTGCTGCCGCCGCCGCGCACACTGCTGAGGGACTCCTCCTAGGGTTTTTTATTTGCGTTTCCGCTTTGTTGGCTAAGGAAGAGCTTATATTCAATGCAAAGAGCCTCAGTCTGGCCAGCGGGAGGCAGAAAGTGGCCGCGCATCTCCCCTGCAGTGGCGGCCATCGAGTCGTCCGTGAGCTGCAGCGGCTCATTCACGCAGAGCTCATCATGGTAAATGCCTTGCAGATCTCCCCAGCGGCACCCGCGCACAAGCAGTGTGAAGAAAGACTTATGAATTTTACGTTTATCCCCCTTGAAACCCAGGTTTTTTTGTTTTGCTCTGCACCATTTACACTGCAACTCCCGAGGAAGCCGTCTGTCAGCAGCAGCATCGTCCGCCTGGCTGTCCATCATCGATGAGCGCCTGTTCACAGTAATTCAGCTTTCTCGACCCCCTCTTATAAGAGTCGTTTGTCAGTGCTCTCCGGGGAAGCGCGAGATCAGCTGCTTTCTGTCCTCGCTCCCTTGCCGCCTCCTTGCCAAGACCCTCTCCCGTAGTCTGACGCTGTGCTCGCCAGTTCACTGCGGCTGTCCGGCAGAACTCGGCGGTGTCTTTGGGTGGATTTGGGAAGCATCAGGTGTAGGCCGCTCCGGTTCAATGCGCGCTTCCACCGCTTTCCCCTCCGTTTCTCCCCTGAGGTACCGATACACCCGGACAGGTCGTGTGTGTTATCGAGGACTCCCACCAAGACAACCGGAAGAAACTTCCCGTTTTTCTTTAAAAAAAGGACCCTGAGCTTCCTGCCGCCGCTCCGTATTCCACTCCTGAACGTAGCAGCTGTTGCTGTCGAACTCGTCGTCATCATCCTGCAGGGGCTGCCTCCATGTGACATTTACCCCCCTACCTCGTCTTGCCATGATCTCCCTATGCCATTGCCTGCCCTCTTCATTGCCGCTCTCCCCGTGCTTCGCCGAGGCGCACATCACCCTTTTCGCAGCGGCAGGGAAAAGCAGAAGAGGAGGAGCAGCAGCAGCAGCAGCAGCCTGCGCTGCTGCTGCAGCCTCACCAGACCACGGCCCATAGACAGGCCTGCCCCCACCAGTGGCACCATTCCACCCCTCTGTTGTTGCAGGATTTCCTAGACTGCAGCAGCAGCAGCCATGGCAGTTCGCGCCATCGAGTACACAATCAAGGTGGAGGTGCACGAGGTGAGAGGACTCTCCTTTAAAGAGTCCGCCGGGGAAAAGGAAATTGTGCCGAACCCTTATGTGGATGTGACGGTGGGTGACGTCACCAAGAGTACAGTGCAAAAGAATCAAGTGGTGTCTGCGACATTCAACTCGACATTCAACTTTCAAACAACCCTCACCCCCGAGGAATTCCAGCGCAGCTACGTGGAACTTGACGTCATGCACAGATACACCTTGGTTGGAGGCATCGGCCTCCAGAGCGCCATGATCGGTAAATATGTACTGAGCTTCGCCTACGTCTACTCCAAAAGCCAGCACTGGATATACAGACAATGGGTGAAAATACGCAACTTCGAGCAACTCGTCACAGATCCTGTAAGCGTGTTTCTGCACCACCCCTCTCCTTCTCGCATACGGGGGGAGGGGCATTGCGTGCACCACACGAATTCAACCCCCAGGCGTGACGGCGGCTGGCATTGCCCTTCTCTGTGCAAACTGCTACATACAGGGGCCACTTGAATACAGAAAGCTAGGGGCTTAACGCCATCCGCGACAGAGCGGCGTATGGGGAAGTGGGAGTGTGGATTTAGCCTGTTTTCGTTCATTGGGCGAAGGAGGAACTGCGCTTTCGAGAAGCGTCTTTTGCACACTTTCGTCATGAAAACACCGCGTGTCACGATCTATGGTTCTCAGGGGATGATGCTTCTTACGGTCGGCATCTTTGGACCCGGAGATCTCTTGCCCGTTGTCGATGAAACCGTAGCCTACCTCAATGACGAAGGCGATCGCATCACCAAGGATATAGACGTGAAATCAACTTACTACAGTCTCACCGTCAACATCTTCAAAGGCCAGGATATCAGTGCCGTTGTTGGACAAATCACCAGCACATGCGAACCCTTCGTCAAGGTTTGCTTCGTGTGCTAGGAGCCATGTATTGTACTTGCTGTGCATCTGCTTCCGCGTATCTACTGTGGTGCAGGCTCACGCTTCCGTGCATCTTCTATAGTGCAGGCTCACGCTTTCGTGCATCTTCTGTAGTGCAGGCTCATGCTTCCGCGCATCTACTGCAGTACAGGCTCACGCTTCTACTGTAGTGCAGGCTCATGCCTCCGTGTATCTACTGTAGTACAGGCTCACGCTCCTACTGTAGTACAGGCTCACGCTTCTACTGTAGTGCAGGCTCACGCTCCTACTGTAGTACAGGCTCGTGCTTTCGTGCATCTACTGCAGTACAGACTTTGCTTTCGTGTATCTACTGGCTCTGCTCCCGTGATTCTACTGCGATCATGCAGGTGAAACACGGTGGCGCTGAACTTCAAACACGATCGCTGCCAGAACGTAGTCCTGAGTGGCAGGCGTCGATCTCGCTGCCTGCCTGTATCCCCTGCCACGATGGAACTGTCTTGGTAGAGTTGTGGAACGGCAGCAGCAATCCCGTCCTCATGGCGTCGATGGTGCTGGACTTTTTTGAACTTGTCAAAAACGAGACGCAGACGCGGTGGTTCAACTTTTACTGGAGGCCGCCTTCGGAAGGTCAGAAGCAGATTGCAGCTGTCTAGAGCTGCGCCGCAAGAGGAACCTCTAACACCCCCCGTAAAGGCTGCCCCTGTCTTGTGTGACGAATGCTGCATGCATGGCAGCAGCAAGCAAACAGGGGACCAAGGCAGACGCTATCCCCATAAGAGTTCAAGTGACGACTGCTGTGCATTCCAAGCCCACATTTAGACCCATATACACATACCCCATCCACGGTGCTAGCACACACATATTTGCCAATACATCCAGGCAACTAGAACACACATGTTCGCCTATATGCGTTCACACTGGTACATGCAAATAGCCGTAGTACACCCTCTCTCGTCACTTGGGGAAGACACACGTCTGCCGCACCAGCGCAGAGGCATTCAACCCAGCAGAGGAACCTTGTCCAGCAGCAGACAGAACCTCCTTCCGCTTCTCCCCATGCATCTGCTGGCATTTTTTGGCTAATACGTTCGTTATCATCTGCTTGCGAACAGGAGAGAGCACGGAGTCTGTGTGTGTGGCTCTGTTGGCCCTCCCTCCTCTTTTTCCTCTCCTTCTCTGCGGGGAAGAAGGGGGAGAAGAGGGAGCAAGGGGAAGGGGGAAAAACACCTGCTGTGCACTTGTGTGGCTCTGCGTGCGTCGTGGATGCGCCTCTTTCTTCCTTTCTGCTGCTCCTGCTCCTTTTCAGGCCTGTTGGGGGCTGTGCAGGACATGTTGACGAATGCGGAGCTGCGGCAGTCGAATGCGTATGCAGGACGAATCCTCTTGAATGCTTCTTGCGCGAAAGTGCAGGCCCCTCTGCCCATGGGTGTTCGATCCACACGCGCCATTCACGAGCCGCCGCAGGTGGAGTACTCTTTGTGGGCTGATGTTTATGAGATTTCTTGCAACGCCGTGCTGGGAAACGAGCTTCAAGCAGAAGTCGCATTCGGACCGCACACGCTGAAATCACCCCCCCTCATGGTCGAAGAAGCGGGATCTTACACTCTCGAAGCCGCACAGGGGCGCATGGAGGAGCTCAGAGTGTATCTTCCTGGTGAGTTTTTCGTGGAAAGCAGCAGGCAGCATGCGAAATTGCCTCCTCGGCCCCTTTCGCTCTGTGCGACCCCCTTCACCTGTCGCATTGGATGGGCAGGGCAGGAGCAGTGCAGGGGGATGCTGGGAAGGCGGCTTTCCCCATGATGCAAAACACAAAAAACACAAACCTGCACAGATCGAAATGCAACCTTCAGAGGTTGCCCATGCCAAATATATTCAAAGCGCGCAGGCAAACATACACCCCAAACCGCACGCTCACTGGCCTTTTAAAGGTCTTACTGTTGCACTATGTGTGCACCATGCATCCCTGTACTTCGCTTCCCACACTGCTAAGCCCCTGCACCTATGCGGCATATATATACAAATATATGTACATATCTAAATATATCCACCATTTTACACACACAGACACATACATGACTTACACACACCTCCATACATTCACACACACCTCCATACATACACCTCCATACATACACCTCCATATATACACACCTCCATACACACACACACACACAAACACCTCCATACGCACACACACAAACACCTCCATACACACACACACACACATCCATACACACACACATACCTCCATACACACACACACACCTCCATACATATACACACTCACGCCTCCACACACACACACCTCCATTCACACATACAACCGCGTGCATTTCTTTATGCATCTGCATGTGGGACTACCGTTTTTTTGCAGCCGAGGATGCACAAACATGGGTAATTTTTTTGTACATCAGTAGCCTCTCTGCAACGAACGCCGCCGCTCACGTGGCAGCAAATTTGGTGAATTGGTTGGGTGGACTCACGGGAGGCGGTGAGGGTGGGCATTCCCAAGAGTCGAGTGTGCAGAGAACTCGGCTTGCCTGGGCAATGCTTCCCTTCAACTCGAAAATGCTGCAAGATGGAAAACCAGTGTGGTATTCGCTGAGAGCCTGCGATGGCTCGGGCACAGATCCTTTCTCTGTGCTTGTCTCTCTAACGTGCAAACCTTCCAAAACTATTGGAGAAAGGCCTGCAAGGCTCCAGTACAATTTGCAGCGGTAAGGCGGCTTTGGCGCGTGTGGGTGCGCATCGCGGAGGAGGAAAAAGATCGACACCCCTTGTGGCTGGCTAGACGGGGGGGCGGGGGAGAGGAAAGTCGGAGGAGGGAAGGAACGTAGGAGAGGGGGAAACGGAGGGTGGAAGAGAGAGGAGGGAGAAAGAAAGGTGGGAGTAGGGGGAGAAAAAACGTGGAAGAGAGAGGAGGGAGAAACGAAGGTGGGAGTAGGGGGAAAAACGTGGAAGAGAGAGGAGGGAGAAACGAAGGTGGGAGAAGGGAGCAGTGGCAACAAACCTTTTTTCTCTAGGGCAAGGGCCTTTGTGTTTGGTGGCGTTTGTGTCGCTGAGAGGTGTCTAGACAGCTGCGTGAAGGCTTGTGCAGCAGTTCAATTTCTTTGTGGGGAAGGATCATGCAGTTGTGCAAGCGTGATCTTCACTGGTGTGTTCTCTTTGTACACAACACGTGCGTATTCGATTCTCACCCTGCGTCGTGTCACCCGCAGATACTATTTTCGCGCGCTTATTTACGAGGGCTTGCATCTTCCCGCGGTGGGCTACAATCAATTTCCAAACCCTTACATTAAGGTGAGAGGATGCAGCACCGGAGAGAGGGGGAGGCTTTCTGCGAGCTTTTTCTTGCACGTGCATGCGAAAGCACCTGGCTGTCTTTTCGCCTCTGACCTTGTCAGTCTCCCCCTTGTTCGCGTGGTAGGTGTGGCAGCTGTGCCGTCTCGTTTCGCCTTCTCCGAATGCTGTGGCTTTTTTTCCTGCTTCCTGGTGGCTACATGTCGTGTTTTTTCGCTTACCGAGAGCCGCCCTTCAAGAGCGATGAGAAACCTCGGCAATTTAATGAGTATTTTCGCGATTCTCGCCAAAAAAACGCGCACAGGCCGTTCGTGGTTTCGCAATGGTATGCATGCACAGGTAGTGCTTGGCAGCCAGCAGCTCAAGACGCTCACCTTCCGGCAGACCCTTAATCCCTCTTACTACGAGGCTATGGAAACGGAAGTCATTCTTCCAGAGATGATGCAACTCGCTCCCGACATTGTGGTGAGTGCCGCTAAACAGAAGCTTTGCACCGCAGGACGCCTTTTGCCTCCTTAATCCGCTCGCCTTACGCGCCTCGCATGCGACGGATAACCCCCCTCACTACCACTTCTTTTCTTCTTTTTCCCATCCTCAGGCGCTTAAGGTGTCTGGCTGTCTGTTTTTCCCTTTTTGTGTACATATCTGTGTGTCTGTCTGTGTATATGTCTGTTGTTGTCTGTTTATGCATATGTCTGTGTGTCTGTTTGTGTATATATCTGCATGTCTGTTTGTACGTGTCTGTTTGTGTATGCATCTGTTTGTCTGTTTTTGTGTATGTCTGTTTTTGTCTGTTTGTGTATATATCTGCATGTCTGTTTGTCTGTTTGTACGTGGCTGTTTGTGTGCATATCTGTGTGTCTGTTTGTCTATTTGTCTTTTTTTGTACATATCTGTATGTCTGCTTGTTTATATATCTGTATGTCTGTTTGTACGTGTCTGTTTGTGTACATATCTGTTTGTCCATCTGTCTGTTTGTGCATATGTCTGCTTTTGTCTGTTTGTGTACATATCCGTGTGTCTGTTTGTCTGTTTGTGTGTGTATCTGTTTGTCTGTTTGTACGTGTCTGTCTGTGTACATATCTGTTTGTCTATTTGTCTGTTTGTGTATATGTCTGCTTTTGTCTGTTTGTGTACATATCCGTGTGTCTGTTTGTCTGTTTGTGTGTGTATCTGTTTGTCTGTTTGTACGTGTCTGTTTGTGTACATATCTGTTTGTCTATTTGTCTGTTTGTGTATATGTCTGTTTCTGTCTGTTTGTCTGTTTATGTACACATCTGTTTGTCTATTTGTCCGTTCGTGTGTATGTCTGTTTTTCCAACGGTCTGTTTGTGTATATGTCTGCTTTTGTCTATTTGTTTATTTATCTGTATGTGTGTTTGTCTGTTTGTACGTGTCTGTTTGTGTACATATCTGTGTGTCTGTTTGTCTATTTGTCTGTGTGTGTATGTCTGTTTTTGTCTGTTTTTGTCTGTTTGTGTATGTCTGTTTTTGTCTGTTTGTGTATATATCTGTATGTCTGTTTGTATATATATCTGTTTGTCTGTTTGTGTGTATATCTGTATGTCTGTTTGTCTGTTTGTACGTGTCTGTCTGTGTACATATCTGTTTGCCTATTTGTCTGTTTGTACGTGTTTGTCTGTGTACATATCTGTGCGTCTGTTTGTGTATCTATCTGCTTGTCTGTTTGTGTACATATCTGTGTGTCTATTTGTCTGTTTTTGTTTATTTGTGTATGTTTCTGTGTGTCTGCTTGTGTAACTATCTGCATGTCTGTTTGCCTATTTGTCTGCTTTTGTCTGTTCATGTCTGTTTGTCTGTATGTGTATATATATCTGGATGTCCGTTTGTGTGTATATCTGCATGTCTCTTTGTCGGCTTGTACTTGTCTGTTTGTGTGCCTATCTGTCTATCTATTTGTTTGTTTGTGTGTATGTCTGTTGGTGTACATATCTGTGTGTCTTCTGTTTTTGTCTGCTTGAGTATGTATCTGATTGTCTATTTGTGTGTGTACGTGTATGTCTGTCTGTCTGCTTGTACGTGTCTGTGTACATATCTGTGTGTCTCTTTACGTCTGTTTGTCTGTATGTGTGTACTTCTGTATGTCTGTTTGTACGTGTCTGTTTTGTACATTTCTGTGTGTCTGTACGTGCATGCCTGTGCGTGTGTTTGTTCGTATTTGCCTGCATCTGTTGCTGTGTCTGTCGTCTGTGCGCTTGCTTATGACCTTCAGCTAGAGGTGTGTTCAGAAGCAGAATCAATCATTTCTTCGGATATCGTCTTGGGAGCCACGACGTGGGTAGCGTTCTGCATGTTTCCCTCTCGCTCTTCCCTTCCGTTTGGCTTTTTTCGTTGCAGCCTGGCTCTGCCGTTTCAGATCTTTCGAGGCGTGTGTTGTGAGACACGCGAGGGGGGAGGGGGCTTTTCTTATGTCCTTCGTATTGCAATATATTTGCGAGATATTTGCAATATATCACCCCATTTGGGAACGCTCCCGCAGGCGAGTTGGTGCCTCTTGCCTTTGCGCGACTCCTCTGCCAATCGTCCAGATATCCTATCCAGAAAGTGCCAAAGGAGTGGAAGAAAGCTCCTGTTTGGCTGATGCTGCAATCGAAGCTGTATCCTCGGTGCAAGGCGAAAGTACTGGTTGCATTCGAGCTAGTTCCTGCGGAGCTTGTGGAGAACGACACGTATCCCTTCTTTGACGACATACGACCCTCCACAAAGCAAGCAACAGTCTCGATTTTCCTTGTCGGAGTGCGTCTCTTCTCCCCCCTCCAAAGGCCGTATGTGGAGGTAAGAAGATGCGCCTCTTCTTCGCCATCAGGCTGCCTGCGCAGCAGCTTGGAAGCGACACTTTTTCTAATCCAGGCAGAAAGCACAAGTGCTGCATGTGCACATAGCATCAAAGAGGCATGCTATTTTTGTACGCTCACTCTATTGCGTGGCATGTCACTAGTGTCCTCTATACATACACGTACACATCTATGCATGTATACATCTATGCATGTATACATATATTCATGTATACATATATTCATGTATACATATATACATATGCACATCTATACATGCGCACATATATACATATACACATCTATACATACGCACATATATACATATACACATATATATATATATATGCATGGAAAGAACGGGAGAGACGATGCCATGTGCGTGTGCATGCACAAGTAGCGCACCCGTCGGGATACCTTTCTCCCCTGGTGTGCATGCTGTAAAGCTGTCAGTAGTCCGCCTGTGCAACCTTCTTGTCGGAATTACAAATGGTGCCATAATGGCATGCGACAAGCTTTTTTGCTACTTGCCTTGGCCCACTATGTGGAGAAGCGACATTCGGGGGAGAGGGGGTTGAACGTTGTTTGAGGAGAAGGCTTTCTGTGTAGCCACGACGGGTGCCTCACTCGGTGTCTGCTTTTGCTTTACTCTCACTTCAGCGCCTTGTTTGTTGCGCCTCCCTCGCTTTCCGTGCGCGTCCTCTGGAGCGACCTGTATTTGCGTGCATGCCGAGTTTCGACGCCATGGTGGCGCACACGACGCCATGGTAGCGCACACGACGCCATGGTGGCGCACGGAGGGGAAAATAGGAGGAGCAAAAGAGGGGAAAGTACCGGATGGGGAAAGCCTTCTTCCTTGCCTGTCGTTTATCGCGTCTGCGGCTCGTCGTGCGCCTGCATGCGCGCATGCAGCTCTGCTTTGGACGCGACGTCGAAGACACAACCAAGCCGCTTTGGTCAGAGAAGACAAGCGAGCCGCACATGGGGGAAGGCGGCAACTGGAATTTTCTGCAGCACTTCAACGTCGGCGTCTCGCTTCCAAAACGCATGCAGCACCACTGCTTCATGGAGGTGAAGGTGCTAGACGAAGTGGAGGGAATCTCTGGAACGTCTCTTAAGGACGTTGGCATGGCGTATATCACTCTTAATCCTTTGCTGCCTTGGCTAGAGCAGAGAGAACGGGAGGAGGTGCGCGCTGCATGCTTTTCCCCTCTTACTTGCCAGGATCGTTTGTAATGCCGTGCCATAATATTTACGGTTCCATGCTTGCTTTCCTGCTTGCCTACTTTTCTGCTTTCCTGCTTTCCAGCTTTTCTGCTTTCCAACTTTCCTTCTTTACTGCTTTTCTGCTTTCCAACTTTGCTGCTTGCTCCTGCGCTTGCGTTAAGAGGCTTTCCTTCTTGTTCATGATGCGGCGTCTCTCTGTGTGGAGCGAAGGCAGTACAATGTCTGCGTTTTTTAGCAAAAATCAGCCTTAGAGGGCGGCATGTCAAGAGAGCCCCTTGTTTTTCTGTGGGCTGCTGCGCACACGTGGGCTCGACCTGACGAGGCGTGCGGCGAAATGCTGTTGCAGACACGAGAAATGTTCAAGCTGCAAGTCATGGAAGAAGTGATGATTGAGGACGCCGAAAATGCTAGAGTACATACAGATATACATATATATGTATACATATATATATCTACATATATATATATATATTTATTGCGTAGTCGGTCGGCCGGCTGTTTGCACTGGTGCAATGGGGATTTTTGCGTTTTTTGCTGCTGGTGCTTTTGACCTCTCCTCCGTCTGTAACCGCTGCTTTCTCTGTCTCTCCCACGCGTGAAAGTGCTCGAAAACGCGCTTTTTGTCGTGTGCAAATGCCTTGTGCACCAGCCGGACTGAGCGGCGAGGGCTGCTTCAGCATGCGCAGCGGGGGATTTTTTTGTTGCCGCTGGGAGCTGTTTGTGTGCCTCTCCGCATGCAGCGTCTGAGTGATGGCGTTGCTGGTCAGCCAGCGGAGGTTAAAGCCGCAGGAGAAGAAGGGGCCTTAGGGCATTCCAAGCCTGCTCCTGCCGCTGAGAAGGTGCGTCTTCCGGAGGGGAGGCAGTAGCTGAGCGGCAGGAAGCTTCTCCCGGAGCTCAACTGTAGAGAGGCACATCTAGAGATGCACAAACCCCAGTCTCCTAGAGAGGCATGGAAAGAGGGAGAGAGAGAGAGACAGACAAAGAGGGAAGATGAGAAATGCTCATTCCGACTCTAGTGCATGCATGTGCGTATAGTCTCTCTGTTTCTCTCTCTTACCTCCCTCACGCATTCTCTGTGTCTCTACGGGGTTCTCACTCTCTCCTCTCTAAGGTGTGTCTCTACGTAGTCAGCGGAAAATGAACACCACGGGGGCGTGTAGCGTAGTAATTTTGCGCGGATAAATTGTTTTTTTCGCACTGACTGCGCCTACATAGGTCAACAAGAAGATGCTGGTCCCTTACAACGATCCTGATTGTGCGAATTCGCGCTTAGAACCGCTGGATGATTATGTAGCTTTCGGAGCTGCTGCCATGCCTCCCGTCAATCGGATTAGTACAATTCGAGAAAAGCACATGGAACGGCCCCGCTCTCGGGGAAAAGGCTTTCTCGGTGCTCTTGCAATGAAGAAGAGCAACCCGATGGAAGGAGCCTACGCCAAAGAGAATGCTGCGTTGCACAAGCAGTCAGAACTGTACGGCTTCGAGCCTGAGGCACTCAACTTCGTCCTCACGATGGTATGCGATGCACAAAAAAACACGCATCTTCACGTACACATACATATATATACATACATATAGATGTGCCTATATGTACATATGTGCATGTATATATATATGTATATATATATATATATGTAGGGAGACACACACACACACACACACGCACTTTCACACACACTTTCACACTTTCTTACACACGCTTTCACCCACTTTTTGACGCCATAACGCTAAAAGCATTTTACACGACTTTTTCTGTGCCCCCCCGTACATGGCTGCCGCTGTGCTTGCCTGTCTGTCTGCCTGTTGTTGCGTCTCGTGCCCTCCTGCTGCTGCTACAGAATGCATAGGCGTGTTTTGAACTTTCCTCACGTGCTCCGCTGTAGGCTGACGATGACGAGGTCGAGGAGAACATGCGCGATGAAATTCCCTATGAGATGGAAACGGACTTTGGCGTCAACGACTTGCCTTATTTGAGGGTTCCTATCTTTAGGGTATGCGTTCTGTGTCTTTCCCGCGTTCTACAGAGTGTGGCAAGTGCGTCTATAGAATTGGAGGACGATGGTTCTGGGTGTGATTTGTGCTCTAGCGGCGTGCATGGCGAGACAGAGAGTCGCTTGCATTCGCTTGCAGGGGGAGGCATAACGAGGGCAGGTGGAGTTTTGGAAATTCTCTCCTTTCTTTGTATACCCCTACAGGAGGATACACTTGGCAACTCCCAGCAAAATGCTGATTGGGCCGTTTCAAGACGTTCTTCCTTTGTTGTGTGCGTTGCAGTGCACGGACTGCGGCGTTCCGGAGACGATTGGATACTTAAAATACATTTGCCGCGTTTACCAAGGCGAAAACATCGGTGAAGAAATGGAAGAAATGAACGAAGTCTGCCAGGATCTCGTGCAGAAATACGAAAGTGCGGTTCTTCCTTCCCGTGATTAGTTTCCCCCCTCTTGCTTGTTTTGCTGCTGCCTTCATAGCGTTGCGTGGCGTTTAGCACCTTTCCCATCGCTAGCTTCATTACAGATGCCGAAAGCGTAAGCCGTGGATGAAATAAGGACGCATGCAAGCGCACGCAATGCAAAAAAAGTCAAGGCAGTGAACTGGCCGCTAATTCTCCTTCTTTCCTCTTTTTCTCGCGCTTTTTTCGAGCGCTTCTGCCGCTTTCTTTTGCAGCGTGCAATTCTATAAGAGTATGCAGCTTTACCGAGAGCTGCTTTAATTCATCCTTCCCCCCAGGACCGATCTGTGCGGTTCCTTAGCGTGTGTTCCTCATGCAACGCAGTACTTTGCATGTCGTGTCTCTCGAAGGCGCTGTGCGCGCGTGCAAGTGGCACCTGTATTCACGTATTTTTGTATATATTCATGTATAGATAGATGCACTGCTTTTCTCGGAGTGCAATTTTCGGGGGTTTCGCTTCTTTCTCACATATTCAGGCACCCGCGACTTGGTGGTTCGTGCCTACGTGTTAGCGGCACGTGGATTAGTGCCGCCTTCTGGCGCTGCCGACATCCAGACGTACGTGTGGATTTATAATTCCTCGAGTTCAGAAACTCTTTGCGGGGGCCTAACCCACAACCTCAAGGATTCAGGGCATGTAAAGAAGCAGGGGTTCAAGCCTGAGTTCAACAGGTGCTACAGCCTCGCGTGTTCTCTCCCTGAACACGCCGTTGTTCAGGTGAGTGTTGCAGCACGGACCCTTTGACTTCGCCGCTCGAGGAAGCCTCTTCAAAGAGTAGCCACCAGTTTTGTTCTACCGAGGGAGGGCAGCGAGCTTGTGCTCCCCCTCCGGCCAGGAGGATGTGCAACGCGCAACGGGCTGTATTTCTGGTCGGTTGCGATCGGCACATCGTGGGGAGCTGGAGGCGTTCTTCTTGGCTTTGCCGAGGTCGCTTTTTTCGTGGCTCTCTCTGCCTCTTGTTTGTGACGTTATTGCATGCAGGTGGCCATCATGAATCAGGGAAGAGTACTCGACGAGTGCGTAGGACGCACCTTCATCGACATGGAAGATCGGTTCTTCAATTCAAAAGTCGCTGCCATGGTCGAGCAAGAGGTTACTCCCATCGAACTGCGGTGCGTGCAGAGCCTTGCAGTCTCCTGAGCGAGCTGCGTTGCAAAGGTTGCCTGCCCAAAGCCATCCTGCAAGAAAGGGGGGCATAGAAGGGTGCTCCGGGTGTGCTTGCCTCTCGTTCCCTCTCCTCAGAACACTGAAGAACGAAGGAAGCACAGTTTCGCACGGCACGCTGCGCGGCTTCTTTGAGATCATGACTGAGGATTACGCTCAGGAGCATCCGCCGTTCACTTTGGCCAGTGCTGAGGCAGATGACTTCCAGCTGCGGGTGCGTTGGTCGCGACAGTGATTTCTGCTGCACTCCAGTGCACTGCCTCTTCCACGCGTGCATGCCCGCAGGCAGCCGCTGAACTGGCAGGCCAAATTTCCACGGGCGCCTCGTGGGGATCACTCACCACTGTTCGGGCTGTCTGAACATGCACGCACGATGTGTGCATGCATGCGTGTGTGGAAGACAGACGAGAAGCTTCTTCCTCGGTGTTTGCTGGTGCGTGTATGTGTGTGGCATTGTGCGTGTCGGCTCGCCCTATGGATATTTACGAACATTTTCATGCACACTATTTGTGCGGGGTCGTGTATGTACAGCTGGTGATATGGCGCGTGAAGGCAGTTCCGATGGACGACAATTCATCCATTTCGATGTTCGTCCGATCGATCTTCACTCTGGAAGAGAACAACGAAGTAGTCCACGACACCGACACGCATTACAACAGCAAGGATGGCTCCGGCATATTCAACTGGCGCTGTGTCTTCGACGTCAAAATTCCCGCCCCTGTGCCTGTCCTCAAGGTTCAGATATGGAATTATGCAGTGTTAAGCTCAGGCGAGCCTATAGGCGAGTGCAACTTCGACCTCACCGCGGATTTCTTCAGGGCAAGGAAGAGAGGCCAAGTGTACAGACTGCCCAAGTAACACGACGAAGGCTGCGGCGAGCAGCCAACGCGTCCCTCTCTCTCCCGCTGCTGCCTCGAATATGCATCCCACCCTCCCTGCTGCGCTGCTTCTTGCCTGCACGTGCTTTTATAGGGCGGGCTTGGCAGCTCGGCTCACCCGAAAGCCGCTTGGTAGCAAACTCTTCCGCTAGTCACCTGAAGCCTCTGCTTACTTCTGGGGAGGGCTGCTTTCTTTCGTCGAACGGCCTCGACGTGCACGCACTTTCCCACACGTTCAGACTGCCCGTGGCGATTTCGCGCCTCTTTTCCTCCTTTCTCTCGTCACGACTGTGCGCATGCCTCTCTCTCTGCTCGGCCGTTGGGCTGCTGCGTACCTCCAGGTTCTGGCTCCGGTGCAGCCATCCAGCGTTCAAAGGCAAATCTCGCGGCTCAGTCGAGGTGGAAGCTAGCATTCTCCCTCTGAAGGAGGCCGACTACTCACCAGTTGGGCAGGGTCGAGAGGAGCCTAATCGAGATCCTTTTCTCCCTGCCGTGACGCAAAACAGAACGTACGTGGATTGGGAAGCGATCAACGAAACTGTGGGGGCTGCAAGCTCCGCCATTATGTCGGGGCTCAAATGGACAGGCGTGTGGATGGCAGTAGCTGGCATCGTAGCGATTGTCATTTTCATCATGTTCCTTCTGAAGTAAAGAAGAGGGTGTGGTGTTCGCCCCTTCATTCGGCGGCTGATGGCTCTGAGAGATTGCTTGTGTCGGGGTTTCCCCCAGGAGCATCCCGAAGAGACCAGCACACCCGCGCGCTGAGTAGTGTTGCTTGGGATGCCACGCATGCAACGTTTTCTCCGCATGCCCACACGATACGACGGATATCCATTATAGTCCTCCTGCCCTCCTTCGGCTCATGCCGGCGGGTGGGTGATGGTGGCAGGGAAGCAGCTGATAGCAAGCAGCTAATAGCAAGCACGACATGTCTACACATGGGGCCGTTGGGCTCTCTCTGGGGTGCAGCATACTGTGTAGAGGCGATACATCCCTGTCTTGACACCATGGGTGAGCAAACGAAGGGGTGTCTGGCTTGTTGTTGCTTCTTCCTCCAAGCCACCCTCCTAGAATCGGTTCATATGAGAAAAGAGAGAATCCGTTTCTGGGGTGTGCTGCCTTGCATTTGAATCGGTAAGAATCCGAAGTCGACTGGAAGCCTACAGACACACACTGCGCTTTCTTTTTTGTCTAGTTCAACCGCAAGCTCGTATCAGGTTCTGTTATTGTTGAACGTGAGCGTAGATGGAGGTCGCATGCGCTTTCCCCCCACCCACCCAATAGCTCTTCCTACCCCATTGAACGAAAGATGCGTCCAAACACCAGAAACCCCCAAAGTCGGAAATGTGTGTTATAAAAGCAATTTGCACACCTTCACGGCGCGCAAACATCTGCACTGAAAAGTCTGGCTCTCTCGTTCACATGCCCTGCCGCCCTCTCGACATCGTTTCGCATGGGGAGAGGCGTGAGGAGCAGCACTGTCTCCCAATCCCTCTCTCTTAGTCCCTTAGCACCAGCCGTACGCATGCGGCGGCTTCCTGGGAATGAGTGTTGTCAGATCGTCTGGCAACGGATCCGTCGGGCACTTGTAGTAGTGGTACTCTACGGCTAGCGTTCGTGCTTCCTCCAGTCCAAACTTGTTGACGGGAAAGCCCATAGTTCTCGCCTTCCCATTCTCCTTCCAGCAAGTTCGCACCAGATTACGATGCGGGTCGAACCAAACGCCGCGCGCTTTGGGATACTTGTTGAACTGTGCCGGCGTCGGGTGCTTCAGCAGTCCGACTTTGTTTTCTGGCTCGGGAAGGAAATGGTGCACGTGGAACTGTCTGTAGGGGAAGGATCGCTGGCTCTGGCCCTTGCCTGCTGCACGCCTCCCAGGCATTCCACTCTCCCCCGCAGAGCGAGCCGTAGCCTCTCTCTCTGCCACGCCGCTGCAAATTGCTGCCTCTTCGCCAGAAGAAGACGCAGATCCGCCAAACTCGCCATCCTGGCCTTTCTTGCGGGTGAGCGCTACTCCTGCGCCTGGCTGCCGCTGCTGATGTTGCTGTGCGTTGGTGCTTGCAGCGCCTCCGTTCCAGATTCCCCCGTGGCGACGCGTGTGTCTCGCCGCTTCAAATATCTGTGCATACCGTTGGCAACAGTTCTGCTCGAAGGCTGCCCTTCGCTGATGGTAATCTTCCACCAGCGTCTGCAAAGATTCACCAGTGTCGAGTGTGGGCACTCCGGGCAGTGTCTGAATTGCCTCAGTTCTCCCCTCCTCTCCAGGGAGACTCCCAAGGGTGTCTTGACAGCTAATTAGCTCTGCACGAACTGAACTCTGCAAGGTCCCCCCCCGAGGCGCAACAGAAGGCTGGATAATATCTGTAGTCGCAGCAGCAGCAGGAGCACCACTACCACTACCGCCACTACCCCCCGTGGTGGTGGTAGTGGTGCTAGTGCTGCTGCAGGACTGACTATCCCGGAGCTCACTCTGTTCGGAGTGCGCTTGTGAGTCGGGGAGCTCCATGCCAGCCGTCCGCAACTGCTCGTTTTGGTCACACCTGACCATCTGCCTGCATGAGGAAGCCGTCTGCTGTGTGCATGCGTTTGTGTGTCGAATCTCCCCAGCCACTTCCGATGACAGTCCAGGCGTCTTCGAGGCTCTCTCCTGCTGCGAGGAAACATCGAAGAGCCGCTGGCTACGAATCAGACTGTCGGACGTGTCACAGGAGCTCGGCGTCTGAGGCGCCGTTGTCGAAGCACTGTCGTCGTCGCTGCCCTCTACACTGTTCGCTTTTACGCGAGTGACCTTTCCTGAAGCGCTGGAGCGCAAATCAAGAAGACTGCATGCAGAGGGGGAGGGTGGCCCTCCAAGTTCCGCCATTCTCCTAAACGCCGTCCGTTGGGAGGGTTTCTCCGCAGAGCGCGCAACTCGGTGCGATATTCCTGATGCTTGAGGGCTAGGGGCAGAGTCACGGGGAAAAGAATGCTCGTCTCATTGAGTTGAACTTATCCGCTGCGAAGCAGTGCTTCAAATATGTCTGCACCTGAATGAATCCAGTCAACAGCGGTGTACTGGGAAAGGCTCCTAACCTGTGCAAGCGCTTCCGGTGTCTAGATCTCCACTGAAGACTGACCTTTCATAAATCATGAGCCGCTGCTTCGCATATGTAATTGCCTGCAAAGCCTTTTGCAGATGTTTTCCGTGAGATGCGGGGCATGAATTCAGGGATTAGAGTGGACACGACCGACTCCCAGCAGCTGGGAGCAGTGCAAAGGCTGTTCTGGTCCGAATCCCCGCCCCAGACGATCTAGCGCAAGCTCGGCGGTAACAGCAAGAAACCCATAAGATTAAGCGTCTAAGCATCAAGACAACATATCTACACACAGGGAATGTGATCTGGGCAACTGCAAAGTGTGCCTCTGCCCCTTCCTCCGCGGCAACTCCAGAGAAATCCGAGCGGCAATGATTTTGTATTGACTGTCGGCAAGCTCATGAAGCAGTACGGAAAAAAGCCGCTTAAGAGCACACGAATTGTCGGATTTTTACTGGATCGCTGAGAAGCAGCAAACGAGGCAGTGTCGCTCCTACTTCAATGGCTTTCTTTGCACAGAAGCAAAAGTCCATGACCGTTGCTTGCATCGGGGCACAGAAAGCCGCAGAGCTTAGGACACAAACGGGCGCCGAATTAGGCACAACCCCCACAAAAGCTTTCTGTTTTATATGGAACTGCGCACATGCGAAGCCTGTACAGCGAGAGGGCTCCATCTTCTTCATGAAGGTGTGCTACAAGAGCGACGACAGCTGATCGACCTGCTCCCCTCAGCCGAGCTGCGCCCACTCTCCTGCAGTTTTACTCTTCTCGTCCATAGCAAATTTGAACTCCATTTCCTTGCTATAAATGTGGCTTTCCTAACCTATACTTTAGTTACTACCACAAGGAGCTTTCCGCACCGAAAAGGCGCCAGTCTGTCGAGCGATCATCGCACCAAGCATACCAGCCAAAGTAACAAATGCAAAGAAATCAGTTCGTAAGTTACTCTTTCTAACACCAGCCTATTTAGAATGGTCCCTAAGTAATAGAAGAGTAAAATCGGCCCCGCTATTTGCTCCGTGTTTTGGTGTTACTTGAAACTTCGATGATGCTCAAACTGTCGTACTTAAACTCCAAGAAAGCAGGAAAGGACACCCATTTCACACTGAAGGAAACACCCCTGACTCTCTCTACTATCTGAGGCTTCCAGCTGGAACCTCCATCGCGTCGTGACACGGCATATATTGCCACATCCTGCAGACGCCAACCAGAGTCGGTCAACAGCAAGACACCATTTCTTCCCATAATGCTGCAAGGCAATGGCATCAAAAAATACTGAAAATTCCAGGCGCCCGCAGTCAGATGGATAACGCTGTCTTCTGCTGTACAGCCCAAGCACTGTTCTTTAAAGTCTCTTTTCACTCATTCGATGCGCAGGGTAGGATTTGCTTCATATATTACCCTCTTCTGCCTTCAGTGTTTCGTTTTACCTACTTTGGGCACCAGCAGGTTTGAACGGAGTCAAATCTTGCAAACATCTTATAATCCCTTATGGCCAGCCCATTACACCGAGCATTGATTTCATTCTGTACCAGCGCAAGATTGAGCTGTGCTAGACCTTCATGAACGGGTCTGTCCTCTGTCGTCCCCTTCGCTACTTCTCAGCCTGCATAGGAGACGTTCACTTTACCTGATTTGCCCTCTGTGCTCGCTCCATAGCCTGCTTTTTGCTGGACCCAGTCTTATTGTTCAAGTTCGTGTTTTTTCGCACGGTTTTGAAGGTCCGAGTTATATCGACTAATCTCTGACAGTATTAAAAGATGGATTGCTGAGGGCTGTCTGGGTTGCCTAAACGCATGGGCTTCTTCTGGCTTTGTCCTCTTGCTCACTCAGGACTGTCCCCTAGGACCGGTGAATACAGCCCAGACATCTGTAGGCTCTAAGCTCTGACTTGACTCAAAAACCCGCGCAGAAGCTGCGCTTCGGTTTTTCTGACACTTCAGCTAGTCGAGCATTGGCAGAAGCTACACAGTTTGCGTGTATAAGCGCTGCGTCGCAACTTATTCTAAGACCACGTGACGTGACACTTCGAGTGGACTTAATGTAGATTACTGATGAAGCAGGTGTTCGTGTAGGCTGGCTTTTGTGAACGAACACTTCATATTGTCACCACATCAATCTATTGGCAGGTTACCCTGCATAGACTGTCTCGTGTTGCTCAACGCTCGCGGTTGAGCTGATGTCGGCTTCTACGGATGAAACAGGGCTTATAAGGTTTGAATTGTGATAACCCCTGCAAGGAAACGTTTGATTTACATCAGTAGATCCACCATTGAGGTGCTCGTCTCATCAATAGACATGCAACAAGGAACGCTTGTTTTTCTACATCTGGGGTGTAAAAAGCAACATCGTCAACCAGTTGGTGGCATCTTCGAGTAGTGCCTATCTTTACTGCCGAGATTATTTGGTGGACATCACTGCATTTATGCATCCTCCTATTCATTTCATGGGCTGAACTATCATGAATTTCTTTCAGCTGCGGAGCTACTGCGTTCATATCAGCTTGCAGCTCGGCCCCTGCCGCCCCAAAAGGCGGTGGCCACCGTAAAGTTTCACCGCCAAGAAGTTTCTCCGTCTTTTGTCCCTAAAGAAGAGCAGCTCGCTGGATTGCTATGTGTCTTAATCGAAGCTCCTCAACCGTTGTCTGGATTCCTGACACCCCGCTGCATTCCAAGCCATTGGATAGGCGGGGAACAGCTGTACCAACCAGGTGGTGCAAGCAACTTCACATCCACGGTTTTTGTAGGGAGCAAGCACTCCGAAGTTCATGCCAACCAATGGACTCTACTGAAGTTTGTTAACAGAGTTTCCACATTCCCCTTCCCGCACTCTCATGGCTCCCGAGATGAAGGAAGAGGGACAGTTCAACGAAGCGTTGCTGCACCCTCTCAGCACTCCGGGCATTCACAGCTACTTTCACATCGCCTCTAGCGCACATGCTTGCAATAATGCGTTTCGTTGTATTGAGCTAACAGCAATATCCTAGCGGGCTATGCTGCACTAGAACACTTTGTACTGCACTAGTTGAAGTAAACCAAATTAGCAGAGAATTCCCCAATCGACTTGTTTGTTCGTATATCCTTCTTACTTCATGGTGCGCTCAGCTCTATATAACAAGACGCTGCGCTGTGTGCGTGTGAGCTAGACATTACGTGCCACTAACTATGAGTGCTCGGAGTGCCTTGCGGGTGCAGCAACCCGTATCCTAGCTGTTCCCTCTTCCTTCATGCAGGAACCGTGATGAGCAAAGGCAGGGCGAAGGCGCATGTTCTTTTGTGAACACTAAGTAACAGCTTCTACGAATTTTGCGTTGCTTTTGGATTCGAAAGCTCGCCCTGGTGAGACGGTGGATGGTGCAGCATAGCCCTGCAGAAAACGAGTCGTGCGGACAGCACGACCAACTGGTCGATTCCTTACTAATTGTTCGTTAAATATAAGTGCGCTGAAGCGTATCATGCTTTGCTACACCGGGGGGTTTAACGCGCTTTGAAGGCGGTGTCTGCTTCTGTATTGGGAGACAGGGGACACAGACCACCCGCACATAAGCCGTTTGTCTGTGGTGCATGCAGCCTTTTGCGTTGATCAGGGGCCGCTAGACTTGAAATTTTTCCGACCTCCAGGCAGCCAGCAGCAGCGTAGGGTTTTCTCGCTCTCTCCACAGACAACCCCAAGTGCGCAGAGGAGAGAGAGGGTGGTATGTACATGCGCGCCTGGCACTGCATGAAGCAACTTCAACACGCTTTTGCTCGTAATACGGAAAATGTTCGAGATGGACGACTGAAAGGGAGTGCGAGACAAGCAACGACACGCCGCTGGCCGGCGGCGGTATGGCAGGTAGCGGCAGCGTGTTGAATACAAAAAAATGAGGGTGCCGTGTCGCCCGCGTGCATCTCACACCCGCGCTGTACAGGAATTGCCCAAGTCTGGATTCGTGTGGATAAAACAACCATTTTAAGGGATTAATAAGGAACTCCTATGCAGAAATGCTCCCTGCTCATCTCTCTTTCTCTACCGTAAATCGATCGTCCATTCAATCGAGTTGCAGCAAGCGCCCCCTTCTCCGGCGGGCATCTGTTCTAGGGGCTGGCGGTAGCGGGGATCGTGCAGGTTTGCTCTTTGGCTCTTGCTGGTATTTTAGTCTCCGGACTTCCTAAACCGACGTTTTGTTCATAAATATTTCCGAAAATGTCGGTGTATCCCACGCCACAGGCGGCTACTGCCGCCCCTAGCCCCCCCCACACGGGCTTTGTGCCGCCAGGTGCACCGTCACCCCAGGCACCTACCAGCTCGGTATACTCCGCAAACGCAGTTCCTTTTACCAATCCCTTCGGTGGACCCTCCCGCCAGACGGGATACAGCCACCCGCAGCAATACAGCAGCACGACGTCGGTTCCCCAACAGTACCAGCAGCCACTGAGCTCCTACGCAGCTGTCACTACACAGGCGCCCGCCGCACCCGCTGTCACCGCTGCCTCTTCGCAGCAGCCGCAGAAACATCAAACTGCCGGATCTTTTCAGACCGCCATGGTAAGCCAGCCAGCCAGCCTGCCTCCCTCGCCCCCCGTGCCATAGAGCCGCACAACCCCCAGGGGGGATTCATTACTCCGCTGCTTCGATGCCCTCGACCCTATGCCCGATAAATCTCGCCTCCTTCGGAGTTTATCGGCTTTGCAGCTCTGTGCAGGCTCCTGCCACACGTCGCGAGCCGCACTTCCTCGGGAACGGGGTGTTTCTCGCTGCTGCGGTGCTTGTGAACGCAGCCGACCTCGGCCTCCCTGCAAGGCGCGTCAGTCCTCACGCAGCCACATGCACAGCCGCAACCTGCCGAGGAAGAAGATGCGACGGCTTGCATTCAGGAAATCGCGCATGCTTTCGTGTACCAATACTACCTCATGTTGCACGAGAACCCCGCCGACATCTACCGCTTCTATGACCATGACTCTAAGGTATAGCTCCCAAGAATCCTGGCATCAACGCTCCCGGCGCGCGAAGGCGCGAACTCTTGCTAAGGCTACTTCAAAAAATGCCCGCGCAGATGATTCTTTCTGCCCCCGTATCTCGAATTTCTGCCTTTCCTGAACATTTTTGAGCCTCTAGACATTGGCCTCTTCCAACTCCACACATATACACACGTACATACACATACACACAAACAGACACGCGCTGCCTTTGTTTCCTCTCTCTGTGTCGCTCTCTTCCGCGCCATTGTGCTCTAGCTACCTTCTTTCTCCCCTCCCTCCCCCCTCTTCCCCCCTTCCTTCCATCTCATCCTCCGCAGTTGTGCCGTCACACCGTCTACCGCGAGTATCCGCCGCATGCCGCTGCACTCCACCCCTTGAACAATATCTCCTCCACACGACACCCCTATCCCGAGAGAACTCTTTACCCTGCTGGTGCCCCCCCCTCTTTAGAAGGCGCCCACCCATCGCCGTCGATCGTAGAGGCACAACTGTTTCTTCTTGTGCCTTTTCCCGCCGCCTGCGTGTTTCCAGCTGCACAGAATTTCAGACAGCACGGCAGCTTCGCCCTCAGGCCCTTCGGGAGCATCAGACGCATACTGCGTGCGCGCAGTCGGCCTCCAATCGATTATGCATGCCTTCGCGGCGATGGATTTCGACAGAGCTACTTGCAAAATTCGCAACATCGAGGCGCAAGAGGTTCACGACGGGGGTATCTTGGTGCTCATTACAGGCTGCCTAAGGCACTCTGCCGACAAACCCGAACGAGAGTTCGTGCAGACTGTGCTGCTTGCAAAAATGAAGCCTCCTCGCGCAGTAAGGCCTTTTTAGGCGCACAGGCTGCTGCTTGTGGGAAGCTGTTGTCTTTCGCTTTTTTCTTCTGCACGCAGGGGGTGTATGGGGGGGAGGGGGGACGGGGGTGTTTATTTGTGAGGCTTTTTCTCGTGCCGCGTGAGGAGTAGCAGCCGTACTCTGTGACGCGCCCAGGAAAGGCGGCTTCAGCGGCCCCTTCGGCAGACGAACAGCCAGCTGTATGTGTATATTTACGTGTATCCGTGCAATCCGCTGCCGATGCCAGCGCGTGCCTCGCAGTTAGGCGCAAAAAATCGCTTGCGCGCGAGCGTTGCTTTCGCTGCAGGGATGGTATGTCCACACGGAGATGTTCATTTACTTGGATGCAATGGCAAGCGTTGCAGCCGAGCGAGCAGCGGCAGCAGCGAGAAAGGAGCAGCAGGAAGAGCTGCTTCAGCAGAGACAACGGCAGCTGGAGCGCCAGCAGCAACAGCAGCAACAACAACAGTTGGAAGCCCAGAGGAAGCAGGTCGAACAACAGCAACAGCAGCAACATCAGCAGCAGCAGACGGATGCTCCGAAGCACCGGCGATCTCAGAGGCAGCATGAGGGCGCCTCTCAGGGAAGCGTCGATCTTCCTGCGAAGCGAGAGGCACGTCAGGAGTCGCCAGTGCCAGCCAAGTGCGCAGCAGACGATCCTCAGCTTCACCCTGCCGAGAGTCTCAAGTGCTCAGGGGTGCATGTTGCTCAGCAGACCTCCTCAGGCGTTTCCGCAGAAAGCCACAACAAGCAGCAGGAAGGCGCTGCAGCTGGCGAGCAAGCAGGAGCTGTTCATCTGAAGGCTCCCGAGAGAATGCGCAACAAATGGGTGAAACAAGACTTAGCCACGGAGCACAGCACTGAAGAGGCATCACCTCGTAAGCCGCTGCTCGATAGATCCTCAAGGGCTCGTAACGCCTGGTTCTGCCCGCCTTCCTCTCCGCAGCAGTGCTGGATCTAAATTATTGCGTGCGTGAGATCCGTTCTGGGGAGAGGCTGGCATGGCAGTGTTGTGTCTGCCACGAAGCGAGAACTCGCGGCTGTCTTTGGATCCCAGAATCTTCCTCTAGCCACGCACTTCGCACTAGAGGTGCCTTGTCTGGCGAGAAGGAATCTATCTATCTCTATGTATGTGCATGCATGTATATCTCCCTATTCGTGTCTTGCTGCTAAGGGCAATATACATAAGCATATATTTTCATACATGTATGTACTCCTGTCTTGGTGTTAGGGGCTATCTATCTACATATATATACATACATATACATACATATATATATATATACATATATATATGTACATACATACATATATATACATATATATACATATATATATACATATACATACATATATATACATACATATCTGTATATATTCATGCAAGAATGTTCGTTTCTTGGTGCGAGGGGTGCCTCGAACTAAGGCCCTCTGGAGGCGTTGGGTGTTTCTGCTCCCGAGTGGAGACGGGACGAATAGGTGCAGCGTAGCGTGCACTGCGCATTTGGCGTGAGCGGCACGGAGTGACGAGCTTTCGACTGGTTGTTACGCCTGTTGTTGGTGCTGCGTCAGACTGGCCAAAGCCTGGACAGATGCCGCAGACGCCTTCCGAGAAGGAGACGCATGCAAAGGGAGGCAGTGGTGGTGGTGGTGGCTCGAGCCGGCAACAGCATAATTACGATCCGGATAGCTTTGCCTTTAAGGTCTTGCAGAACGTGAGACCAGTGACTCAGGTGCGTTGGTGTGGGTTCACGGATTTCGAAGGGGTGTCTTTGAGCGCCAGTCGCGTTTTTCGTGCCGTGTAGAAGGGCGCCTTTCCGACTCTCCTCCCGCTGAGGGGGGAGAGAGGGCTTGCGGCTCGCGGGAGACTGCTGCTGCGTCTCCCTGTCCAGTCAGCGGGGGCAGCAGCAGGCGTGCGAGAGCTCGAGCCTGCGCTCGCTTGGCTCGTGTCTGCTGCTGTCGCTGCAGCGCGGTTTCGCAGTTCCCGCAACTTCCAGCGCCGCTGCCGAGCGGACGAACGGCGAGGAGAAGGTGCACGGCAGAGGCGCGGGGGGGGCTTCCCAGAGCGAGCAACAGCAGCAGCAGCAGCTGCCGCAGCAGCAGCAGCAGCTGCCGCAGCCGGGCAAGCGCATTATCGTGCTGGCTGAGCTGTCGCCAGCCTTGAGCTCTGAGGATATCAAGAGGGCTGCCACGGAGGCGCTTGAAGGCGTCAACAAGGGAATTTGTGTGGATCTCCGCAAGCCACCTGCGGGGAAGACTTTTGGGTACATTCTCGAGATGGATTCTGTGGCGAGTGCTCAGCTCCTTGTGGAGCGAGGTCTTGTCTTCAACGGCAAGCAGGTACGGAGACGAGAGCAGAAGAGGGAGAATCGGGGGGGGAGGGGGCTGTTTTCCTCGTGTGCTGCAAGGTTGTGGGGGGGGGGGGGAAGCGCGCCTTCGTTCTCCTGCTTCGAGGCTCCAGGAGTGCTACTCGGACTCTTTTTGTGTTCTTGTGTATTCTTGTGTGTACTTGTTCTTGTGTGTGTTCTTGTGTGTACTTGTTCTTGTGTGTATTCTTGTGTGTGTTCTTGTGTGTATTCTTGTGTGTACTTGTTCTTGTGTGTGTTCGTGTGTGTGTTCTTGTGTGTATTCTTGTGTGTGTTCTTGTGTGTGTTCTTGTGTGTGTTCTTGTGTGTATTCTTGTGTGTACTTGTTCGTGTGTGTATTCTTGTGTGTATTCTTGTGTGTGTTCTTGTGTGTATTCTTGTGTGTATTCTTGTGTGTATTCTTGTGTGTATTCTTGTGTGTATTCTTGTGTGTATTCTTGTGTGTACTTGTTCTTGTGTGTGTTCTTGTGTGTACTTGTTCTTGTGTGTGTTCTTATGTATTCTTGTGTGTGTTCTTATGTATTCTTGTGTGTATTCTTGTGTGTATTCTTGTGTGTACTTGTTCTTGTGTGTATTCTTGTGTGTACTTGTTCTTGTGTGTGTTCTTGTGTGCTTGTGACCCATTCCGGAGTGTCTGCATGCGGGAGAGGGGTGCACCTTTGCGCATGCATGCTGCTGCTGCATGCATGCTGCTGCTGCATGCTGCTGCTGCTTCGCAGGTGCGTGTCGACTTTGTAAGGGCTCGAGCGGCGGGGAGCGCCGGCGCTAACAGCGGCAAGGGGGGGGGGCGGGGGGCAGGGCATAGCCAGCGTGGTGTGTGGGAAGATCGGAGAGCTGCTTGTGGCGAATCACGGCGAGGCGGCAGGGGGGGAGGCAGTGGGGCTCAAGCTCCCGTCGGGCAGGAGCGGCTAGCCACTGCGGAGGACGGGGAGGAGGAGGCAGACAGCCAGTGGATCGATCCTGCAGCTAGGCGTCGGCTGCGCGTGCAAAGGGCAGGGGGAGCCGCCTCTGCTGGAGGCGGCGGCACCTTCAGGGGCAGAGGCGGCAGTGGGGGGTTTAGACGCAGCAGCGGAGCAAGGGGTGTGCAGGAGTAGGGGAGCGAGGAGCCTTAGAGCTTGCAGTTGCGAGGCGACGAGGCTCAGGAAGAAGGGCCTCTGGGAGAGTAGGCTAGGTTGCGCGGAAGTGCTAGTTTCTGGCGCGTCTGTAGAAGGCGCCAAGTCGCGCTCTCTGTTCCTGCGGCTTCCCCCGCTCCCGTCGTGCAACGGAAACTCACAGGCCTCTAGAGCGCAGACAGCCACGGGATGCTCGAGAAACGGTAGTTTTTGAGGGGTGCGCGGCAGATCAGGTGCCTTCTGCTGAATGCTCTCCTGTGCACTCTTAGCGCAAGGCCGGAACGGCCTTTTCTTTTTGTAGATACGTGAAAAAAGGACCCTCCGAGCAGGAGACTGTGCAGGAAGCCATGCCTGCCGAGCAGCAGTCTTCCAAGAAGAAGGCGCATTGCTGGCTCGCCTTTCTCTCACGGGAGAGCGAGCGCAGAGGCAGGGAAGCCGAGAGGCCGTGCCTGTTCTGCTGCAGGTGTGAACGCCAGCGTGGCGAGGAATACGCCGAGCCCATGGGCGGTCCTAGCAGAAAATGACGAATGCGTAATCGCTTGAACTCGAGGCATTCACTTACGTGCTTCTGAGCCTTGGCGCTGCACACGGCTCCCACGACGCTCGCCGTAGAAGCAGAGCAGATAACGGCGGGTATGCCGAAGGGGAGAGGCAGGAATTCGGGGGAGCCTCGCTCGCATTCTAGTAGACCTTGGGTTTCTGCTAGCTTGAGAGCCTCTCTCGCTGCGAAGAGGTTGCGCGCTTCGCGCCTTAGAGCCTCAAAGAGCTTGAGAATGTGCGCCAGCCAGCAAGCAGTGTTGGCAGTGAGAAGTGCCCAACAGCCGGTTCTCCCAACTGCACAGACTCGTTGAAAAGTCTCTTCTTGCGTTCGGCCGGTGTGGCTGCGGCTTCTTGCGGTCTCTTCCTGCAGCGGACGCGCTCAGCGTATAGTCGGTGCAGGGGAGGCATCCAGCGACACACACACGCACACACCTGCCTGCCTGCTTTGCTGGCAACTCGTGGGTAACATTCCGCTGGGTGCCCCTCCCCTCGCTCCTACGCCATCAAGTTTCGCTGAAAAGTGGGGAACGGCGGCGGCGCGCAGTCGCATGCATCCCTTCTCAAAGGCTCTGCAACTGGTTCTTTATTGGGCCTTTGATTGGGTTTAGTAGAGGAACAGCAGTAATGGGCAAATATCAAGGAAGAGTTCGCAGATTACTAGATAAGAACGACCAACCGCTGGTCGTCCAGCTCGTCTTTCGCGTTACTTTTCGTGTCAGCTCCAAATTATGTTCCACAGTATCTAGAACCCGAACGGCCTGGCACGAGCTGGAGGGTTGGGAGGAAATACTGTCAAACAAAGCGACGTGCAGGACGCGACTAGCGCATTTGGGCATATCGAGTGTGGGATCCGAAACAAGACGGGAGAGGTAGCACATGTGCGGTAACGCGAAGTGCCTGAACAAGATTGTTGTGAAGCAGCAGTTCATGATGCCTCCCATTGGCCAACTCGTTGACACCCGACACGGCTAAGCAGTCTAGTGGACATTCCACCTGACTAGCACTCTCTTCCTGATCCCCATTCATTTCGACAGAAGGCACAAAACGGTGCTCCACATTCGCACTCGCAAACTCTAGTATCCCTGTATGCCTCTTGGACTGAACAATTCCCCGGCTACTGGGGCAGCGGCAAGTTAGTCCAGGGCTTTCCAGCCAATCAGGAGGAAGAACTTGATGACGATCTCGATGCAACGTGTCTAAATATCCAATCGAAATTCTCAAAAGCACATCTACAGAACCCACGCCTGCGGGGCGGCAGTGGCACGCGGCCATACGTAGGTGTTTGTTTTTCTCGAGAACAGCTGGCCCTCTGGTCGTGGTTTCAGCTGGAGGAATTGAGCCACATTCGGCAAAAGTTGAAGCACTTTAGGCGTGGACATTTCCTTTCCACACTCGTAGAACGCTATGAAGGTTGATTAACCTCGAGTCTCACTACCAAAAGCTGACTTCCAAAGTTGCTCGGATAGTTTTTTCTCGCAGAGAAACAGCCTGCGAGCTGGACAGAGGAGGCTGATCCTGTACAAGGGCCATTGACCAGCCATTCGACAACTCCGATTGAGGCACTATTTTGTTAGGGGCCTTTTTACTCTCCACGCCAAGCATCTGTCTCTAATGCTGCCGGCCTTCAGAGAGTTTGAGGAATGAAAAACATTCTAGAGTTGTTCGCTGGCTTGGGTGCCTGCTGCAATACGAATTTAGAGTGGAATTTATTCGGGGCATCACTAGCGCAGTCGCCAACGCATTCTCGCGACGACGGAGCAATCAACCAGTGCAGCGAAACCGTCCTTGTCTGTGATGAATCACGGTCTCTAATCAAAGTGCTTCCGTCCTATGCTTTTGACACCCACCCCTCCAAAGGTGTTGCCAAAATTCACATTTCCAAAAGGTTGAAGCACTGCAGCGTGTGGTTCTAACAAAGCGGAAACTCCATTGTTTGTACATCGTAACCTCACTAGCAGCGCTTTTTTGGGCAAAGCACATGGTCATTTTCTGCGAGCGATGGGAAGGGTAATGGGGGAATTCACGTCACAGTTTGAAAGCTCTCACGGTCCTACCAGTGGCCAGGAATGCGTCCTGCCGCACAGACGTATGAACCCCAATGCTCAGATTGTCAGCAGGTGAATTTGCGCATTCATCGTAAAACCCGGCTTTTGCAAAGTTTTCTGGCTCCTGAAAGGACTTGGACTACTTTGAAAATTAAACTTTAGTGTTGGACTACTAAAGTTCAAGGGTCACGATAGCATCTATGTTATTGTTTGCAGGCTCGCCAAATATGTCATTCCGCCCCTTGTTTCAGCACTCCCATGATGCACGAAGTCGTGCAATCATCCTTGACTCATGCATGGAAGCTTCGCGGATTGCCCAAGAGTACCCACACGGATCCAAAGCTCACTAGTGCATTCTGGTGGCCGATATGACCTGTATTGACATTTACGATAAACTGATTACCGCAAATACCCTGAGGCTGATGAGCACAGTGCACTTACCGCAGTTTTTTTGAAGTCGATTGTATGATCACAGAAATCCCCCTGCCGGGCGTTATTTTCCTTCTATTGAGAAGCTGGTTTGTAGTACAAAAGATGGATGGGGCCTGGTGTTTTGGAGCCAGCAACCACCCCTAGTGGCGGAGATATGCAAACAACAAGTGGCTAGTACGCGTGAATATCTACAAATACTACAAAAGGGCAAACACGGATTTATGATAAGTGCCGGTAGGCTATGTGTTTCAAGCCTGCAGACTTGCTCCTGGTGGATCTGGAGGCTTTACGAGATGCATCACGTGATGAGACGAAATTTGCGTCCACGCGTGGGGGATCACTTACGCTTCTCCCACAAAACAATGATATCTCTTGTTCTATTGATTTTCCTTTGGGTGGAAGGTGCCGCAGAACTATTAATATTGACTTCTTGCACAATTTCTAACCCCCCAGAGTACTTGAGTAATTTGTAGCACACGCGAATTCCCCCTGTGGACCCAGCGTGTTCACAGAACACCTTTGGATTGCTGAAATTTAGAAGCGCCGTGGTAACACTTGACGAGAGTTTCTGGTGAACTACGGCGTGAAGGGCTTAGTGGTCAAAGGATAAGCAGCTGCGGGCCTCGGTGCCTGAAGGAGAATTCATATTATTTTTTGATTGCCAGCGCTGATCGCAGCCACTGATATTCCTTGCCTCCGTGGTACTTGTCTTTTGACAGCTCATCATTTGCTTGAAGTAGCTCTTTCATCTGCTGGTGCTGCTTCGAAAGCTACCACTTATTGTTGCTAAAGTGTCCTCTACATTCAGATGAATGCCTTCAGGCATTTTCTCCCTACATTCTGGCCGTTGCCTCTTTCGAGGCTTTGAAATCGACTAGGGTGCATGCACCGCTGCGTTTGCATGCAGAGAGTGCATGGAGGCACTGCAGAGCAAGAGTGTATTTCGATTTCTCTTTTACATGTTAGGTATCGTGTGCTCTCTAGTAGTAGAAGAGTTATGCGTTTCAGCGCTCTAAGGAGACCGACATCGCACCACGGCCGTCGTGTTGTTTTGGTCGTTGGTTTGTTCTTGTACAGTGTGTGTGCATTTCTTCCCGTCAATTTCACCTCAGTTTTTGATGTACAATTTTGCTCTCCCGCTTGCACAGTTTTTGCGTGCCCGGGGAACGATGATGAAGGGGGAGTTCTTTTTGCTTCCTGCATGCATTTTCTAGATCACGAGGGAGTGTAATTCGAAATAAAGGGGGGAGACGTAACGGGCAAAGCTGAACTCAAACCCTTTTCAATGAACTAGTTGTATTTACCTTCAAATCAGTTAGAAGTTGACTCCATGGTTCGTCTACTCATACGTGTCACCTCGGTAGAACAAGACACATATTTCGTATGAACGTACGCTACACGCTGTGTGCAAGTGGCTGTGGTTGCTCGGATTGTTTAGAAGGGACAGCAACTCTCTGCCTACGTGTTCATCTTACCTCATGATGGAACCTCTGAGGACCACGGGCAGCGGGAGGACGGACTTTCTTCAGGAAGAACTCAATAATTTCATTGTCGCTTTGTAACGAGTCTGGAGATCTGCATCTCCGTACATGGAACTTCGATGAAGCAGTACCCACGCAATGTGGACTGCAAAAGTAGGCTCATTGAGGAATAAAACACGAGCAGCCAAACAAAAGATATGCTCTTGACTATTTTTTTGGTAAACTAGACTCTGTTACAATCTTGAGGGATGGTAGCTTGGTTCATCACAGCAAGGCAACAAATTGACGGAAGCCCTTGAACACATTGCTTCCCCTTCCTGGGAGTCACTGAATGCAAGTTACGTAATAACAGGGCACTCCGACTAGATGAAACGAGGGATGTAGTCAGTAAGCCATGCTGCGCAAGGTAACCACCACCTCTTCACTCGTAGAACTAGTTTAGTGGGCTGTGGACCGACAGGCTTCGCAGTTCTCATTTCGTTTTTCTGCACCGCATGGCTGGATCCACTCTGTGAGGACATTGACTGTGTGCATGTGTCCTACATGTACTGTGCAAATGCTTGAAAGGCGTGGATGGTGTAGCTGGTCTTATGCGTAGTATTTTTCCGCATGTCAGGTGGGACGGCGGCGGAGGAGAGTGCTTTAGTAGGACTCAGGCCATAGGCTCAGGATGAAAAGCACTCAACGGTGCGCTAGTCCTTTCAATTGGAGCACGACATTAAGGCTATAGGCTTTTAAAGCAGAGAGAGAGAGGCCCTCGGAAGGCATTCTCCTGTACATCCACCTCCTGGAGTGGCGAAGGAAGAACAATGCGCACCGTGCTGCGCAATGCAGAAAGGCACTCTGGGATTTCTGGCCTGTAAGACGCGTTCTGTTTATCCGTTTCAGGAGTTTACGCGCAGGAGGGGCAGATGGCGCTTTCGGTTCGATTACACTGTGTTGAGGCCTTCTTGCCCGTTACTTTTCTGTCGGATGCAACCTATTCAAAAACATGCAGTCCATATGTGTGCCGATAATTCTTTTTTATTACTGGGTTTTCGACTCGTCTATGCCGCCACGGGCAAGCAGGCGAGTGTTAACGTCGTGAGAGTCGACTGGTGCACTTGCAGCGGAGGTTCTTCGAAGCGAGCGCGTTTCGCAGCTCACAGGGCCCAAAGGAAAGAGACTGGTACTAAGTTAGAGAGAATTTGCGCTCTTAGGTGGAAGGGGAGGCTCGTTGATGAGCAGGAGAATGAGGAAAGTTGCTCGCTCCGTGGCCTCCTCGCTCGCCTAGGGGCTGAACGGGGGCTGCGCTGCTCATGTGTTGGGGGTGGCTTTTCGCTCCTGAACGAAGACTCAAGAGTTCTCAAAGGGGCTTTAAATCAGTTTAAAAGCCATTTGCCGCGTCTTATGGGTCTGCAATCGCAGAAGTCCGCCTGTAGCGGATGATAGTGTTCTAGAAGGTGTTCTGGCAGATCTGCAACCACGCAGTGGGATACAAATTCTCCTCACAGACGCTGGCTGCCCATGGGCTTGCCCAGGACTGAACGAATGGCTTTCTCTGGGCGCATGGGGAGCTGTTCCTGGTTATCTAAGTAGGACGAGCAGCGCTGGGAAGCGCAGCCAGTTGCAGTGCCGTTTGCAGCGCTTCCCCGCGTTGCTGCCAGCTACCTTGTCTGCTGACTCTGCTCCTTTCCCGAGCCGGCGGGCGCGTCGACACCGACATATTCTCCATCCCACATTCGTGCGCAGCTCCTTCCCACATGTTTTCTATGCCGCCTTACCCTGCTCGCCTCCAGGCCGGCAGCCGTTCTTCTGCGGGGTCCCCCTGCCTCCACAGCTGCAGTGTATTCGCAGGATTGAAGGCGAGGCTGCTGCTGCTGCTCAGTCCCTTCGTCTTGGCTGCTGCCTCCTCCGACTCCACAGGCCTCGTAAGCGAGCAGGCATCCATCCCGCATCTGACTGAGTCCATCCCGCATCTGACTGAATCCACCCCGCATCTGACTGAATCCGCCCCGCATCTGACTGAATCCACCCCGCATCTGATTGAAGCCTTTCCCCTCCGGCTTGCAGGTGAAGACCTCTTCATCAGCGAAGAGACCTCCACTGTGACGCACCCTGACTCCTGGTACACGCTCAGCTCGGACTCATGGGATTCATATTCAAGATTCACTCCCGTAGAGGCACCTTCGAGGGCAGCTCCTCGCAGGCGCAGAAACTCTGGCCCTTCCCTGCCGCGCAAGTGGCAGAAATGGGCTGTTGCATGCGTCCTGCTCTTGGGGGCACTTCTCGCCGTGCATCGAATCAAGGGTACGGAGTGGCAGGCGCTGTTCGCAGAGTGGTTCCGACCTGAGAGGGGTTTTGAGAAGCTGCCCCTCGACGACTTGGAGAGGCTCTCTCTGTACAGCGGAGATCGCGATTACGAGAAAGCGAAACGCGCATCCGAAAGTCTGCGCACCAGCATCCTGAGCGAACTTGTGAAGGAAGCTGAAGGCGTTGTGGAGCGACTAGACACGCCAGCGACTCGAGGCGCCTTGAAGACGCTCCAGAGTCTCCTTAAGAAGGCAGAAAATCTGGAAAAATCGCTGCTCGACTTCTCACCTGGAAAGCATTCTGAAAATCCTCTGGCTGCCTCTGTAGTGCGGGCCCGGCATGCGCGCCACGTCTACTCGAGCATTCAGCGTTTGGGGGACGAGGCGGCAGTGGAGGCGAATAAGATCATGAGCTATGCGGAAGCGCTCATTGAGAAGCCGAAGAAAAAGGCCCAAAAGCTATTGCACATGATGCATGTGTTTCAGCTTCATATAACGCAGCTGGTGCCGCTGTATAAAGAGGTCGCTGAAGCAGACGAGGTGATTCCGGCGCATGTGTTTGCGGTGCAAAAGCTCGTGAACATTGGGCATCAGGAAATGAAGAAATTGCAAGCTGCCAGCGCCCGTATTAGCGACAGTGTTGGCAGGTCCAAGAGTCTGCCAGCAGTCTATGCCTCGCTCCGGACGGCTAGAAGGGATGTGCGTATCGTGCAAGAGGCACTTGATCGGCTGCAGTTTTTCAAGCAGGAAGTAGAGGCGTGGACAGGAGAGGGTTTAGCAACCTTTCGTGTCGCGGCTCATAACGTGGTGGCTGGCACTGTTACGCAATCTCTGAACATGCTCAATGTCATGGAGCGCAGCAAAGCGGGTCTCATGAAGGCTCGCCTGCCTGAACACCTGTGGCAACTAGCGGTTCCTTGCTTCGCTTCCACCGAAACGGCCAGTGTGCTCCTTGAGCAGGTGCCTAATGTACTGATGGGAATCAAAGGAGCAAAATCACCTTGGGAGGCCGTCGAGCATGTGAGCGCGGCGAAAGAGCTGCGTTCACAAGTAGCAGACTTGATGCAAGCATTTTCCAATGTCGTGGTGGAGTACGAACCCTCTGTCTTTTATAACCCTTACGAGGGGGAGGAGCAAATTGAGTCCCCATCAGACCCTTCAGGAGAAGAAAGAATGGGAATCACTTATGACACCAGAGAACTAAAGCAGAAGCTCATGACCATCATGGGCTTGACTGCAGAAACAGCGCAGCTTGCAGCCTCTGGATTCGGATGGCAAATTCCATCCTTGAATGAAGAGGTGCATGAAGGTTTTGCGAATTCGGGAATGCAAGGCACTAGGAAACACTCTCCATTTCGGCGCTCGAGTGGGCTGTTGACTAAGCACATGGAGCAAACAAACCACGCTAAACGTCTTGTTGTCGAAGTGAATGACTTGCTAAAAAACATGGACGAATCCATGTCAGCTCTCAACATTACCGCATTCGGAGATGCGTCTACGTTACTTTCTTCGATGATGCAATCGCAATCAGTTAATGCAGCTTCGGTCTGGACTGATGGGAAGGCATGGATGCGTCTCGAGCTTTTGATTCGAAAAGCGGAAAAGATTTACTTCGAAGCGCTGAGATCCTTATCTGCTTCTATGCCTTCCGCGGTGCTGTCCTTAGAATCTAACCAACGAAACTTTCGGAGAGCCGTCGACTTGATTTATGAGGTGGATACACCACAGGCCGCCGCGCCACTGGTCTTCGAGCTTTTGAACAAAAGCATAACGATTGAAAGTCTCGCTCGTGAGCAACTAGACGACTCCTTAAAGTCTAAAGCAGAGTTGCTGGATGCTCTTGCGCTCTGGCCCTCTGGGACGGCGAAGCAGGAGGCTCTAAGATTGGCGAAGGAGGCGCAGGAAGTTTTCAAGAGGGCTGAGTTGCAAATCAGAAAGGTAATGGACGCAGAGCACAAGATTCTTGGCAGGCCGGTCTATGCGGGAGAGGAGGACGAAGAAGAGGTCTTGCTCGTCATGAGAAGGGCAGAGGCAACGATTCAGCGGAGTAAGGAACAGCTTCACGCGTCGTGCACAGCCCTAAGGGCAGCCAGATCAGTCTCTGAGCTTGCAGCGGCAGCCAGGAACGTGCTTGTAGCACAGGATGAGGCCGTGACAGCTGCACAAGAAGTTCAGACAGTACGCCAGTCCTCCCTCCTCGAGCGATATAAGCGTGAAGGTGTGACCGACTATGTGGGAAGCGCACTTGAGAGATCGTCGGAGCTCCATCGCGAAGCGTTGGACCTGTATGCTCAGCTAGGCACTGCGCTACAGGAAGCTAGGAATGCTCAGAAAACCCACGCGGAGCTCATCAGCCGGTTTCATGAAGATATGGGGAACTCGGTGCATGGGCAAAGCAGCAAACCTCCAGTTGGATTGGCGCTGGCCCCTAAACCAGCCTTGGAGGACGAAAAGTCATTTGTTGAGGCTTTGGTGCAGCACATGAAGTGTCTTACTGAGGCGACAGCTGAAAACACAAGGGAAGCACTTTTTGACATCCCGCTCCTTCGTCGAACGGCAACAGCAGCAGCAGGGGACATTGCAGAACTTGTACTGGCCGTGTTGAATGCAGACACTCGGGTGTACGCGCAGCAAGTTAGTAGCGATATGAAACAATTTCTCAAAGATTTAGACGCGCTATTTTAGGCTCTAATCGAGGCCTTGACCAGGATCAACCGTGTGTTCAGGAAAGCGGCAGCCCGTGATGAGCAGTCATTTGCTGCCTGCACGCTTACCTGCATGCGTATAAATGCCTGTGTATATATATTGTCTCTGCGCACACGTGGACATAGTCGCATTTGAATTTAGGGTGGCGAGTGCCATGCATGACCGAATTTCCGCCGCAGCGCAGTCTCCCGTAGTCTGTCGATGCATGTCCTTTGCACACAATCCCTCTAGATGCAGCTCAGCTGATGAGAGTGAAGCCCTAGTGTGTTTCTTCTCCCCATTACCCCAAGTCGGAGAGATTTCCGGCTCATGGCTGGGAAGCAGCTAGTCTGCGAAATTGAGCCTACATCTCCTCGGCACGCAGATAAACAGGCGGGAAGAAAGGCACTGGGCAATGACTCCTTCTCGCCCTTTTTTTTTGCATAATGAGGTTGTTGTGTCTCTACGTGGCCCTGTAAAACACAAGTGGCCCTCTGGAGTTGGCACGCTCCACACTCAACTTTGGCCTTTTTAAGAGGTGCCGCTTAGATTGGGGTCTGTCCACCACACAAGGCACGCCTGATGCGGGTTCGGCTGCACAACCACCCCCCTACGATTTCGATGCGCGCTTTTTTCGAGTGTCGGGTAGATGCTAGCATTATGTGCAGCGCCATTGAGAGCCGAACGCGGCTCGGCACACAAGGTTTCCCGTGCAGGGATCCAAGAGTATGGCACAGGAGTTGGCCTGACCAACAGCATGCGCTATCGCCCCCTGTCTTCCTCCCCTGTAGATCTCATGGGCTTGGCTCGCAGATGATGAGGCTGCCCATGCCTCCTCTGCGTGTGTAGTTACAGCGCGGGGAGGGAAGGCCTTGCCAGAAATGTGAGAGCGACTCGGGGAATCCAGCAAGGCCCGTAGCGAGAGTGCTGACACCCGCAAGGGGGTGGCCTAAGGAGCGCAAGGGAAGTCTAACCTTCCCAGCCGCACGACAGCTCCCCAGTCTCAGGAAAACGCTGTTGCTCAATTCCGCACTGGAGGGAGGGACGTGGGGAAGTGTGGGGGCGAAGGGGAGAGGGAGCTTGAGGAAAGCCAGAGTCAATCAGAAAATGCGCAGTGGAGCCTTCCCAAAGGATTCGAGCGTACTCGGAAGGCCTGATAGGGCACTAGGGGCAGCACGAGCACGCCCAGAAACCTCCAGAGTGCAGTGGCCATAAATCCTCAACTTGCGAAATACGGCCGCAGTTTTGGCGCGTAAGTGCATCCAGGAGGCAGAGCATATTTAGAACATGAGTTCCAAGCTAAAATTCGAGATCTGCTCCCAAACTCGCCCCCTAGCGAGCGATTGAGACGTCGGACAACCCATGAGTGCTGCCCCCAAGCCTTATTAGCACCGCCTTTTGTGGTTGCAGAAGCGGCGGAACTCATCAGGCACATGCAGCCACAAGAGGCCAGCAAAGAGCCTTCAGCTGAAGTACCGGGGAGTGAGTGGTGGCTTTTCGAGGCGTTACAAAAGGCTGCCCGCTCAGGCAATCTACAAGAGGGCGGCAGGCCTTCTAGATGTTACGTCGGGGATCTAAGAGCGTGGCGAATATACCTTTCTGCGCAGTTTCAAAGACTGCGGAAGAGGGGCACGGGCAGCTACAGCAAACGAACCGAGAAGCCTCGCTAAGCCTCGTAAACACTATTAGCAGAGCCACGGAGCCAGTTGTTTCTCTAAGCGCTTCTTCTATACATTCTCTCGAGTATTCTCTTACCGGATATCTATGATTCACGCACGCACCAAAGAGTCCGGCAAGCAGTTAAGCTGCAAGTCCGAAGGTGAGGCGGGCTGCTGACGCCACTGCAGAAGCCGAAGGGTTTGCACAGGGGAGTCTTGACGGCGACCACACACAGCAGGTGTGCCCCCGCTCCAGTGCATGGAAAAAAGACTTCCAGCTGGTAGAAAGGGACCTCTAATGTCGCTAGGAAGGCAAGGAGGAGAACAGAGACAGCGTGTTGTGATATATCCTGAACAAAGGGCGACCCCCCACACATACACCAAATCCTGAATTGTGAAAACGAGGACTCACGGCCCTATGCAGACAGAGTGCTCCAGACGCCGGAGCACCCCAATGCGCATGCAGCTCTATAGTTAAGCAAAAACTCTAGACAGCTTGCGGCTTACCTGCTGCAGAAATCCTCCTCAGAGAGCTCTGGTGCAACCAACTGGCGAACAATCGCCGCTACGGCTCTGCGTGCAAACCCCACGCACAAGCACCACACACCAGAAATCTGAGGTTCAGATCCTTGGTCAGCAGGAGGGAGGTTCTCAAGAGCGATTCTAGGAAACTCGAGCCGCTTTACTAACCGAATGTTGCACGGCTCGTTGCGCCCCTTCACTTGGCTCTCCGCCTCCCACTTTTCCGGCTTCACTCCGTTCAGCAGCGATCTCTGAGAACGCAGACTCCCTCAAAGGCAAAAACTCCCTAGAGCAGGCATCCTTCCCCAGGCCTGCACCTGCATTGCACAAGCTAGTCCTTCGTCGAAAACAGCGACAGCTGGCTTGCTTGCCTGCTCTTCGTTGAGGCGAGAGAACCCCGCATGGGTATGCCTCAGGCCGCACCAAGGAGCATCTGTTTTTGCGCACAAACCACCCACACAAAGCCTTCTTTGAGAGGCTTTCAGCGAACCCTTCGTGCAGCAGCGCAACGGCGCGTCGCGCTGTCGCCGTCCTCTGCAGGCTAAGGCTCGCCAGTTGCGACTTGCCAGTTTCTAGAAGAATGCGCGAGAGCGGCAGCTGCTGGACTACTGCGAGATTTTCTTGCGTCTTGAGGGAGCAGCCGTTGAGGCCTAAGCCACGCCCACCCACACCAGGCAGGCTCCACACCACGCTCTCTGGGAGCCGAACCCTACACCCCCATCCAATTCCTTATCTAGCCTTTCTCACGACATCTAAATGAGAGCCGCATGGGAACTCAAGTTACCAATGTAAAGACCCGCGTCTAGCAACTGCTTCGCCTCCTCAGCGGTGCCTGTGAAAGAATGTGCGACTCCGCCCCTCGGTCGCCAGAGATTTTCCCTTCTCTGCAGAATATCTGCATGCAGGCAGTCGCAGCGCGCACAGTGCGGAGAATCCGCAGGCGCGCTGCGCAGAGAGGCTTGCTTCCCATGCGGCGTTGGAGATCGTGTGCTGTGCAAGACAAGGCGGGAACGGGGGGAGGGAAGGGCAGTGGCACTCGGCGGCTTTTGTTCAAGGCAGAGTGCAGGACGCTAGCTGGCTCCGAGCCTGTGTACCTATGAAGTCGCTTGCCGCATTCCGCATGTGCAGGAAGAGGGGGAGGCGGCTTGTGTGACACAAGGCCAACTGTAGCTCGAAGCACCTGTGCATCAACAGCGCACCCACACCCCTGCATAAGGCCACTTACGCGAGAAACGCAAACAACTGACAAGCCCAACAAAGTCTAGGAGCGCCAGGCATGCAGATGCAGCGGTAGGCAGACAGTGGCTGCTCCCGTGCAGAAGTCGAGTGCCAAGAGGCCTTCTCAGCAGTCCTATTTATCGAGCCTGCTCTCCGCAGGATGCCGACTATGTATCCAGACTTGCTGCTCACTGCTTTTGGGTAGGTGCGTCGCAGAAGTGAAGGCGGTCATAGTCCAAGCCGATCTCTCCAACTGCAACAATGCGCCTTTTGCGCTGCCTTTGCTGGTCCCGCTGCAGCTCCTGGTGCACTTCAAAAAGCCGCTGTACATACACCTCAGGGTACTCCGAGAGACGCAAGCCCGCCTCCTCTACTTTGGCAGCAAAGGAATCGAAAAACTCGCTCTCGATGCCGCTTGTTGTGCTGCTGGGGGCAGCGAACTCGGTGCAGCGGGTAGGATGAATTCCAGCGGTCATGAAGAGGCGCTCGCATTCCGGATCTGTACGCATGCATCAAAAGCCCTAAAGTCTAGTGTTCTTGCACGTACTCTTTCTACACACATATATACACATATCTACATACACGTATATATATATATACAGATATATATACACACATATATATGTACACATATCTATATATACACATACATATAGATATATATATATACATATATACATACACATATACATACACATATATATATATATATATATATACATACACATACATACACATATATATACACATATATATATATATATATATATAGGGGGCAGGCGAGCAGCGCTTAGGAAGACGCCGTTCTGGATGCCTGGCCAAATTAAGCGACTGTTGCTGCCGTTGTGGCAGAATAAGGGAAAATTTGGCATCAGAATACCGTAGAGTTCAGCAATCTTGAGGTTGGTGCGAAGGTCCTCAAAGGCTCCACTCGTTAGAATGATTTTGTCGACGCCAGCGGCCTCGGCACGCCGCAAAACTCTATAATAAATAAAATAAAAAAAAAAAAAACACACACACACACACACACATACATACATACATACACATACACCTCAGGCCTTAACACCCATCAGGTTTGTTGCAATATATAAATATATACACATATATAAAGCCCCAAGTGCAGAGAGCGAAGAAGAGCTTGTGCAGGCGCAAGCTAGCTGACCCAAAGAGGAGTTGAATGCACAGGCTGTCAAGGATTTGGGAGGTTCTTTGCGCGGGAAACGTACAGGTGAATGTCAGGTGGATGTTTTTGCTTGTCGTGATACTTCCCCTCGTACATGGGGTCGCACAGATTGGCGCCAATATCCACAAAGCGGCTTGCCATGATGGATGCGCGAGGGGCTGCTGCTCCTGCAGGGGGTAGTAGGAGTTCCTCGCAGCCTCCTCCTGACGGTGTGTGGCTGAAAGTTGCCTTTAATGCCGTGCTGCTGCGATCATTAGGCTTGCTTGTGTTCTTGTTGACGCTGGGGGTGATGCGCCTCCAGCCCCCCCGTGGTATCTTGAGCAGCCTCTTGAGGGGATTTCTGGAGGCCCCCTTGCGCCTGTGGCTTCCTTTGGTGTCTTCGGGAAGAGTTATATCGAAGCAACACTTGGCCTGCAACAGTTGCTGGTGCGGCTGGAGCGAGCCTCGGGCTGGAGAGACACCGAGAGGCAACCCCACCCCGTAAGGCTCCTGTGCGGAAAAGAAACGCAGGCGAGGGGCTGTGACTAAGGCGGCTGCTTCAGACGCGCTCGTGCGGCCTGAACGGGAAAGAAAGCAGATACGGATTTCTCCCGTCAAGGGGGCTGCTACGGCTGGCTGGGAAGCAAGGCGTGCGGCTTCAGCACTGAAACTGCAGCAGCAGCAGCAGAGAACAAGTGACACGAGCCGCTGCGTCCGGCCTGCTGTTACGCTGCAGTTGAAAGCACATAGGACCATTCTGCGCTGCTGCTGCTGCTACCGAGCACCCGCACGGGGAACTACAAGCGTTGGCGATACCCCCAGGGCGCATGCAGCTCGTTCAAGTCGCCACGCGCGAAACAAAGGAGCACCGGATGCACAGTAGCCTTCTAAAAACGGTGCACCATAGGCTCACGATCCTGAACCAAAATACACCTCCGGAACTAAAGGGCCCATACGAACGAAGGACTCTTCTTGGTGGGAGGGGCCCCTGCACGGGGGCCCCCTCCCCGCGACACAGGGGGGCCCCATCTATTCCTTTGGAGGAAGATGCATGCGAGCCACCCGTCGCACATATGAGCCCATAAACATCAGCAAGCAAGGGGTATTTAAATAATCTTTAGACCAGAGCGCGCTTATCGCTGCCAAGCTGTAGCCTTCACACCCTATACTCCATTCCAGGAAACAGCACGCCATGAACAGGGGCGATCTTTATTACAGATACACTTCGTCAAAAGCCCATAATTTGTGGCTTTTGTGCTCCTGTATTTAGGGTGTGTACTTTGGAACTTAGCCGTTTGTTCTTTGGAGCTTAGCCGTGTGCACAAGGCGACGTGAGATCCAAGGCTTGTTGTTTGGACAAGTAGAGGCGGAACGCCGCGCTCGCTGTGTGGTGGGAAGAGTGGGCCTGCGTTGGCTGTAGGAGGCGCCCTTACGGTGCCGGACCCGGCAGGTGTTCCCCACACAACTAGAGTCACCACTGCCTGTTACTACCATGTTCGTGGGAGGAGCACTCTGCGGCAATATGCTGATACACTTGAAAGAATCTTCCTTGGACGCTTGTTTGTTGGCGTAGCATTGTAATTATTGAACGACTGTGTACGCGCCCCAGAGGCCACGCCCGCATATTTAATATATGTGGCGGGATGGAGCGGCCTTTAGGCCGGTTGTGCTAGGCCAGTGCCATCATCACCTGCCTGGGTGCTACCAGAGTGGAGGGAAAATCACACCGAAGCCATTCTAGCGCGTCATACTTTGCAAGACCCTGAGAGTACACCTGATACGAGGGACTGTAGAGACTGCGCATTTATGCGCGGCAACAGAATGTTCAGTTTCATCTGCTGGTTTAGGAAGGGGGGGATATCTAGGGTCTTCTCTCGCGGGAGCTGTTTGCAGAATTTGTTTGTTCAGAATTACTGCGGGTGCTTTGGTACGTATTGGCGACTCTTTGCCAAACCGGAGATGTCATGCAAGGGGAAGCCGGAAAGTGAGGGGGAGGCCCAGAAGCCTCTCGGCTCCTGCATATGCTTTGCGGTGAGTGTGTTGGGAGCAGCAAAAATGGCTTTGCAGGTAGAGCAGTGACAGGATGTTGTGCTAAGCCTGTTCTGAACAAAGTGGCTCGCTGTAGGGGGTCATCGCTCAGTGAAAATGGGTTTCTGAATTGCTGCAACATCTGGCTGCAGAGAGATGGTCTAGCCTTGTTTCGCAGGAAGGCACGGAGGAAGAAACTGCCAGTCAATGAGGGGGGCTGTACGGAGTTCCCAGTTATGCAGAGAGGCTGCAGCTGCCCGAATGACTGGAAATGCCTCTGACTGAGGCATCAGTACTTGAAATATGTCGTTTCTAAAGTGCCACCATCTAGGGGCCCACTAAAGAAGAGAAAGCACTTCAGCTCTTTGTCCTGCCTAACGACTGTCTACCTCTTTTTCTGTGGCCACCGCTCTTATGCCCTTTGTGCATCCTCTTCACTTCCATCCGCTTCTCCGTCTTACTGTTTGTTTGGATGGGCGAGTACGCGCGTAGAACATCTGATTTTGTGGCCTCGCTTGTGTCTTTTGATCCTTTCCCTCTGTTACCCCTATCGACTGAGAAAAAAAGCGGACTTACAAGACTGTACCCTTTCAGGCTAGTCCTGACCGCAACGAGCTATTGGCTGAGCTCTCGCTATCTTCCTTTGTGTCTACCCATTGGGGAAGCTGTAGGTACACTACTAGAGGGAATTGAGGCTCGCGCGGAACGCAAACACTTTTAGGCAACTTAGGCGGTAAACTGCTGCCGCCCTCCTGGAAAAAGACCAACATGCATTACCTTTTCGGAAAAATCAGATCCCGAAACCAACGCAGTGTCTATTGATAGAAGCTTGTCAGTTATGGTCATGGCTTGTAGCAAAGGGCGAAAAAGGGCTCATGAGATCAGCGCTCCGCAGTGAGCACCCGGTTATTCCTGCAAAAGCCTACAGAGCGCATAAACATGCATATCCCCGGCTCGTTGCTCTAGCTTTCGACCAGCCTTTCCTTGTGCCGAAAGAAATGTCTTGTTACACTTAGCAAATGGTTTATTTGCTAAAAATGCGCTTTCTATGGTTTGGCAGTGAAAACGCCTACCGGAAGTGCACGCATCGATGGCACGTTCGATTTTCGCCTTCCTTTCCGAGAATGAAAGGAAGAAGCGTGCAGTCGTTCATGCCGTCCCACTGCTTTTATTCTAGGGTTTACTTCAATGAAATGCTAGCGCTGGCTCGGTGTTGTTTCGTGTTTCGGTATCGTTGGGCTTTGGCTGGCAGTGCAGGGCAGCCAGCTGCTGGCCTTTGATGCTTGTAGCTGGTTCTTCCTGGAACACCTTGCGGTTCGAGCAATAATTTTGGCTTTTTTAATGAGATGGAATTATCCTCTCCAGCTCCGGGGCCTCTGGTGGACGAAGAGCCTCCGGGATCGTCAGAATCCCGGAGGGAGGGGCACCAGGAGGTGACCCTGGGTACTGTATTAGCAACAGAGCGGAAAACACCACAGGCTGCCACCGCTTCTGTTGGTGTTCCTAGAGGAAGGGCTCTTAAGGACCTGCTGGCGCAGCAGAAGCGACAAGAGCAGCGGCAGGAGCAGCGGCAGCGCGATGCAACTGGTGCGCGACAGCCATTTCCAACGAGCTGCTCAGCATGGGGAGCCAGAACGCGATCCTCTGATGTGGACTTCACGCAGCAGCCTCAGAGTCAAGAGCGAATGCAGGATCAGCCGCAGCAGAGACCGTGCAAAAGAAAGCCCACTACTGGCCCCTTTGTCGCTCATCGCAGCAGCTGCGATCGCATACACCTGCCGGTAGCACCCCCACCAGCGGCAGCGCCCCTGCGTAAGCCTGTAAGCCTTAAGACCTACCCGCCGAACCTCAAACTATTCGCATATGCAAGGTGGGTGCTGCGTGGGCTTGGGTGTCTTAGGAATAGCAGAAGGCGATGGCCTTCCCCGCTGCACGAAGCAAAGGGCAGAAGCAAGGAGTAACAGCCACCCTACCCCAGCACCAGCCTTAGCACCAGATGGCGAAAAGACACAGAGCCTGCGTGCGTCTAAACGCCGTGTTGAGGAACTGAGCACCAGGCTGAAACATCTGACTTATCAGCGCGAGGTTTGCCAAATCCTTAGACACGCCACGATACGCCACCCTTTAAAGTCCGCGGGATGTGGCAAGGCTCCTACTGACGCACCACTTGTGTTTGTGCCTTTGGTGGAGAGATCAAGAAATTGTTTTAGCAACAGGTTTCTCCGACCGGCTGCTCCTCTTGCAGGCTGTTTCCGAGGCTCGTCGTACTTACGAAGAGGCATGCATGCTGCAGAGGCGGCAGCTGCTGGCCATACATTCTGAGAGAGAGAAGGCTTTGCTGCTTCTGCAGCGGCTCCTAGAGGAATCTGCGTGGGCTATTGATAGACCCTAAAACTAAGCGGCACTCCCAGATGGCTGAAACGACCGGTGTTCCTCTAAACTTGAACACTAGGATCTCACCCCTTACATCCCCCAGGGCAGTACATGGAGAGGGTAAGGATTTCGCGCTTAGGGTCTTTGGCTACGGGGCAAGGGCTAAGGGTTTAGAATTGCTCAGGGGAGTAAATGACAAGCTGATCGCCTATGAGGTGATATGCTCAACAAAAACCCTTGACGACCCATTATTGGCTGCGCGTCTTCCCAAGGTTAGCAATAATTGTACACCCTACACCTCTTATTTAATAAATCTGACTTCGAGTTGCTCGATCTCTTTGAGCCTCTTTCGAGCCATTCCTTGTCCGCGCGCGTTCCTGCAGCATGAGACCGACCCCACGAGCGGCACCGGCAGCAGTAACGGCAGTGGTGAAAACAGCTGTCCTAGCAAAAGCGGCGATTCTGAGAGGATCGAGGTTGTTGCGGTGAAAGTCATGGAAGTCGCGCTCACTCCGCGCACCAAGAAGAGAAAGCTCGCCAAGCTGGCAGCCACCAAGATCCAGGTTAAAAACCCTATGTCCTAGATCTCCTGCATTAGCTCCACAAGTCATGCCATGCAAGAGTTCATAAGCAATGCAATCTGAATTTCCCCTGCATTGGCGCCACATTGGTCGTGGGTGTGGAGCTCATAAATCTGCGTGCAGGCACACTGGAGAGGTTATACTGTGCGGTGTACTTTACGACGCGAGCGATCGATCCGAGCAGCCGCTGCTGCTGTCCTCAGCAAGTTGCATGCAGCAGCTATAGATCTGCAGCGAAAGATCCGGGGGCTCCTGCAAAGACGGTCAAACCCTTAAATCTCTAATACATACTTGCCAAACGCCGTTGAAAAGGCTGCGCGTGGCGTGTGGGGTAGTCTTCGAGGGACAAGCTCTTTAGGGCGCAGCGAAATCCCACGCCGTATCCGCAGCTCTAAACTGTAGGCCTCAGAATGGGCTGTAACTGCTCTGCGTGCTTTGATAGGGAGTTTCTAGAACACGTCAAGTCGACACATCTGCTACCCCCGAAGAAAAGAGCAGCAGCCGTCGCTGTCCACCCCTTGCCCAAAACAGCGGCAGCAGCAACAACAGCCGCAACACCCCTTACAGCGGCGAGCAAATGGATCTCGCAGAAAACTCAGACGCCCCTCCATGCGCTCCAGCAGGAGCAGCACCAGCAAATCCACAACCAGCAGCAGCAAGAACAACGAACAACTGGCAAACCGGGTTACCTCCAATCGGCGTTGCCGGTAGAGACTTCTGATTGGACTGTTGAACTTCACCACGAGAAGCAGCAGCAGCAGCAGCAAAAACAGCAGCCGCAGCGGCCGTTGCCGCTGTCGTGGGAGAGCCAGTGGGAGGGGGTCTCTGTGTTTTGCTGTGAGGGCTGTGGCAGGCGAAAAGTCGCATCGCGCTGCTTTTCTCATGATCTGCAGCCAATCCCGGGAATCTCTTTTGGTACTCTGTGGAATTCCCTACTGGCAATTCAGAGGACCATGAGGCGTATTCTCATCAGGCAAAAGTGGAAGGCAAGCCTCCACCCAAAGCGTAACGTTCCCCGCCCTTCACTCGAGCGCCTCATGCCAGTTCTAGACCCCTGCGACTCAATTTCCCAGCGACTCCATACCTCCTGCTAAATGCTAAATAATGCTGCTAAATGCTAAATAATGCTGTGGCTTGTTTGCCTAGACGCTGCTGGAAGGGCTGCAGCACCAGGCACGGCTCCATCGGTTGCTGAACCGGACAGCGGAGCTGCTGCAGCGGTGGCAGCAACTGCGACTCTTGAACTGCAGAGACGAAGAAAATATGCTACAGAGCCTTCCCCAACATATAAGCACCATTACGAGGCTCAGGTCCAATCTGCAAAGCATCCTGCCAAAGCCTAATTTATACATGAGAACTCTTATCTCCGAAAGGGCAGTAGACGACCCCTGACAGCAAACCCGCACTGCTATCATCCACCCTCTGCCCACATGCGCTTAAGGCTAAGGGCCCTTGCATACGGCTATGATTGCAGAAACAACGCGCAGTCTCCCCGATCCTCGCGCGAAGCGGCTGCTGCAGAGCGGCAGCTGCAGCGGAGCTGTCGGCGTCTGCTGCTAAGGCTTCCCTTCCCCTATAGGTGCCATTCGTATTGCTGCTTCTCCGTAACCGCTGCCCAGCAGCAGCAGCTGCACCGAACACAGCAAGAGAAGCAACAGCTGATGCAGCAGGACAAGGTCAGAGCCGACTCAGCGTCCATATGGGCTGGGTATGCATTTTGCACCCGTCCTACTGCTGCTGCTTCTGGAATATAATAAGACGCGCACACTTAGCACGGACTCACTGACCTTTTTCCAGTAGCAGGCCCAGCCGTCATTTCTGTGCGGCGTGAGAAAAAAATCTCGACCCTCGTTGCTGCGCAGGGTAGTGCTGGTGCTGCGGCTGTAAGGGCTACTAGCGCTTCGGTGTGTACCTCAGGTGGAAGGCTGACGCCTCAAAGGTTGCACCAGATGCTCGGAGGAGTGCAGCAAAGGAGGCTCCCTCTTCTGCAGCCGCTGGCGCCTCAACAGGGACGCCGACAGCCTGCCTCACAGACATAGCAAGAGATGAAGCACCCACCACGCCCTCAGGCCCTTTTGGGAGCAGTGCTGCTGCAGTAAAAGCGGCGGAAGCCGCTAGTAGCAGCGGCATCAGCAGGTGCACGACTAGTGCTCGTCTGGACGTTCCTGCAGCACCACTGGCAACGGTGACAGTGGCAGGAGCAAAGCCTTTTTCGGGCTTGCCCACAGTAGGGGCTGAGTTCTTGGGAGCCTTAAATAAAGCGCTCGCAGATAGTGAATGCCGCGCGATCGCGTGCTGTGGCAAAGCCGCTGCAGGTTCGCGATCTGTTGCTGCTGGAGGCAGCTTCCACTTGGCAGCGGCAGAGGCGGCTCTCGCTGCAGCCGAGGCCGCTGCAGATACATCCGCAGCAGAATTGCGGGCTGCTGCAGTGCAAGAACACCGCGCGGCAGTGAGCGAAGCGCTAGCAGCGAAAGCGCAAAGTGAACGGCAGCTGCTGTTGCTAGAGCGCCGACTGTATAGACGCGGAACGTTTGCGCGGTTGAGGGCAACCGTGCGATTTGCTGACAGCAGCAGGCTTCGCGGTGGCGATGCAGGAGGGACGTGTCTAAATGGGGCCTCACGAGGCTCTCCTCCAGCTAGTGCTACTGCTAGTGATGCTTTTGATTCGAGTGGCGCTGCTGCTGCTGCTGCTGCTGCTGCTGCTGCTGGCAGTGCCGCTCGTGCAGGAGTCGTTGGCAGCAGCAGCGAGAAGACTGTTGCGCTTGTTGCAGCAGGCGCCACGAGGACTGCAGGGCCAGACGCCTCTCTCCAAAATCACGAAACAGAAACAGCAGAAGCAGCTGCAGCAGCACTCACAGAAATACCTTCAACAGCAACAGCATTAACAGAAGTACGTGTAACAGCAGCAGCAAAAGCAGGAGCGCCTTCAACAGCAACAGCAACAGCAGGAGCACCTTCAACAGCAACAGCAAAAGCAGGAGCAACTGCAACAACAAGAGCGGCAGCAACAACGGCAGGAACAGCAGCAGCAACGGCAGGAACGACAGCAGCAACAAGAGCAATTGCGGAAGACTCTTTTCGTGCAATGGAGGCGCCAGAAACAGGAGCAGGAGCTGAAGAGGGCGAGAGCCCTCGGCGCTGCCTCAGCGCCTCGGTACGGAGAAACAAGCCTCGGCTGCAGTGGGAGGGCACAGGAGGAGAAGATATAACGGACGCTATGAGGCACTTTACGCTGCAGTTAGCTCCATCCCCTGCACCCTAAAGGCACAGGTCTAGCGACCTTCTCTGCGCCGTTAAGGCAGGCTGTGGTGCCCTCCAGATTTTCCGCCAGCACGTAGTTCCAGGCTTGGGAGATGCCTTAGAGGAAGCTTAAGCAGGGTTTGGGCTTAGTACGCGAACTTTTTGCAGCGATAGTAAGAAGACTCTGCACATCCTGACACCGTCTCAGGTGACTGGGGAGAGTCAACGACCCCCCAAACCTCCATCGGAGCCGAAGCCACTGCCACCCCCAAAGCCGTAAACTCCAGCCGCTACACCCTAAAACGATACAGCGTAACTTCAAGCTGAATTCAGGCTAGCTCGAATTTTTTTAATTTTTTTTTATTTTTGGGGTGCTAGAATTAGGCTTTTCGTTCATAAGCCTCTGAGTGTTGTAATCAGTCCTGAATTGAAGTGGACGCCTTTCCGTTTTTCGCCTTGGGGCTATCTCTCTAGAGGCCTTAAGCACCCTATTTTCCAGCATCAGCAGCTACAGGAGAACGAGCTGCTCCTGGAGGCAGTATCGATCGCAGCAGGAGAAAACTGCACCTTGGATGAAGCAGCTGTAATCCAGCGACTGAGTGAGGGCCAACCATCTTTGCACACTGTGTTTCCCACCCTCCCATAAGGAGGTTTCTTCTCCGAATCCGCCATATCCGAAATTTGCGATCCATGCATGATGTCGGCACCACCCTCTTTCGACAGCCGAGACGCCAGTTCTTTTTTGACCTCCAAAGCGTTAAGCATACGATGCATGCAGCGTGCGAGTTAAGCGAAAGCAGCCCCGCGACATCCCGGTGGCTTGGATTCCGAAAGAAGACAGCCCTCTTCTCCGCCAGCCCGTAAGCTGTGAGATGTAGCAGGCTTTCCGGAGCAGAGTGCGCAATGTGCGAAGTGCTGTGAACGGCGTGGCGCGCAGCTGGCCACGCGGCATGCCTTCGCATGTGAGTTTTTTTTTGTTCCTGCTCCGTTGCACGTGCAGTGTCAAGCCTTCCCCCCGATGCAGAATCGCCAGCCACAATGAAGCAGGTAAGCAGGTGCGCTTCAGGATTCAGGATGCAGGGCTTTCGCGGGGAGCTTAAGGCCATCAGTGTAGAACTTTTTGCCTCCGTTGCAGCTTACGGAAGACTTTTATCATGCCGCAGAGCTGAGCGTCCAGCGGCAGCTGTGCGAGAAGCAGCCCGCATTCTAAAACCAGTACCAAAATCGGCGTCTAGAACAGCAAAAGCTCCAACACCACCTCCTTCCGTAAGCGCGGGAGGCGCTTTTGGATCAAGAGGCCCTTCAGGTTCTCTGACACCTCGTCATCACGGTGCACCTCCGCGGGAAGTGGAAGGCTCTGCAGCAGCACGCAGTCCAGCAGTGGACCTTGCAACAGCCACCACGCCTCCTGCAGCGAGTTGTGCTGCAGATTCCTCCCCAGGCAACGAATTGATCACGACTCTCCACGAGCAGCAGCATGGAGGGTCACAAGCGAAGCACGACCAGCAACACGCCACCGATATTTTCAATCAGAGGCCTAAAGAGCAGCAGACAGCCACGCACGGACAGCAGACGGAGGCTCCCAAAAAAATACCACATGATCTGCAGCTGCACCTGCAGCAGGAGCAGCCGGAACTCTACGAGCACCTTTGGACGCCGCTGCAGCAGCAAGGCCAACAGCCAACGAGGCACCAATCAGCATGGAAAAGGGGTGGCAATCTGAGCAACAGCAGCAGCAACAACAGCGCACTACAGGGCAGCCGTAAGAATTCACGCGATGTTCTCGCTGGCATCCCTCCAACACAGCTACAGCAGCTAAAGCACCAGGACTTGCGGCAACGGAAGCTGCACAATCAGCCATCACAGGATTCGCAGCAACAAAAGAATCGCTTCCTACCACGACCGACACAAGAAGCCTCATCAGCAGCAACCACAAGAGCCGGAGCAGCAGCAGCAGCACACCCCGCAATTCCCGAAGCCTCATTAGCACCACCTGCGGCTGCTGCGGCCTCACAAATGGCAGTGGACAGACGGAAAAGACTTGACGCGCTGCACCTAATCTCTTCAGCCGGTACTGCAGTTGCCACTGCTGATGTAGTTGTGTATTGTGACGCGGCTGCTGCACGTGTGCACCCAATCTCGCTGCTGCTGCTCTTGTTGCTATAGTAGAAGCGCAAAGTTCTAGGAGTCTCCTGCCAGCCATGCCCACTAGCCTTCAGTCGTGCTTGTCAAGGCTGCGGTACTTGCCAGCCTGCTGCTGTTGCTACTGCTGGATTTCGGCATGCAGGCGCAGTGCAGCCACCCGCACTGTCGTCAGGGTGCAGCTGAGGCTTCGGCCTGTATATATTTATATGTATATGTGGATGTGTGCATGTGTGTATCTGTGTGCATGTGTATCTGTGTGTATAGTGTGTATCGTGTGTGTGTGTGTGGATGCATGTATACATATATGATATATACACACATATATACATATATATATGTGCCCGCACTTGCTTCTACCGCTGCAGAGGTACCAGTGCTGCTGCGCCGGGGGCTGCCCTCCGGCAGCAGCACGAGCAGCGATGGAAGCTCGGAAGAAAAGGCCGCGGAGGAGAATTCCCCTCAGGAAAGCGTTGCAACAGCTGCCGCAGGTGCTGTTGGCGTGAATGTTTCGCCGCATTCCTTCCCACGGCGAGATCCGGCGAACGCATACTTTCAGCAGCAGCAGCCGCTTTCCTTCCTTAAAGGCACTGCAATTTTGCAGCACTCAGGGATCGCTGCTCAAACTGCGTCAGCAGAGGCAGCGCCATCAGCCGCTGCAGCAGCAGCAGGTCCTGCCCTTGCACCCCCTTTGGACTCTTCAGCAGTCAGACCTCTAGAAGGGGCTGAGAGACTGCAGCAAGCCACGTCGGTTCTTTTTTCGTGCAGAGGAAAAAGCATGCAGGAGATAACAGCAGCAGCCACTGCTGCGCGCAGCGGCCGCAGCAACCAGCAGCAAGCAAACGACTACACTGCGCCCCGCGAAGCGCTCTCTCATGCTGCTTCGGTGGCAGCAGAAGCAGCAGCGGCAGCAGCAGCTGCTGCGAATGCCTTCCGCGTCCTAGAGCAGCACGAACGGCAAAGGGCTCTGCAGCGGCAGCAACTGCTGCCGACACCCCGGCGCAGCAGCAGCAGCAGCAGCAGCTATTGTTGTCGCTGCCCTCCGAGACTCAGCAGGATCATGCAGGGTGCACAGCTACAACAGCCCCCTCGATCACGCACTCGATTGCGAAGCAACAGCAGCTCCTGCTATGGAGAGGGACCCTGCAGCTACGCATACGGCATACTGCAAGCAGCCCACTTCGGTAAAGGTGACGACGACACTGAAGACAGCGCGGCAGCAGGCGCCGCTGCTGCTGCTGCTCTATCCGCTGCAGCTGCAGGGCCAGCTGCTGCAGTTGCCAAGGCTCTCGTTGCCGCTGCACCTGTCATAGAGGCAGCAGCAGCAACAACAAAAGCAAAGGGGACAAGAGCCTGGCAGTCCTGCAGTGAGCCTCTGTAGCAGCAGCGGGGGTTTCGGTTGCAAGCACCGCCCGTGCGGCGAGCGCACTGCCCCTGCTGCCTTGGCTACCATGAGCATGCAGCGCAGAGAGCAGCAGCAGCAGCCGACACGCTGCAGAAAAGCGCAGCCGCAGAAAATGCCGAAGCGGCGGCAACCTCAAGCCTAAGACCGACATCACGAGCCTATATTGCCTCTTAAGAAAGAGCAACGTTGCTATCCTAGAAGGCCCTCTAAATCCTAGACCCTAGGCTCTATACACGGAAAAAGATAATAGCAAAGAAGCAAGTCATGGTCCCTTCAGTGTAGAGTACTATCCTCTACTCCCCCAGGGCACTCGGCAAGCGACGCCGCATCTTCTCCAGGAGCCTCGTGCGAAGGCTGGCTCCCATCTGGTTCTAAGGCTAAGGGCGCGCTTGGAGAGAGTAGGCCTATTCTCATTGTGTGTTGTGTCGTTGCTGTGAGTTTTCTCCCGTGGATGGAGTACTTTCGCGCTAGGAAGTGAGGGGGGTGGGCTGTGTGCCTCCTATGAAAGCCCCTGTCAGACGACCGCTGCAGCGAGCAAATTTACGCTGGACAGCACATGCAGAAGGTGCAAAACGTTGCATGCAGCCTTCCTTCCGCCTCAGCACCCCACAATTGCAAGCCCTCGCAGAAGAGGATTTGCATCGCTTTCCCTGTAGAGCTTCCGGGGGGCCTCCCCGCAGCGCTCCCCCTCCCCCCCCCCGCCCCGTTGTCATTTCTTCTGTTTGGTAGCTAGGACGAAGAGTTGATCCGCCGTAAGCGGCTTCCAGGGTTCCGTGTTTTTGTGTCGCGCGAAGATGACGTTGGCATCGATGAAGAACGAGGCTCTTGCGAGTACGTACACCTGGCGGCCTCGCTCAATGCGTCCAGCCTTGGGCCTGCAAACGAGGCCTTGTTCTGCAGCCATGCCTTGCAGCAAGTCGAAGAGAGATACCTGAGACTGTTCGGGAGTGGGTGGGGGAGCCGCAGCGGGTGCCTGAGGCGCTTGTTGCCATATCGCAGCAGCAGCAGCAGCAGCCGCTGGAGGCGCTGCGGCGGCGGGGGCGTAGTGCTGCTGCTGCAGCTGCTGCTGCTGCTGCTGCAGCTGCTGCGTCGCGGCAGCAGCCCCCCCTCCAATGACTTTGAGCGCTTCCATGAAGCCTCTTGCCACGAGGGGGTGCTGCAGCACTGGAGGCGGGAGCACAGCTTGCCACCCTCTGAACCATGTGCGCACTTCGTTTGGATTGGCTGAAGGCGAAGCCAGCCACAGCCGCAACACCTGAAGCCACTGAGGGAGAAACCCCTCCGCGAGCACTCGTGCGAGGAGCTCAGTCGGCAGCAGCGCTTCCCACACGAGGACGTCCTTCAGCGGCGTCAGATCTTGCTGCTGCGGCTGGATTTCCAGCTGCTGCAGCCGCTGCAGCAGCTGGGGGATGACACCCCGCTGCAACAAATCCAGCCACAGAGGGCTGCTGAAGACGGCGCGCCAAGGACGCAGCAATGCAACGCAGCTGTGATCGGAGGCACTCCAGTGCGTAGACAGCACGCTGACGAGCTTCTGCTGAAGCGGGAGCAGCAGCTCGACTTCCATCAAGGGCTTGTTGAGCAAAGATGCAAACGGAAGCAGCCACTGATGCAGCGGCTTGCTGCTGCTTCTGCTGTCAGCGTTGTTAGCAGTAAGGGGGGATGCGCTACTACTACTACTACTACTGCTGCTGCTGCTGCTGCTGCTACTACTGCTGCTGTTACTACTGCTGCTGCGAGACGAAATAGGATTCCATACGTCCAGCGAACGCCGTAGCTGCATTACGACGGGATGCTGCAGCAGCTGCACACCTGCTGCAGCAGGGAGAGAAGGCAACCAGCACTCCAGAAGCGATACAGCCGCGGCTCCCGTGGAAAAAGGCTTCCACACATTCAGCAAATGGCGCCGCATATGCGAGCCAAGCGTTTCCTCGACTCCCTGCTGCAACAAATCATACGTTCGACCTGCCACAAGCCTTGCCAGCTTCAGCTCCTGCTGATGCTGCTGGTCCTGCTGCAGTTGCCGCTGCTGCTGCTGCAGTTGCTGCAGTTGCTGCAGTCGCTGCAGCCACCGCTCCTCCTCCTCCTGGTGAAGCTGCGTGTACACCTCAAACCATCGCCCCACTGCAGAGGCCAGCTTCGGTGCTGCTGCTTCCAGAGGCGTCCATACACAACAAACACGCTGCAGCAGCAGCCGCAGGAGCGCAGCAGCTGCAGCTGCAGCGTGGATTCTGAAGAAGGCCTCGCGCCAGCTGTCTCGCCAGCTCAACACCTCCTGCAACATCTCATCGGGTGTCAGTCCCCCCGTCACATGCGCATACTCCGGTTCCTTCAAATGCTCTTTCTGCAACGCTCCACTACTGCTGCTGCTGCTGCTACCATCACCACTACTACTACTAGTAGCAGTCTGCGCCTCGTCATCACTCCAGCGATCTGCTTCCAGCTGCTGCTTCCGCTGCTGCTGCTGCTCCCCCTCCTCGAGGCCGCCCCGCCGCTGCTTGATCCGGCTGTACATACACCTCACGGCAGCCGCCAACTGCTGCGTGTGCTCCGCTGCAGCTTGACGCTCGAGCTGCTCATGCTGCTGCTGCTTGTCGTGTGCTGCGGCATCCAGCAACTGCTGCTCCTCCTGCTGCTTCTGCGCAGCAATCTGCTGCAAGTCTCTCTCTACGCGGCGAATCTGCTGTCTCAACGCCTGCTGCAGCAGCTGCAAAGGAACGTCTCCCCCCCCCTTACCCATGCCTGAGCTGCTGCCGTCCATGACTCCCAAAAGCTCTTCCCGCTGCATCTGCTGCTGCTGCCGCAAAGCCTCGCCCACTTCTGCTGCACTTCCAAGCAGTCTCACCTCCGGTCCAGTCATGTCAATGACTCTGAGCTCCTGCTGCTGCTGCTTCTGCTGCAGCTGCAGCTGCTGCTGCAACATGCGGCCCTCTACAGCTATTTGAGCCGCCGTTTTCACGAGACGCTTCCGCCTGCTCCTGCCCACCTGCCAGTCTTTCGAGAAACCGTCCATCCGCGCAACTCCCCCATCTGCCGCTGCCCCTGCCACTTCATCCTCAGCAGTTTTCCACCTAAAAAGCTTCGGAGTCGGCAGAGGGTCTGGTACTGCCTGCGGAAGCAGCACAGAAATACGTCGCAAGCCAGAAACAAAAACTCAGACAAAAAAACATCCAACAACACCCGCCACGCGAAAAGCAATCCAAGCACAGCAGTAGCTGGAACACCACAAAAAACAACTCTCCAAACGGCACGTTAAACTCACGCACAAATAAATGAAACACATATATACACGTATGAGGCGCATATATACACATATGAAGCGCATATATACACATATGAAGCACATATATACACATATGAAGCACATATATACACATATTAGGAACAAATATACACATGTGAAGCACATATATACACATACTAGCCATATATATACACACATGAAGCACATATATACACTTACTAGGAACAAATATACACATGCGAAGCACATATATACACATACTAGCCATATATATACACACATGAAGCACACATACACACATATTAGGCATATATATACACACATGAAGCACATATATACACATACTAGGAACAAATATACACATATGAAGCACATGTACACACATACTAGGAACAGATATACACATGTTAGGCATATATATACACACATGAAGCACATATATACACATACTAGGCACATAAATACGCATATGAAGCGCATAAATACGCATATGAAGCACACATATACACATATTAGGAACAAATACACACATATGAAGCACATATATACACACATTAGGCACGCAAACACATATTAGAACCCATATATGGCTCATACACTTACAAGTGCACATACATACACAGATATATACACGGATATATATACATACTTACACAGATACACACACAGATACATATACCGATACATGCCCCCTGATACATGCCTTTTTGCAGGCGTATCCAAATAACATAACTCCATAACACGTGTGAAAGCAAAACTGCAGCTGCTTTCCCCCGTTCAATCACAGACCGCCACATCAAACAACTGAAGATACCACCAGCAAGCAGCAATACCAACAGCACAAAGCAGCAATACTAACAGCAGCAACAAGAGCAAGCAGCAATACTAACAGCAGCAACAAGTGCAAGCAGCAATACCAACAGCACAAAGCAGCAATACTAACAGCAATACCAACAGCAGCAACAAGAGCAAACAGCACCAATACCAAAAGCAGCAACAAGAGCAAGCAGCACCAATAACAACGGCAGCAACAAGAGCAAGCAGCACCAGTACCAAAAGCAGCAACAAGAGCAAGCAGCACCAATACCAAAAGCAGCACCAAGAGCAAGCAGCACCAATACCAAAAGCAGCAACAAGAGCAAGCAGCACCAATACCATCAGCAGCAACAAGAGCAAGCAGCAATACCAACAGCAGCAACAAGTGCAAGCAGCAATACCAACAGCACAAAGCAGCAATACTAACAGCAATACCAACAGCACAAAGCAGCAATACTAACAGCAATACCAACAGCAGCAACAAGTGCAAGCAGCACCAATACCAACAGCAGCAACAAGTGCAAGCAGCACCAATACCAACAGCGCAAAGCAGCAATACTAACAGCAATACCAACAACAGCAGCAACAAGAGCAATACTAGCACCAATACCAACAGCAGCAACAAGAGCAATACTAGCAGCAATACCAACAGCACAAAGCAGCAATACTAGCAGCAATACGAACAGCACAAAGCAGCAATACTAACAGCAATACCGACAGCGGCAACGAGAGCAAGCGCCCTTTGCAACCACGGTGCACAGCAGCAAGGAAAGTCTTCCCCGCCCACTTTGATAGGAGCAGCTCCCTTCTCCCCTGGCAGGAGCCTCTCGCCTTCATCCTGAAGCGCTCTGTTTTTCTTGCGCAACTTCACTTCGATAGGAGCAACAAGGCCAGTGCCATCACGACCTAGCGCACCCCCTTTGAATCCCATGCGCTGCAGCATTGCGAAGCCTTTTCCATATGTCTGCTGCATCTGCTGCTCTCCCCATCCTCGCTGGTGATGGTGATGGCGGTGCTGCTGCTGCTGCTGCTGCTGCTGCTCAGGAGCAGGCTTGAAAACGAAGGCAGGCGACGTGCTGCGACTTTTGCTGCTCCTGCTGCTGTCAGTCCTGCTGCTGCTGTCGCTCCTGCTGCTGCTGCTGTCGCTCCTGCTCCTGCTCCTGCTCCTGCTGCTCTCACTCCCCTCCACTCCAGAAGCAGCAGCAGCAGCTGCACCTGCTGCTGCTGCTGCCTCTCCGGCTTCACCATCGTGAGGAACCATGCCTGCGGCATGCGAAGCTTTCTTCTGCTCTTGCTCTTGCTCTTGCTGCTGCTGCTGCGTGCTGCTGCTGCTGCTGCTGGATTCGTCTTCGCTTTCGGAGTAATCCAAGCCCAACTGCTGCAGCACATGCGCATCCTTGCTGCTGAGGCATTTCTGCTGCTGCTGCTGCATCTCGTGCTGCTCTTTCGGTTTCTTGATGGAGAGCTTCAGCTGGTTCTTATCAAAGGCGAAAGGCTGGGGAGCTGAGTCACGCTGTCTGCTTCTGCTGCTCTCTTTCTTACTGCTGCTGCTGCTGCTGCTACTGCCCTTCTTGTTGGCATCCTTCTCGTTAGGATCTTCCGGCTGGAGTACCCCCCCCTTCACAAACTGAATTGGACCGCTGCTGTCGTCGTCGCTGCTGTTGTCGCTGCTGTCGTGCCTTCGCCGCCTCTTGCTGCTGCGGCTGGAAGCAGCAGTTGCAGCAGCAAGACCCCTTGGCTGCTCCTCTCCCTCATCGCTGCTGCTGCTTCCTCCAAAGCAGCCATATATGGCCTCCTTCCGGCGCGCGCGCCTGCTACTCCTCCCCATCTTGCCGCTTTTGCAGCAACTGTGGCAGCTGCAAAGCGGCTGGGAAGTGCCACTTTCACTGCTGCTGCCGCCGATGAAATCCACGCTCGAGGAAGGCTGGCTGCACCGTGCAACTTTCGAGAAGAATGCAGACAGGCAGACAGCCAGGCAGGCAGCCAGGCAGGCAGCCAGGCAGCCAGGCAGGCAGGGTGCCTGCTCCTTTGGCCTTCGTGTTGCCGCTGCAGTTCTGTGCTCAGCAGCTGATCGCCAAACGCTGAAGACAAGACCAGAAAGCCTTCCCTGATAGAATTTGCAACGAAAAAATTTGCCTCCTCCTGAAGGCGCACTGCCTTCTGCCGCCGCTCGTGGCTGTTGCTACACGATGCTCGGGTAGGCGCTGCAGCAGCAGCTGCTGCATCGATGGAGGAGCGCAGCGGTTACCACAGTCCCAGCTAGGAGCACCTCGCCAGGAAATAAATAAAGGGGAAAAAGGTCAGATTCCGAGGCGGCAACGTAAAGCTGTGCTCCCGACGGAGCCGTCCCAGGAAGCTACCGCGGCTGCATGCATGCATGTTTATGGGCTGCATGCATGCAGCGGCAAGACACAACCGAACCACCCCGCTCCCCCCCTTACCCCCGCCTTGGCCCTGTCAAGGGGCCCACTCTTCAAGACACCCCCCAACAGCTGCGTCTCAGATGAAGCAGCGGCTACCAGCCTCATCTAGCCATGCCGCCTTGACGGCATGCTGCAAATGACACGAGATCCTTCGGCGAAGAGCGTCGCGTAGGTGGGACTATCAGGAAGCTCGTTTCTTGCTGGCGTCGTGCATGCAGCGGGCAGCCATGCAGATTCGTTTTCTCTAGGAAGGGCAGGCTCTGCACGTGTCGCATCGCCTGCACGGATAAGCGAGGCAGCAGAAGCAGCAGCAGCACTGCTACGACTACCACCACCACAACACCCCCAAGATGATGGCCACCTAACCAAATGCAACCTCCCTCCCCGAGAGGCTTCTTTTGAGGCAATGCATGCCAACGGTGTCAGCGCTGCTGCAGCAGCGGCAGCTTCCTGCACGCCTTCCTTCCTATCGCCTTCCTCAGGTACACCCTCAGCGGCTGCAGCAGACGGATCCAGTAACCTCGACACGGATCGCAGGGATGACAGCATCCGAAAGCGAGCAGATAAACAAGAAGAAGACCTCCCCGACGCAAAGCGCCAGCAGCTTGCTGGTGCTCCTGCGAGCGGCAGACTCTGCAGCAGCACGAGGACCGCCGCTGCAGTAGCAGCAGACAATACGCTGGCAGCGGACGGCTGCCGGCAACAACAACAACAACACCAACACCAAAAACTGCCACAAGAACAACACCAACACCAACAAATGCCGCAAGAACAACATCACCAACACCAACAACAACAAATGCCACAAGAACAACAACACTCACAAGAACAACAAGAACAACACTCACAAGAACAACAACAACTGCCACAAGAACAACAACACTCACAAGAACAACACCAACAACAACAACACCACCAACAACACCAACAAGAACAACAACAACAACTGCCACAAGAACAACATCACCAACAACAACAGCATCACTCACAAGAACAACATCACCAACAACACCAACAAAAACAACACCAACACCAACAAGAACAACAACAACAACTGCAACGAGAACAACAACAACAACTGCCACAAGAACAACATCAACAAGAACAACAACAACACCAACAAAAACAACATCACTCACAAGAACAACATCACCAACAACACCAACAAAAACAACATCACTCACAAGAACAACACCAACACCAACACCAACAACTGCAACAAGAACAACAACAACAACACCAACAACAACAACACCAACAAGAACAACACCAACTGCCACAAGAACAACACCAACAACACCAACAACACCAACAACATCACCAACAACAACAACAACACCAACAACAACAACTGCCACAAGAACAACACCAACAACAACACCAACAAGAACAACAACAAAAACACCAACAAAAACAACATCACCAGCAAGAACAACACCAACAACAACTGCAACAACAACAACAACAAAAACACCAACAAAAACAACATCACCAACAAGAACAACACCAACAACAACTGCAACAACAACAACAACACTCACAAGAACAACATCACCAACAACAACAACTACCACAAGAACAACACCAACACCAACAACTGCAACAAGAACAACAACAACAACACCAACAACAACACCAACAAGAACAACACCAACTGCCACAAGAACAACACCAACAACAACTGCAACACCAACAACAACACTCACAAGAACAACATCACCAACAACTGCCACAAGAACAACACCAACTGCCACAAGAACAACACCAACAACAACACCACCAACAACAACAGCGCAAGAGATTGCTACGCCGTGCCAATCCGTTGAATTTGCGCTTTTATTTGGCCCTGCAGCGGCTTCGCATGTCTGCAACTCTGCGGAAGGATTTGCGGATTGCGAGCGCTTATAAGAAGGTAGGCAGGCAATAAACTTGTTGGTCTCTTGGTACACGCGGTGCTTGGAGAGTTGTGTGAAGAGACTGTGGGGAACAAAGACGGCGTTTTAATTTTGTGCTGTAGGCATTAAGCTCTCTGCTGCGGTTCCCCCTGCCAATCTTCGGCTCAAGTAAGGCTGGCCTTCTGGAGGGAGTTGGTGCGAAGACAGCCAGCAGTTTCGCACAGTACGCCATCCTTCTTGCCAAATCCTCCGTATGAGACTTCTCGCACGGCTGCTTGGTTCACGCATTCCTGCGTGAGGCAGCCTCCTTCTCTTCTTGCCAAATCCTCTGTATGAGACTTGTCGCACGGCTGCTTGGTTCACGCATTCCTGCTTGAGGCAGCCTCCTTCTCTTCTTGCCAAATCCTCTGTATGAGACTTGTCGCACGGCTGCTTGATTCACGCATTCCTGCTTGAGGCAGCCTCCTCCTCTTCTTGCCAAATCCTCTGTATGAGACTTGTCGCACGGCTGCTTGATTCACGCATTCCTGCTTGAGGCAGCCTCCTCTTCTTGCCACTCCCTTGTTGCTGCAGCGTGCTGGCTGCAGCACCTGAGTCGCCAGATCGTCATCCTGAAGGCCTTTTTGCAGCGCTTTCCGAGGCTGCTGCAGCTGCTGCGAAGACTTCTTCAGCTGCTGCCGAGGCAGAGGCTGTGACAGCAGCAGCTGCCTCCACCTCCTCCTGCAGCAGCAACTTGCTGCTGCAGCTGCACAGACACCGCGTGGCAGCTCTCAATCGAACGCTTGCCTTCGCGGAAGCCGAGCTGCGACGAGGGAGGCTCCCGCTTCTCGGCCCCCCCAACAACCCTTGCAACAACAACAACCCTTGCAACAACAACAACCCCACAAATAACAACAGCAGCTCCTGCGGCCGTGCGCTGAAGGTGCCCCCTCGGTGCACCAGCAAGTGGGGGGTGTTGCTGTGTCTCTACAGCTTTGGTCACTTCTTTCGCAAGAGACGCATGCGCTTGACACATCTGACTGCGGCAGCAAACAAACTCAAAAGCCAAGTACCTTCGCGAAATGCAATACTTGCAGATGCCACCACGTTGCCCCTTTCGATGCATTAGATCATAACCACATTCTCCTTTCTCCACTCCGCTGCTTGATTGATTGAAAGTGCATTCTAAGCTGCTAAGGCCTGAGAGATGCCCTCTCTGTCTCTCTCTGTCTTTCTCTCTCTCTCTGTCTTTCTCTCTGTCTCTCTCTCTGTCTCTCTCTTTCTCTCTGTCTCTCTTTGTCTTTCTCTCTCTTTGTCTTTCTCTCTCTCTGTCTCTCTGTCTCTGTCTCTCTCTCTCTCTCTCTCTCTCTCTCTCTCTCTCTCTCTCTCTCTCTCTGTCTTTCTCTCTCTCTGTCTCTCTGCTGCCCCTAAGAGTCTTGCCACTCGCTGAAGCGGCCATGGCAAATGCATGTGGCGGCGTGTGCGTCTTCTCAGGGAATTCGCTGTGCAGTTCGACACCTGCGTCTTGCTGTTCAGAAGCTCTGTGAAGAAGGCCTTGTGCTGCAGTTCCCCACCAAGAGCAGCACGCGCATGCGCGGCAGCAGCAGCAGGGCAGCGACTGCGGCGCAGCCTCTCGAAAGCAGGGAAGAAGTCTTGCGGAGACAGCCGCAGCGGCAGCGAGAACAGCGGCTTCCTCGCTATGGTCTTACCCCTGTGGGAGAGCTTGTTGCTGCGAAATGTGCAGCTGCAGTCGCTGCCCCTCTGGCTTCCGCCTCCCCCCCCTGTGCTGACACCGCTTCCAGCAGCAGCTGCACGAGCGAGGAGGAAGGAGACGAGGGGCAAGCCGTAGTGGCAACGGTATTTAAAGGCTGCGATGCCTCTCTAAAAGCCGCTCTTGAGGGCGCTCCTCGAGAGGCCGACGCAGACGCGTCTGCTGCTCGCCTGACGGCAGCAGCAGGCGAAACGCAGGAGGCAGCACCGGCGGCAGAAGTAGCGACTTCCACGTTGGCTGCATGCATAACAGCAGCCTCGCCTAGCCATAATGCTCTCACGGCAGAACCCCTGCTCGTGAGGCTTAATAGGGCTGCAAAGGCAGCTAGTGCTGCTGCTGGTACAGCAAAGGCGGCTGATGCTGGTGCTGCAAAGGCGGCTGATGCTGCTGCTGAAAAAGCGGCTGCTTCTGATGCTGCTGAAAGAGCGGCTGCTTCTCCTGCTGCTGAAAGAGCGGCTGCTTCTGCTGCTGCTGAAAGAGCGGCTGCTTCTGCTGCTGCTGAAAGAGCGGCTGCTTCTGCTGCTGCTGAAAGAGCGGCTGCTTCTGCTGCTGCTGAAAGAGCGGCTGCTTCTGCTGCTGCTGATACAGCAACGACGCAAGCCCCGACGGCTCTGCTGACAACACCCCCCCCCGTGGCTACCTCTTCGAAAAGAAGAGCAGCCGACGCAACGGAAGTCGCCGGATGGGCAAGTGCAGCAGAAGCCTCCACTGCAAACTTGTCGCCGTGGCGATGTCAGAGGCAGCGATCACGCGCTGTCGAGGATCTTGCAGCGGCTGCAGAAGCAGCGACGAGGGTGCTCGCTGCGTGTAGTCACCCCCCCGAGCTGGTGCTGCTGACAGACAGCAGGGAGAGATGCGGGGGTGGGGGGAGGCGCATGCAGCAGCGGTCCTTGCTGCAGCGCCTGCTGCAGCGCAACAAAGTTCCTCACCAGCAGCGCTGTCTTCCCCTAGGAGACTTTGCTTGGTGTTGGCTGCCTGACGCTCGAGGTGCAGCAACGGTTCCCCCGACGACGCATGCGCAGGCTCAGCCAGGGCTAGAATACTTGTTTCCGATTCTGGTGGAAAGGAAGACTTGTGCGGACTTACTGGCATCCATTCTCGACGGCAGGTGAGCAGGTGCACTTTCGTGGTGGGCGGGGGGAAGGGGGGGGGCGGGGTAAGTGTGCAAGCAGCGCGTCTTGAGACTTCTTTCTCTTGCGCTGACGAACGGCACCGGCTGCAGCGAAAAGCCCCTGTGTGGCGTGCGGCTACTGACATGCAGATACACAGATCAGCAGCAGCGGCTCATGGAGGCTCTAGGCGTGGAAACTGTCATCTACCTCTTTGAAGGCGAGTGCAGCCACAGCGGCAGCAGCAGCGCAGCAACAGCAGCTGCAGCGGCTCCTCAGGTGCAGCGCAACGCAGCGGCCGTCCGTACAGCCCAAGTGCATGCGCTGCTCCTCTCCGGCTTTCACGTGCTGCACGCTGCAAACCTGAGGCATTCGTAAGACGCTGGAGCTCCGCCAAAGCTCGTGGGCATGCGGGGTAGCAGACAGACGGGGTGGGGGGCAGGCGACGCAGCGTTTTGTTCTTCGAGCACGAGCTTGCGAATGCATGCATGGTGCCTCTGCTGCTGCTGATGATTTTGCATGCGCAGCGCTGCCCTGCTGACAGTACTACACAGACGCCTGCAGCAAAAGCTCACCGCACAGTGGCAGCAGTTGCAGCACCGAAAGCAGCAGCAACATCAGCAATTTCTGCTCTGGACGCTGTGGGCTGACGCCGCGCAAAAGCAAAGCCAGCGCAACATTCGCGAGATCTTCGCCCTTCAGCTTCAAGCCGTAAGGACGTCTTCGTCCTCCGCAACCTTCGATACGCCTAAGCATCTCCTCCCTCGCTAATGTGCCGGTCAAACGAAGCTCAATAATTGGCAGTGCGAACCGTCTACGCACCGTGGCTTTAGGCGCTGCACGAAGCACATGCATTTCGCTTTGCGTGTTTTCGTGATCGTTCCGCAGATCGAAGGCGTGGGCTGCTCTATGGCCCTGCGGCTGGCTGCTGCCTTTCAGACGCCAGCGCTGCTGCGGCGTTTCTTCTTTTGCAGCAGTGGCAGAAGCAGCGGCGTGAAAGACGAGGTCCTTAGGACGGAGGAGCAGTTTGCTGCCTTCCTGCGGAAGGTGCAGCCCCCCTCCAGAAAATCCCCCGCTGATGATACTGTACCGCCAGCTCTGTCTCCCACAGTAACGCCACAGCGCAGCAGCAGCAGGCGAGGAACCCCCTCCGCCTCTCCCCGTCCTAGCAAGCGACTGACTGAGCTCAAAGGCAACGCGCGACTAGCGAAGGCAAGCCACGGCTCGTGAAGACTTTCGCCTCGAAATGGGCTTTTTAGGGTGTGCTCACGAATGAGAGGCGAGGCCATCGCAATGCGTCTTTTTCATGCAACGCGCAAAGCCCCTCTTCTTATGCGTTGTGTGCTGGCGCCGCCTCAGATTTTTTTTGTGTTGCGAGATTTGTACGGCGAGACTTCTGCAACAGGAGAAGCTATGACCTCCTCGTCGCTTAAGGCTGTTGAAGAGGTACCTGAAAGTAATCTGCGCACGCCAGCTGCGGCGGCTATGCGCAGATGGGCTGCCTGTGACCTCGAAGGTAAGGCTGCCGGCGAGGCGCAGTGCCGTGGGAGCCGCCTGCAGCAGCAAGAACCGCCGCAGCTCGCAGGAGCAACAGCAACGCTGCCACCACACGCATTTGAGTCTGCTGAGTATTTCGTATTGGGTGAAACTGTTAGGGAGGGAGGATTAATGCCCCTCGAAATAATAGCGTCGCAGGCCCCTACTGAGGGCGACGGAGCGGCAACCATCGCACGGTGTACCGGGACTGCCGACGATCCCCTGGAAGTGTGAACTCTAGCAGCAAGCATCTGCTCCAGTGTCTCTCCTTCGTAAGCGGCCTTCACACGAGGCTCGTGTTTGCCGCGCGTCATTCGAGCATCCAAGCCGGCATGCAGAGTTGTGGCCGTGCACGTTATTTAGAGGAAACGGGATAAGGGGTTGCGCTTACAGGGAGAGCGCCATTTGAATTGGCTGGTCGTCATAGGATCTACACTTCTACCCATTCCTCGAGCTTTAGACTTAAAGGGTCTTTTCTAGACGGAACACTTTTCGTGTATGGGTGTATATAAGCGAGACGCAGGGTCTTTCGCCTCTTGAGGCATGAGGGCAGCTCAATGCGTGCACCGCAGTTTTGTCGAGTAGCGACTGTTCACTCTTAAGCCCCACCAAATTGCAGTACAGAGGCAGCAGGTGTCCCTAAACTGGTATCCGGTGAGCTGAGACGCGGGAACTTGGCTTGGAGTCTGGCAAAAGAGACCTGTGCCCCAGACTCTGGCTCGTTTCGAGAGGCTAGCGATTCTTTTGCAGTCACCGATCCTCTCGCAAGGCCGGAATATGGCGCTAAGCTGCGTCAGTAAGCCTCGCTGCTGCCGCTCTTTAGAGCTTTTTAGTTGCCGCGCGGGACTTACCCGGAGGAATTTTGTCGGCAGTTGCACCCCAGGAGAAGCCCTACGAGCACTCGGCCCCGATTTAGCAGACTGAAGGTCTCTGTAGATTGCTTGATGTCTTGCATGTGCTGTTGTATTATGGCGGTTGCCTCTTTACACTGTGTGCAGTCATAGGAACAGACAGGAAGGGTGCACTCGAGAGTAGAGCCAGGGGGAAACTCGCGAGGTCCGTAGTACCCCTATTGTGTCACGCTAGTATGCTTGTGGAGGAGCCTGGGAGGGAAAGGCGACAAATGCTGATCAGAGTCGATACAGCGCGCCACACGCACCGCCTGTCCCCCCTCCCTTCCTCCAAACGGGCATGCATCCACTCCCAAAATACTCGTCCATCAAGGCGAACGACCAAGCATGAGGAAAGTCCTAAGGTATACCTGATCATTTGGCGGTAATGAATGAGTGTGTGAGCGCACACACACCCACGCACACACAGTACACAGCGCGTGGTCACTGACTCCGCGTGCGGAACGGTCCTTCTCCTATACTGCAGGTCAGTTCCGGTTCAGCTAGCTCCCCAAAGCGCCTTAGAAAATTAACTGTAAGTAATTTTCTCCTAGAATCAACTCAGAAACTGCGAAAATGTGCGGCATTTCAAAAGAAGATCAGGGAGACTCTTATGGCGCTGATCGCTCCCTAGGGGCATATGAGTCCCCCAGGCGTCTCGGCCCCCATTGCGTTCCTTCTTTTCCCTGCGACTCTTTCCTCCTGACAGACGAAACCGTTCTTTAACGCCACTACAAAACCTTCCTTGAGTAATGTGTCTGCAGTTCCCCCCTTCTTATGCTGACTGGGACCAAACGGTCGATGGGGGCCCCCAAGGTCCCTTCGGGGGGGAGGCGGAGGCCCTTCCTAGCTCTATGCGGTATTCGCCTGCTCCTTCTCTGTGTCTCCCTTTTCTGCTGCTTTTCGAATTCCTTTGCGGAGCCGTTTTGCTCTTACGACCTCGACAAAAGCCCAGAGCAGGCCATTAAGGAAAACTGCGGCTTCATATGCCCCGATCCCTGGGGAAAAGCCGACCCGCATAGCTGCGGAGCACCTCACCCTTGCTGCTGCGCTCCTCGCTGCAACCGCGAAGCTGCTGCAGCGCGCGCCTTTCTGGGCATCAACTGGTCGGACAAGTATTCGAAACTTCGCATTCCCCGAGAGGAGATGTTCACAATCTTGAAGAACAATGGCTTCTATCACATTAAGACCTTCTCGCCAGACGGACTTGCGACGATTGCGCAGGTGTATGGACAGCAGGTCAGCGTCTATGTGGGCCTGCCGAATCGGCAGCTGACGGACTTGGCAAGCTCTCCTCAGCGAGCCGTATCTGTGGTCCGACGACAGCTGAAACCCTTCGCCTCCATCTTGCGCCTGGTTATTGTGGGAAACGAACCGCTTCTATGCATCAAGACAGAGCAATGGGCAGCCAAGGGCGAGTGCGGCTCCACAAACAGCCCTGCCAAGTTGCTGCCCGCTATGAGAAACGTAAAGCGAGCGCTAATCCAAGAAGGACTGGGGTGGCTGCCCGTAACGACAGCTCTAAATGGGGGTATCTTGGAGATGTCTCAAAACCCTTGGACGCCCTGTATTGCCGACTTCAGACCCTCGGTGTTGCCGATTTTAAGGGAAATCTGGGAGTTTCTGAGGTCGCAGAGCCCCCCTGCGCCCTTCATGGTAAATATCTACTCCTGGTTTGCGGCTTTAGGCGGGCATATTCCCCCCTACCTAGCTGTAGGTTTTCCCGGATCTGCCCTTCCCTCGGATGGAGCATACAGCTACTACTTCAATTTTGACATGCAACTGGACATGCAGAGGGTAGCCCTCTGTAAGAACAACGTAACAGACCTGGACCTCTGGGTTGGCGAGACGGGATGGCCATCTGCAGGAACTGCAAAAGCTACTCCTGCGAACGCCTACTGGTATTTTAGAAATACCATAAAGAGGGCCCAAGGACTGATCATAAACGATCCGGAAAAAGACACCATCAGGCTTCGTGGAATTCCTTTGCCGGTCTTTCTGTTTGAGGCCTTTGATGAAATGTTCAAGTTCGAGGTCGAGCACGGAAACATATTCGAAAATTCATTCGGCATTTTTCGAGAGGATGGCTTGCCCAAATGGGAGCGCAATGATGGGCTTATTGACCTCCCAAGCCTACAACAAGAAGCACAGGAGGTAAAGGGCGCCGCTGGCATTGGAACAGACCGTGCTGCGGAGGGTGACCCCAAAATTGGAAAGGAGTAACACCAGCGCAAGCCAGCTACCAACTGCAGGAAGGACAGAAAAACTGCAAAATTCTTATGGCGCCAGCAGCAAGCGCTGAAAAAAGTTTTTGCACGCCCGTAAGGCACCGGCCTCTTTCCTGCTGCCAGCATGAAGCTCAGGCTGCATCCGAGTTTTTGCAGCTACCCACTAGGCGAACGCCGGCAAAAGTAAAGTGCTCTCCGAGCGTAACTAGAGCTTAACACTAAGTAATACTATGTACATCGTCCCTGCCCCCTCCCAAGGCATATCATCTTCGTCCTTCCTAATCTAACAAACACTTCACTATTCTACCTCTTCTTGAATGCCCAGCCACCCCCTTAGTGCGACTTTGTTACAAGCTTCCCTCCCTCTTTATGCATGATTAGTCTATTTCGCTCATAAAGTACTTTTTGGTATAGCTGTTCCTTGCCTCCTCTTGAAAAAATTTGAAATGCTCACAAATACAAGCGCACGACTGAGGACCCGTCTAGGTTTCCCGCGCTAAAGCTACATCTCTTGTAGAAATGGCATGTGAATACAAGCATTGCAGCATGGTGCGGCTGCTATCATTTCATAAGTCGGTTTAGCACTCAGCTGCTACCTACACTGCGTAGCACAAAACATTGCTTGCGTAATTTGACTGAACACAGCAACCGCGTTCCTGCTGCAGCTGTGTTCCTGTTGGCACTGCGTGGATGTTGCTGCATTTAATATTCAAAATCGATTTCTTTGAGGGCGTCCGAAATATCTTGGAGTGTAACTTTCGGTGAGTCCATCTGTCTTGTACTCCTAACCCCTGCATCAGGTTTAGGATAGGTGGTCAAAGTAACCATGATGCTGCGCTGTTTCTTCACCAACTTGCGGTGGCTCCACTTAGTCGTTTTTATCTCAGTTCCATTCATGTATTTATAGAGCAGTTTAAGCTTCTCTGGAATGGATTGTGTATCTGACATTTCGGCCACTAAGGAAACAAGGTCGTCTTTGCTGAGTCTTGTGTATCCCCAAAGATCTTTGATGGCTCGGGCACCTGTAGCGTCCAATACGAAGTCTGAAGCCTCTAGGTTTCCTGAGAGAGCCTTCTCAACGAATTCAGTCAGCATTCCTCTCTTCTGGAATTTAAAATCAATCTGTTTCACCACGGTCTTTAGTGCGGCTCGCACCAGAATCTGGGCTACTGTACCATTATACGTTGTACCCTGAACCTGTAAATACAGAGGACGTGGTGTCATGCCATCATGTGGGCTGCTGATCCAGTGGCCATCCGGGGTGAGGGCTTGAGCTATTGCCGTGTATTCCCCAAAGCAATCAAAGAACGCCAAAACTTTTGAAGGTGGGCCCTGGACCAGATAGTCTGCTCTGCCAACCTTTATAGGCTGTTTGAAGCCATTCACAATATTCAAAGGCACTCCACTGTATAGATATGTCTGCTGCGTCTCGGTGTCGTAATGGGGGTAGCCAAAAAAACGGACGGGGGAGTATCCCAGCCTGGCCTCCGGAGTATGACCCTCTGCTTTCAACTCTTTACACGATTTCTTGCCCGTCAATTTCGCTGCAAGCTTTTGAAAGAGTTCCTTGAGAAGCTCTAAAAGGTGGCTGCGACGGCGGTTCGTATCTTTTTCTTGAAGAACGTCTTTAACCTTCTCCAACAAATCAGCTTCCTCCAGCACATCGCTCACATCAACACCAGCGAAAGACGCAACGCTACCGACCACAGCCTCTACCTTTTCGTTTGTAGGGAGATCATCCGAAAGTTTAAGGTCCTCAAGCTTCGGGCTGGGATTCTCATCATTGTCCTGCGAAAAGATGGAACCTAACGCGGTTTTCAGCTTGTCACTTAGCTCCACTGTAGCGCAAACAGGGGAGACGTGGGAAAGCCACGAAGCAGCCCCCAGACACAGAACGCACAGAGGCACTAAGAACGACGATGCGCCACGCATTTTTTCTGTAGTGCCGGGGCCACGTCGGAGACTGCCTGCAATTTACGAGTGACCCAACAAAAAAATTCTGAAACTAGACTAAAAAACGGAAGTCTCGACGCCGAAACACTGTGTAGTCATGCAAGCCTTGTACGAAAAAAAATTGTCTTGGGAACAACACTAAAGGGAACGCTGTCCTGCTCCCCGTTGCTGGTGGTCGCCGCAGGTGCGGAACCGACAGTCCGCCGCTGGCCTACCACCTGCCCGTGCACCGCGGCACCAACTGATGATCTGAGAGAAAAACGACCTGTTTGTAGCTGGAACATCTTTGAATAACTATGGTTATTTGCATTTTGAAGGAAAAACAAAACAGATAGACACTCTATCAAGAATGCTGCCAGATCAGCATCCATGTGGTCTATCGGACTCTAGGTCTGATATGCAGATGAATCTGTTCTACGTCAGAAATTTTGAAGATTCAGACATATCACTTTATTTGGAAAGCACTTAACAAGCCTTTCCAGATATTCCTCCTACAGATACACCCAAGACAGCGACCTGCTGGACCATCTCTGTACCTTAGTCTGCAAGCGTGAACACACCTTGCCACGTACATCGGAAAGGCCCGAGCAAAGCTCAATATACTTTCTTATCTCAACAAAATAATGTATAGATTGCATAATATGAGCACAGGAAGTCTTTTATCGACTTAGATAGGTCTGCTCGGCAATGCCCTGAAGGACAGATCCATCGGAGATCCATAGAACCTGTCTCTCACTGGGTATGGAGAACTAAAATGGATTACCAAAGCAAATTGAGACGCTTACTGACTAAACTTACAATTGTATTGAAATTTCTACTTTGCGATCCCGGGTTTCTTGGCCTTGCGCAGCGGAATATTCACCTGCATGGTTTCTTTAATAGAGCTGAAGTCAAGAGAACAACCACCATCAACGAAAGGTTCCCGTGTCTTCCGTGTTATACGTGAAGTCTTTCGAAAGCTAGTCAAATTACCCAATTAACGCAGCAGAGTGGGATGGGAATGACATTTTAAGACGGAGTGCAGAAGCATTTCTGAGTTCACAGCTGGCGACCCTAAGCCCTGGATACCTACCTAGCATCCACTACTAAATTTTTGTCCTCGCTAAGCGTTCGGCGTCCCAGTAATTTTAGTATTTGTGGGTTTCGGCTCCAGATGTATGTGCTACAGCTCCCTTAAACGCCTCCTAATTCGAGAATCAGTCCGCCGAATCTGCAATTGCTATCCAAGGTTTGGTTGGATTCCCTGGAATTCCTACATTATTGATCAAACCAGTTGCTTGACTAATCGTGGCATCATCGGCGCGTCTTAACCTAGGGAAATTCCTGCGGTACGGTTCTTCAGCATAAATTTTTGGCCTTGATGCCTCTCCGAATTGTTTAGCCCTTGCTCCGCCACAGCCCAGTAGGAATATACTTCTGCACTAGATCTGTAACTGTTGCTGTACCGTGACCAAGCATTGACTGATTATTCCTCTAGTGATTTCCATTATCCACAAATCGTTTAAACATTTTGCAATTCCTGTTGCGGCCATGCTTAAAGCTGTGTAAATGTACGGTCAATTTGATGAAGTCCGTGCTCATTTGTTGTGTACCACTCCCCAAGTGTAGCTGGCCGATTTCCACTTACACTCTTTCACTGCAATTATTAAATTTAAGTAAAAATTGACACGGAGTCGATTAAATGATTTCCTAGTGCATACATCTTATTTATTTTAGACTACTGTAAGCTACATACAAACGACGTTTTGCTGTGTTCGCTGGGGCTATATGCTTCATGAAGGTAGATCTAAAACCTCGACTTGCTTGAAGGCTACAGAAAAGCCCACCCTAGCTGTCCCTCTCCCTGGTATAAAAATTCGAAGGGGCGCAGACAGGAAAGGGAGAGAACCCTTTAAGAAACATCCAATGACTTTATTTCGCGTTTGTATAGAGTCTGAAGCTAAGCTTCTCCCTACAAATACCTTATATGGAGGGCAACACGTACGCTATGTGACGCTTCTCCAGCACTGACTCTGGCTCCGGAGGCACGTAATGCGCAGGACACAATGGAGCCTCCTCATCAGCATGGCGGTAGCTGAAAGAACATATTGAAACGAGCAACAAACATCCTTGCACAATCAGAATCTAAAATTTTGCTGAACTATCCTTGCTCGATTGGGTTGTGGCGTTCATACTTGGAGTCCATTTTGGCTGGGCTTGCCTGAAGTGGGCAAAGGTTATACACGTAAGGCACCCCGCTACTAAAAATCATTTCCTTCCCACCAAGCTTCACAAATTTCGTAGCTCTATCACACATGAAGAAATTGAAGTTGACACTCAGATAATTTTTTCTCAATGAGGTTTATCACACTCGATACACTGCCTCCGATGAACGATCAGATCCAGTAATCTACTGCTGATTGGAAGCCGTGAGATTGAGCTTAGCGGCACCGGCAAGAGCTCAAATATGCTGTAGTAGACTCTAATGATATGCATCGCTGCCTTCAGACCCTTAACAGCAATGATTGCAAGCCCGAGCCTCGGCTCTGAGGCACGCTCGCCTTGGGTAGGGCATAGACGAATAAATTTCTGAGCACTTTAGGTTTCTGAACTTTGGCTGGCAGGGAAAGCCTTTCAGTTCTTGAAGTATTTTTTTAAAATTTCAGTGCATGTTTGTATAGCTGCAGTATGCCAAAACAACCGGTGGCAGGGTACAGGCATACGAAACGATGCCAGCATATACAATGCAATTTGACCAGGCCACATGGTGCGAAGCTCAAGGCGGAAGCGAATGTTCCAAATAATAGCAAGTACTGTCAAAATTATGGAAATAGGAGCGAGAATAATTTATTTGTTTGAAGTAACTGCGGTTTTGCACAATCCGTACATGCACTGCGACAAACCCTTTCAACTGTGACGGCCCCAAAATCTGAGACTTGTCATGAATAATTCTTAGAAGCTCCTGCACAATTGCGTAGGCATCTTAGCATTGAATTAATTATGCGCCTTTTATGTCATGCCCTCATGGTGTACACCACGACTGACCAAGGCTCTGGGCTCATCCTTGTGTGGCCTTCTTCGTAATATGGCCTAAGCATGAAAACAGCCTTAGCCACTTAGTTTGCTAGGTTTTCTAACCGTTAATTAGTTACAAATGTTTGCTCATACCGGCTAGAGTGGCCGTTCTCAATACCCTGAAGAAAATACCTTCTGTATGAAAGTAATGATAATTAACTGTAAATACAAAGCGCAGTGGGATCCAAGTACCTCAAAAAAATTTTGAATGAAGGCACACGCGCTACACGCAATCGCAGCCCCATGCAGCCTCAGAATTGACAGGAACACGCCATCGTCGTGCCCAATTTATTGCTGTGTGCAGTGAAACACACACAAAATCAATATTTTTAAACTACTAAGCTACCACAAACCACTAGCAACAAAGACAAAACAGCGGTGTCGGGGCAGGAACGAGACATACTGAAGGTCAATTACTGCTTGTAAGTAGGGACAGCCTGCCGCCTTGAGATATTTACAGCGCAAGGATAACTAATCAACGAATGGATTTAATTGTATGTCAATCACGATTGAAGGGCGCCTTTAGCAGGCTCGCAACTCTTGGTTAAAATGCGGTGCGGATGATATAAGTCCGAACAGGGATTTGGTGACTGCATACCCTGGGCAGCACAATTATGTACTTATTGGTTCCAACAATTACATGAAGGGTCTAGCCAAGGGCCCTGCTGACCTCTGGCTGAGGTGTGTGTAAGGCCTTATTCTCGTACGTTCTAGACGGTATGTACTTGTATGCGACAGGCAACAGACTCATCAAACCAATTATCCACTGCTACATACACAACGCGTCATTTGCCTACAGCGTCTACGAGAGCCAAGGTCCACGATAGTGTGATGTAAGAAAAAGGAATAAACAGAGACAGAAAGCTTGAGAGGCAGTAGTGTCACTTCAACTGCCAGCGTTTTTGTGGCGTTTTACGACATTAGTCTGCCTTCATTATTGCGCCCGATCCCGTCCTCAAATCTCAAGCCATGTCGTATCCTCTAGTCGAGGGCTCCAAACTGTAAAGTCCTTAAAGCCAATGACACCCGCAGGTCTGGACGCCCTCTGAAAAAATTGGAGGGTTAAATGAGAACACGTCTCTACACATCAGGCGCTACAATTTAAAATGCAGAGCCAGAAAGACAGTCTCTCCAATCCAAGACAATAGCTGTCCAAAGGGAAGTCGTCTCATCACAGGCTACTTTTGTGACCTGCAATTCAGTGGTTGTGTTGAGCTACGGCTTCGGTCTCATCACCTAACCATCCCTGTGTTTACCAAAGTTTAAGGACTGGTATGTTGCTTTTGCAGAATATTTACCACTGCCGATTTAAGCACGAATCCAGTAGGCCACCAGAACCAATTTTTGTATCTCCCTCCTTCACCGTGATCAATCTGTAGGCGAATCACCTGAGGAGCCATCTAGCAGTGCAGCTTAGTATTATTAGACTTATGGCTCTGCTATTAAAGGTGTGGAGAGGTCACGTGACCTTCAAGTGGATAGGCCTGCCACTGAACAGCACCGCAGCATTCAAGTTTCTTTTGCTGCTTCCAAGCGTCCTCTAGTGCATTCTAGTCCCTCTCTACACCTCGGCTACCTCTACGCAGCACAGCGTGGTTAATTGTTGGCACACATTGTAAAGACTGTACGTTATAAGAATGGTGAAAAACAACTGGTGTTCCGCTAGAGTGCCTTAGTGCCGATCTGTGTAGGCGACAAATGCCTACAGACTACACCATGCCACGAAAACGCCATAAGTATTTCTTGGAGCTGCAAAACCCCGAGGTCCCTTTACAAGCTTTCCAATCCTGTGTAAGAACTCCCCATTAAAAATCTTTTTGCGAACGCTGAGACTGAGACGGTTGCTGTAATATATGGGGGTTTGTGATTATTTTGTTCTCCATCATTGTAATGCGCAGTGGATAAAATAACGGGATGCAGAAATGTTGCAGCCTTAGCTGGTGAGATTATAGCATGCCAACTCTAGGGCGACTAGTTAAAAACCGTACCAGATGATCACACGCATATCCACTAAGGTCTGCTTCCTTCGGATGCCATGCCTTTCTAAGGCACTGGATGAGTTTTACTAGGTCTGCCATCCCCTACACCCATTACGTGACAGTGCTTGCCCAGAAAACGGTCCCACGAGTAAAAACAAACCGGAAGTTGCCATAGAAAGGGAGTGGGGCCAGAGCAGAATGAGCCCCCAGTCTTTTAATCTGGAGTCAGACGCTCTACCCATGGGCCATTGGCCCTGGCGAGACGGTCTTGCCGTCTTACGCAGAGCTGTACTGCCTAGACGCTTATTCATTTTTGCATCTTTGCTAGCAACGTACAT